AGGTCGTCGGTTCGATTCCCAGCCAGGACAAATAATTGTGTGATGATCACGTTAATTTGTTCTGTGTTTGGGTGTAGCTTGTCTAAAATGTGTATGTATTTAGAAGTATCTAAGTATGTTTATTAGCAGTCAGAAGGCCAATTCTCGTAATAAAAATCGGTTGTCTGTAAAGTATGTTTACTGACGATAGTTGAAAGTGACAACGTCATAAGAAAATACTGATGTAATGGTTGCATTTTACGAAAACATGTAAATGTATTATTGTATAGCAGCTGTCCACGCGGACGCATCGCTCACTCAAGTAGGAGAGAGACAGATGTCAAACGCTGCCGAAGGCGGAGGCCGATTGTGCCTCTTTGTCGCTCGTTGCGCGCTCTCGCTTGCACTTCAAGCCTTAAATGGAACGCCTCAGAGCGAGGTAACGCCACATGAGTCATGTTTTTTCGTGCGTGCAGCCGGCTCCATCGAATTATAAGACGTTGTCACGTCAAAAATCGGTCCCAATTCAGTTCCAATCAACTTTTGATCTCACAACTGTCTTAAAAGGTATTTTCGTAGTAAAATAGTAAAGTATTACTAAGACTAGTAGATTACCGATTTAATTTTCGGTCACAATACAATATAATCACATTGCAGTCACATTGGATGTTTAATACTTTACTACAAAAATACCTTTTATGACAGTTGTGAGATCGAAACTTGATCGGATCTGAATTGAGATCGAACTTTTATTACGAGAATCGGCCTTCTGGTTACTAAATTGCAATCTAAGCTTAGTTTGGGATCAGACTGCCGTGCGTGAGATCTGTACAGTTATTATTATTAAAGTTTGTTTGTCAAATTAATAATAATAATAATCTTCTACCACATTCACACAACGCCATCTAGTCCCAAACTAAGCAGAGCTTGTACTATGGCTACTAGACAACTGATATAAATACATATATACTTTTTTTTGTAAATACATACATATTATACATAGAAACACCCAGACCAAATCAAACATTAAATGTTCATGCACACAAATGTTTGACTTGAGCGGGAATCGAACCCGCGACCTTTGGAATAGCAGTCCGTTACACAAACCACTACGCTATTCGGTCGTCAAATTCAGACTAGCTAGTTCGAAAGAGTAGGACAATTGTCGAATCTGAATTTGACAATTGTCCTACTATTTTTATTTCTTTATGGTTTATTTCTTTTGAATAAGATAGAGTATTCATTAAGGATTGTTATAGGCTATGCAACATCCCGCTACGACTCATAGGAGGAGAGCAGTGAGTATAAACGTAGAAAATCCTGTGGGGCGTTTCTCTACTTCGTGAATTAGAGTTAGCCTCTAGCTATGGCTTTGTTTTATGAGGCATGATCTCATCGAACTGAATTAGCTTAATTTAAGTAGTGAACCCAATCATCTAATAACAAGAGTTGGCATTTTTTTAATTAAACGTCTGCCGTTTTTTAAATTGTAATTTAGAATTTCATATTAAGGTCTGTGTACAACATGGTACATCATTTAAATTTAAATTTGTCCGTGTAGTGACGGATTAAGAATACCGAATGTCACTACCCCAATTCATCCCGTGGGTGTCGCAAGAGCCGAGGGAGCCAAACAACGCAGGACACCAGCACTGCAAAAAGAAGGAAAACTTGACACAAACCCTATACCAACCCGTCTGGCCAGCGTGGTATAATAGGCCAAAACCTCCTTTCTAAGGAGAGGTCTATGTCCAGCAGTGGACTATTAGAAGCTGTTGATGTGATGTGATGATTTATTTAAACTGTTTGCATATTATTTTGATACGTAGGAGGACTTATTGCTTTAGACATTTTTCAGCAGTCAAATTTTCGGTAATGCAGCCAAAGGAAATAGCAAGTGCACTTAAAAACGATATTAATTGACTGCACGGATGGCGTAGTGGTTTAAGCGGTCGCCACGCCGCGTCCTACTACGCTAATTGTTGTGGGTATACACCACACATGGGACGAAACTTTGCGTGATTCACAAATTGCTGTTCTGAGTGTGTGTTCTTTGTGTCCGTTTCATGTATGTTTGGAAAGTCCCCAGCGACACAGGATATATTCCTAGTGCAGTTGTGTTTACAAAAAAACAGGAATATAATAATATTTTCGGACATCTAATACACAACGCTATCTAGCTTCAAACTAAGCAGAGCTTGTTCTATAAAAGCTACATTGAATGATAGAATTTTTTTATGTATAGATACTACTTTGAAAGAAAAATTTGCAGATCATACAAAGATTTGGTCCGACCTGGGCATCGAACCTCAGCACAGCAGTTACAAACGCGACCACTGCACCATCGAGGCAGTAATTAATACGAATGGCTTTCATAAGAGTCGAGCACGATTTCATTCGCATGAGTCATCTGCTAAAGTACTCTACAAGTATAGGGGCCTAAATTTTATGGTCAGATTTAGTGAATAAAAAATACAATAGTTTTAGCATACATACAATGTAGATACCAATGACAATGCTCTTTGAATTTCTAGTAGTTTAGAAGTAGATGTTGTATCGTTTAGCATTAACAAACCAGTTTTATAGATGATCTATTTTACTTTTTAGATTTCAGTGATTACACATCATACATACGAGGCCATGTTGCCGAACCCAACTCTTAGAGCGCCTGATCTGTTTTGTTTTGTTTTTGTTGTCTTTTATTATTAAAAAAAAAACCACTTTCTAGCTTCTATGAAAGCTATAAATGCACAAGCGGTCACCGCTTAAACCACTAATTTGCGTGGTAAAACTAGTACGATCATATTTTTTGTTTGTTTTCAATCTTATCTTTATTCTCGAAAGTGTGTTTTAGTATAATTTAGCAAAACAAATATTACGGGACATATTATAGTTGTTTTTCAAACCAATCAAAGAATCATTAAATGGTGAATCCGAAGACTCGCTATTAAAGTAATTTCTAAATACAACTTGTGATGCCTGCGTATTCAGAAGACATATAGGCATTTAGTAATCAGTAAAGACTTTGCAATTGTGTTACTTTTGCATGTTCTGTTTCACTATCAAACCACGTTTAACTGCAGTTTTCTAACAGTTCCAGATAAAAATAAAGAAGAAGAAATTTAATCAAAAGTCTACTCTCACTGCAAACGGATAAAGTATAATATTGATGGCAAGGTTACATCCGTCTGAAACGTAGTATGTGGGTAACCTTAATCTTTTAATACGAACTTTGGTCGTTCAGATAAGTGTGCCTGTATTGTTTATTATCCGTTAACACCGGGCCATATTTGTAAATTACGCCTCGGACTTCCTTCTCCTCTTTCTCGCATATTTTTTTTTTATTTAGATTTTAGATTAACTGTAAATAAAAAATACAGGATTTTATTCATGTGTGATCCGCCAGCAGCAATTACTTTATGTTTAAATAAAGTAATATGGAATTTCCACCGTCAGAGATCCCTGTCACAAATGGACCGGCTCAATCGCAGTGACAGCACGGCCTCACAGAAAACCGATGTGAAGCAATTCTGCCAGTGCCTTTCAAATGGGGTGTGAAGTTATCGGAGCCCAAACCCCCTCTCCCGCTGATTCTTGGAGAGGGATTAAAGGAACGACAACGCACCTGTAACTCTTTTTCTCTTCTTAGTTTTCACTTACCATCCGGTGGCCCGTCTGCTCGTTTTCACCTTTTTTTTCCACCTATCGGTGGCATGTCGGACTCGAACCGACTAAAACCGCACGCCGTCTCGGGTACTAATAGCCGGGGAACCAGGTATACCCTGGAAAGGAAGTCCCTGCTCGCTAATGCATATACGTAAATGTATTTAGTAACCAGCATAGAGCATGTATACCTAATATATACAAGTACTCGTATTATTAGCATGCATGGTGTTTAAATTACTGATCACGGCCATGTTTATCGGCTAGAGTCCACCGTGCTTGTGCTTTGTAAATTTTAACCGACTTCAAAAAAAATTAAATGCTTAATGATAGAACGAGCTTAAATATGGCTGGCCCGATCGGACACCTTATCTTTTAGGGTCTTCTGTCTATTTGCTTTCATTGATGTCGGATTAGGATTTAAAGGAAATCTTGGATGTTTAAAAATAATCTTGTATTGGAAGCGAAATTACATCAAAATGTATTTCACTCAATTTACTTTAAATCTTCTTTTTTCTCTTTATTGCGTATTAACTGATGAATGCAGTTTTAAGTAACGGCTGATGTACCCATAACTGACATGCCTACAATAATAAACAACAATACAATTGCTAAATTATTTAACATCTTTTAATACGTACTGTCTGGTACTTAGTTTTTTTAATCTATGTTGATGATCTCTTAGTTTACATCCATTCTTCTAATAGTTACTTTAGACAATTCCACATCATTGTGTTTTGTTAGAAAAAAAAATTACCCAATTCTTATTTATTATTTAGTATTTTTTGCCACGCTGCCATACTTATTGCACTTGGATTGAACTGTCATCAAAGTGCTTACTTCATAATATCTTATGCTGTTGGTGCAAGTTTGTAAGTGATTCCTCAGTAGACCAATTCCCAGCTGGATTGAATTCTGCCCATACTCCTGGCCTGAAATAATCGAATGAACACGTTGAAAACTAAAATAAACCACTACGCCATCCCAGCGATGGCGCAATGGTTTAAGCGATCACCTCGCCGCTTCCTACTGTGCTGAGTGTTGTGGGTTCGATCCCCCAATTTGTGTGATTCACAAATTGTTGTTCTGAGTGTTTTTGTGTCCATTTCATGTACCTCTATGTAAAGGCCCCGCGACACAGGATTTATTCCTATTGCGGGAGTTGTTTTTTTTAAAAAAAGTATACAATATATTCATACATGATGTATCCTCCACACATTATTATTATTATTATTGCACTTACATAGTATAGCATTAAGGCGTTTCTGTATAACGCCGCGATTGGATAAATATATGCTCAGACCTCAGGCATATACTGAAACATGTTACCTTTATCAATTCAGGAATTTTGATTTCAGACGATCATCAGTTGCAGCCAGGTCACCATGAGTTCAACTTCGACTTTCCCCTTCCTATCAACATTCCAACTTCCCTCGAAGCCGACTATGGGCACATCCGGTACCGTGTCAAAGCCGTCATGGTCACGTCTGGGATATTCTCGTCGAATAAAGAAAAAATGGCCGCTCTCAGAGTGTTTGTGCCCGTTAATTTAAATCTGAATCCTTATTGTCAGGTAAGTGCATTTACTTTTTAAAGTACTATTAACTATAGACTACTTGTATTACAGTTCAAATTAGCTTGCAAGCAAATATATATTTAGTATGTAGTATACGGTAGTACCGTATAAAGGGTTTGCCACGCCCTGTCTGGTATGTAACGCACTTTTCACGGAATCATATTTTGATTTGAGCGATCGATCCATTCCCGACCTTGACATTGATAAACATATGTATTGTATTTCAATACACAGACATGTGTGTATTTACACATACAGGTATACATACTAATATGTGCTTAACGAGCACCAAATAATTTGCCAGCAGTCTCATGTGTAGCCGAAGTTTTATGGAAAAAAAAAAGAAGAGAAAGCAGAAAGAGAGGATACAAATAAATAAATACTTTCGAAACTTTAAATCTTGTATTGACTGTCGTTACTCTGATTGGTTACATCCACAGAGTCTCTCAATTTACTTTAAATCTTCATTTAAGCCTTTATTCAAACCTTTCTTATAATTGTTCAGAGAGAGGGTCTTGTAGTGACAAGCTGACAATATAAATGATTTCCTGATGAGGACCTGCAGAAAAAACTGAAAAAAATTAATATTTTATTTTCTACATTTTTAACTTTATTTAACATTATTTTTATTTTATTGACCGACTTCAAAAACACAAAAGAGGAGGATATCAATTCGGGTGTATTTTTTTGTATGTTTGTTACGCGATATTTAATTCAATTGTTTACCGATTTTCAAAATTATTTTTTCAATCGAAAGGGTATACTCCCAAGGTAGTACTCATTACCACCAAATCAAGATCTAATGATCGAGTCCTAGAGAAATCTAGGGAAACCCTCAAATTTTACAGCCCCGACAACATGTTTTAGTTTGTTTCTCTGGCTATATGCGAGGGCTGCTATTTATGTATCCAGAATACCAAAGTGAAACAATCATATAGCATTTATTATAGTTTTATTGCTTTTCAAAATATTTGCCGTGATGATCACCAATTTTCGTAGCACTTTTTCCACTCTGATTGTGGTATCTTCAAACGTGCATTTTGAACACATCACAGTCTTCACAGCTCGAAAAACGTTGACCACGTAATTTATTCTTCACGGTTGGGAATAAATAGAAGTCGTTGGGGGCCAAGTCAGGGCTGTACGGCAGATGACCTGTTGATTCGATCTTTTGATCTGCCAAATACTAAGTTGTTTCGGCCGATGTGTGGCAGCTAGCATTGTCATGATGAAGGAGTCTGCGTTGTCGGTTATTCGTTCTTATTTTCAAGTTTTCACTTTGGTCGGCCCTCCCGGAGTGTTACTTTTTTTTATATCTTCTATACACATAATAAGAGTAACCGTCTTAAATCTGTCTAAATCATCCTTTTTTTTTCCGTGCGGAAATCCCCTCGGATACCACCGCACGCCATCTCGGGTACTAATAGCCGGGGAACCAGGTATACCCTAGAAAGGAAGTCCCTGGTGCCCCGACATACCTCGGGCCATCTACAGACGAGTAGACGACCCCCCCCCCCCCCCGTGTGTGTCTAAATCATCCTAAACAAAAGATCGACAACAGTCAAACCTTATATTTTTCCAAAATTCTTAAAAAAATATTATGATTTTTAGGAACCTGTACAGCTGGAGCTAATAAACTCTTACTGCTGTTGGTGCGCAGCTGCTGGTTCCTCCGAGGTTCGAGTTAAGATGCCAGTGGGGGGGTACTGTCCCGGTCAGACCATACCGCTCGAAGTCAAGGTCTCAAACCTTAGTCGTGTTGACATTGATGAGATAAAGATGACCATTAAAAGGGTAAGCTTTAGCCTAAATAGCTTTAACAATATTTACTCATTAGTAAGAGTATTCTGTGTTTATATGAAATATAATTTATTAATGATGAAATGATGAATTAATGAAAAATTATATGATATTGTTATTATTATGTATAAAGAATTAAAAATACAAATAAATGATTGTAATTTATCTTGAAAATGTTTATTGTATTTAGAAATATATATCTAAGTATGTTTATCAGCCGTCTGGTTATCATAGTACAGGCTCTGCCTAGTTTGGGATCAGACTGCGGTGTGTGAGATGTGTGAAGGTGTAGGTGATACTAATCGTATATAGTTTTTGAAACTATATCGTAGATAGTAGAGACTATATTGTATCAATATCGTAGATCTAAATATGGGTCTCTGTATGAACTGACGACCGAATGGCGTAGTGGTTTGTGTAACGGACTGCTATTCCAAAGGTCGCGGGTTCGATTCCCGCTCAAGTCAAACATTTGTGTGCATGAACATTTAATGTTTGATTTGGTCTGGGTGTTTCTATGTATAATAAGTATGTATTTACAAAAAAAAAGTATATATGTATTTACATCAGTTATCTAGTAGCCATAGTACAAGCTCTGCTTAGTTTGGGACTAGATGGCGTTGTGTGAATGTGGTACAATATTATTCACATCACATCACATCAACAGCCTATACTAGTCCACTGCTGGACATAGGCCTCTCCTTAGAAAGGAGGTTTTGGCCTACAATACTATACAACATCACATCACATCAACAGCCTATACTAGTCCACTGCTGGACATAGGCCTCTCCTTAGAAAGGAGGTTTTGGCCTACAATACTATTATTATTATTATTATTATCTATCGAAATATCGAGCAAATACTACACGTATAGCGATTTAGGGACGGCATCCCTAAATCGCTATACGTGTCAGTTCCGTTTCGTTACCTGCGTTAGATAAAAAGGAAAAATATTCCTTCTGTGATATCTAAAACATAAAGCAAGAAAAACATCAAGTATTGTGACGGAATATTATACGCGCCTAGTATTTAGTCCAGTGTTTATTTTCCAACCCTCTCCACGTCGACCTTTGTACCTCGCCGGTCCAGATATCCATAATAAGTTACCAGTACAATATATAGATTCATAAAATATATAGATTCGATATCCGATTTATTTATTAATACATTTACAATAAAACAATTTACAAAAATTTGGAATTAACAGCGGTTTCCGCACTAAGCTCGTAGCTTGTATCGCGGCAACCAAGTGATTACACATTGCTCATTGTCATTTTGTAGCGGACAGCGGATCTAAGATTAGTTACATGGGTTTTATAGCTTAGTTGGTTAAATAGAAAATCAAGAATAAATTTACAACAGGTTTTGACGTGACAACGTCTTATAATTCGATGGAGCCGGCTGCACGCACGAAAAAACATGACCAATGCGGCGTTACCTCGCTCTGAGGCGTTCCATTTAAGGCGTGAAGTGCAAGCGAGAGCGCGGAACGAGTGACAAAGAGGCACAATCGGCCTCCGCGTTCGGCAGCGTTCGACATCTATCTCTCTCCTACTTGAGTGAGCGATGCGTCCGCGTGGACAGCTGCTACTCGTATACAATAATACATTTTTGCATGCAACCATTCCATCAGTATTTTCTTATGACGTTGTCACGTTCAACTATCGTCAGTAAACCGACTTTACAGACAACCGATTTTTTTTTAACATTACAATTTCAATATATAATTTTGATTTGATACTCAGAAATAGTTCGATCACTCACTCCTAGTGTAAAGTTATTGTTATAATTTTTTGTACATATTTTATGAACAAAGGTGCACTGACAGAAATGCCAAAAAAGTAACACTTGAGGTTAAACACTTAAATCTCCTTTCTAAGGAGAGGCCTATGTCCAGCAGTGGACTTATAGAGGCTGTTGATGATGGTGATGATGATAATGACTTTTTATGTATATGAAGTTTATATCAAAAAGAAATACTTAGTCTCGGATATCTCTTTATTCGTTTTAACGTGTAGCCAAAATTTTGAAAATCGTTTGATGGAAAAATCGTATCTAATTTTACAAAACCTTAAGTAACCGACTTGGTAATAATAAATAATAAAATTGACCCGTTTCCAGGCAATACGATTCGAAGCAGTTTCACGACCAGGCGTCCGCACAGAAAAGTACATAGTGGCACAAATCAAGAAAGGCCCTGTGGTGAGCGGCACCGCTCCTGAATGGAACTTGGAGATGCCCATCTCAGCCATGGAGATATATAACTTCGATACCTGCAAGTATATTGATGTCAGCTACACTTTCAAGGTAAAATACACCTTTTTATTGTTTTTAAAGGAGAACGGCAGATCCTATACCCCTAGCAATATATGATGAATGATTATGTGGCTTGATTATTAGGCTTGGCACCGACTTCAAACAGATTTTATCTAGGTACCTAGGACACATTATAATAATATTTTTTTAAATAAATAGGTATTTAGGTTAGACAAGAATTGTCATACAGTAATTTTGTAAATAAATCATAATGATTTGTAAATACATATAGATTGATTGTAAGGAAAGTAATATTGCATATAGGTAGGTTCATTTAGAATTTTATTGAGTATAGGTAAGCTATATATAGTTAGTGAGCACAGTTTTTGATTTAAATAGTTAGAGAAATTCGCACATTTTTGTATAAATAAATATTTTAGTTTATTTTTCGCTTTTTAGTGTTTTCAAAGAAAAAGTTTTTGTTTAATGTTTTTTTGAAGTCGGTTTCAATTTTTTTTTAAATTTGTTTATTTTTCCATTTTTAGTGTAAGTAATCGTAGGAAAATAGTAAATAGAACTTTTCATATAACTTAAAAAAATATTTATAAAGTATCACCATGGGTAGACCGACTAAAGGCGCAATTCGCATGAAGGAAAATAGAAACAAAGAATCTGTTCAAAAAAATAAGGAACGTCATAGGCTCGAAATTTTAGATTGTCTCAGATGAGAAGTTATATGCGTTCTCATTTGTCACAAGAGTTGCAAAGATACATGAACGTTTGAGTGGTGAGTCCACTGAACAGTGCGAGCAACGTTTAGATGTTATTCGAAACCGATTGACTAATGAGACTCTCAAACGACGTGAACATCGCTTAGATGTTATACGAAATAGATTAAACAATGAGACTCCCAAACATCGTTTCGATATTATACGAAATCGGTTAAATAACGAGACTCCCGAACAGCGTGAACATCGACTAAATGTTATTAATGGACGCAATAGAACTGAACTTCCCCGTCAACGTACTCAAAGACTGACTGCAATGAGAGAACGTAATATTAAAACATTGAGAGGTGAAAATGAGGAGCAGAGACAAAATTGCTTGGAGAGCATGCGTGAGATATTACGCAGAAATCGATTTATTGGGGACGATAATTTTCTATCTGCTATAAACGTTTTTGCAGATGTGCCATGCAGTATCTGTAGAAAATTATAGTACCCCAAGCAGCGATGAAATTTGGAAAATTCATATCGAAAAGACTTATTACCTAACGAATTGGTAGGAATAAGTAAAATCGTGACATGTTTTCGATGCTTTACCAATCTAAACGTAAAGTGCCTTCACAAGCGTATTAGAACATTAAGACTAATGTAAATAAAATATTGAAATTTGAACAATAAGACAAGCTCGTTGTATAGTGTCACATACGCTATTCTAAACCTCAATTTTACATGTGTTTTCCCACAGAATATAGGTTTCTACATCAGCAACTTAAAGTATCAATCATCTAACTCCTGACGGTTGTGGATATTTTTTATTTAACTTCCATTATTCGCTCACCTGAATAATTTGAAAGAATACAATGAAAGGTCTATACGTACATATGATATTTAAAGAATCTTCCTCCAACTCCTAACCGTTAAGGAGTTGTACCTTCCATCATCAGCTCACCTGAATAACTTGAAAGAATACAACTAAGGGTCTATAAGGGCATATGATATTTAAAGATTCTTCCTGTAACTCTTAACCGTTAAGGAGTTGTAGATTCCATCACCAGCTCATCAACACGAGATGATGACTACCGAAATACTAGAATAGCTTCAGAAAGTATATGAAACACATAATACATGCCTATTAAATTTGATGGTCGCCCTCGATTTTCCTGGGATCCCATCATCAGATCCTGACTTCGTGACAATGGGACCACCTCAGGATTATGCTCTGTCTAACAAAAAAAATAATTGAAAATCAGTTCACAATTGACGAAGTAATCGATGAACATACATAAAAAAAAAAAAAATACAGTGGAACATAGAACCTCCTCCTTTTTTGAAGTCGGTTAATAAATCAGACCGTACTTTAAGATATTAACGTTGCATGTAAATAATGTTTCGTGTACATTTAATAATTCAGGCGAATTTTGTTTGAAACCGAGAAATTTACCTTATTGCACCGTTAGGAGTCCACAATGGTGGTCGATACACTTTATTATTAAATTTACTGTTTTTACACAGTTTCTACATACTATTGGCTCAATCTAAAAGCTCATATGATATATCTCTTCAGCTCATGCAAAACATAAAGAAATAATATGTTCAAATCTGGTAAAATATTGGTAGATATATTTAAACCGTGACGGTACCCAAAAGTCGTATAAAATATTTTTCATTCTTTCAGTTGTCAATAGAAGTCAGCGGTTGCCACCAAGACGCTGATGAGTCTCACCCCATAATATTTGGCAATATTCCATTAGTGGGCTTCCAGGATAACGTACTAAACCCACTTCAAGACCAAATGCCTAAAAACATGCCGGGTGAAAACATACAAAGCGGCAACTACTATCCTGCTCCAGCAATCATCCCCCAACCACAAGCTGTTACGGCTCAGCCTAATGGCAACTACCAACAAAATACTCCTTACCCTGGACCACAACCTTATCCAGGGATCCAGCCTTATCCAAACCCAGGCAACCAACCTTACCCCTATCCAGGAAACCAACCTTACCCGAATCCAGGCAATCAGCCTTACCCTAATCAACCTTATCCGCCCCAAGGAAATCAGCTTTACCCGAACCAACCTTACCCAATTGTCACACCTTACAGTGATAGTGGTTCTCCTTACCCAGCTGGAAATCTACCTCAACCATCCCCAGTTCCTTTACCTGGCCCAGAGCCTGTGACTAAACCAGCTGTCACTAACTCTAATTTAGTCAAAACTGAAAAGTTCGGCGTAGTGGTGAGCGGTGATGGGGCAAGTGTGCCGCTTTTGCCCCCTGAGTCCAGCCCACCACCCTATGTAAGTCAACTATTTTAATACCAAGCTAGCAACTTGCCCTAAGTGTGCCATCTGTGTCTGTCTGTTAACGTGGGAGCACGTTAATTACTGGCTTATAAAATAATACGATTCATACGAAATGCAAGTAGGTAGGTATTCAGTTGCAGACACGCTCACATACGTATACGGCCACGCAACCTTGTACACTTGTGTACATACGTAACTCACACACACACAACCAGATTTGCTAGAAAATCGATTCCTACAAAAACAACTGCAGTATGCTCACTCAAGGCCCTGACACCACCCTGACACCACCTTAATGTAAATACTACTTACTATTAAAAAAAACGTTGTGAGGAGTAGTCATATCCATTTGAGATATATGGTTTTATTTACGTGTGTATTTCGGGGACACCCTGGGTCCTACTGCAAGCATCAGAAGCACAATTGGTGCGACTGTCGCACGGATAGACCATCACTTCTGTACTCTGCCTAACTTGGAATCTAAAGGCGGTATGTTAAATGTCTTAGCTTACAAGAAGCTCTTAATTCAAAGTATAAATCGTTGGGCCGCAGCTTTTTGACACTCATTGTGAAACATTAATTACAGCCCACCGGCCCTCCGTCGAGTCCCTACGGAGCACCTTCAGCACCACCACCTTAAACCTGGCAACATAAGTAAGTAGAAGACGTACTTCTTACTTCTTGTAAGAAGTACTTATTACTTGATATATTAAATTGTTGATCAAATGATGTACTCTACGACTTGTGGTGTGCGCAGAGAGGTTTTTATACTACTGCATAACCTACTTACCTATTGGGGTACTCTATGAAACACTGATTTTACATTCGTGTGCAAAATGTTGATTTTAAAGATAAAGATATATTTATTTGCAGAACATGTGTGTATACAACAATACTTTATCAGAAATATACAGGTCTTAATAACAATTTTTTAGAATGGTGTACAAATATGATAAATGATTCAAATACAGAAACAGTTATCAATCAAATTAATTAAAGGCGTAATAAAATAAAATACGCTGAAAAGCCGTGTGGTGTCGTGGGACACCCGATAGGTACGAAGTTGTGACGATCGAGTAAAACTGATTCGACACGATTTTAATTACAACGCCATCTATGAAAGCGGCTATTACCTACATATTTTTAAGTTGGTTTCTAATTAAAACAATTTATACATTGGTAAAATCTCCTTGAGAAATGATGTCGAGTACAATATTTTTTGCTCAACCTAAAAACATAAATTTTAATTTTACTGAGATGAAAAGTAATGATTTCCTATCTATTCGATAGATGGCGCTGAATGACTGACAAGTGACAATTCAAAATAAAAAGTGTCGTTACAACTTTTCGTGAGAATTTTTTCCGTCTAGCCCCCTTTCACAACGCGCGATAAGGAACTTTGTTCCAAAAGAATATGTTGGCGCAATGTAATATCTATGGCAGTTATGTACCATAAATAAATAAATAAGAGAATATAAGTGAGTGTAATCCCCCTTTACCGTTGTGGATTTTTTAAATTGTACTTCTATTTCAGGGGAACGTTCGAGCAACATTATAGTACAGCACAAATAACTCCGCTAATACGGTGTAATTTGTAAACACTGAGGAGAAACCTACCTGTTACTGTAACTACCTCCATAAAACGTAATTTAATTGTTCCTTAACTAAATATAAATATAAAATATATTTTCTGCCAACACGAGACTAGCGTAAATGTACTTATGAAACCTTGAGACCTTTGCCGTTTAAGTCGGATTCTAAAAAGCCTATGTGGCAACGAACAAGAGTAACCGCTTAACAAATAGCTTATTTTATACTACACGTTTAACATATTCCATACTTCTAACGCGTATATATTAAGCATAGTGACCAGTGACGTATTTTATGTAAATTTTTTGGCCTTTCGAGCCATCGCGTGAAGTTCACAGAATGCGTTAAAATTACACGATAATATCATAGTAGCTAATCCCAAAATATAAACTTGACATATTCAAAATTATAACGTCTATCTGGTCCTTCGAGCCATTAGATAACGTTTTGAATCCGCTTTATGATATTGTGTCCTCGCGCTAGTCTCCTTAGGCGCCAAAAAAAGATAAAAATGTCTTCTTTCCTAAATATAACATGATAGTACCTGTCATACTTATGATACCTTCTCACTCCACAAGTACAAACATTTAAAGGTGCTCTCTGTTTTTAAAGAGAAATATTAAGTAAAGAGGAATTGAGTGTATATTCTTCTTTATTTTCGTTCGAAAACATAATTATTATATAAAATAAGATTATTGCATATTATTGGAAAGTAATTACCAATTTAATGTTTAGACTATAAGAGTATTTTTTCTTGTTAAGTTAGTCTAGTAATTTTTTAAAATCGATTTTGAAGATACAGCTATTTTTCTATGTTGTTAAGATTTTATTTTTTTCATATTCTTTTTTCTGAATATTACGTTTTGTTATTTATATACATATTTTATATTGTTTTTTTAATTCTTGTAACATTTGTATTCGATACTAATATGATTAGTCAATAGGCGTATACAATACAATACAATTCTTTGTTATATTTTTGTTAACGACATCACTGCTGACTAGTGGATGTATAACGTAAAATAAAACTGTGGTGTCGTTTACACTACATGACATTTTCACGTAGTCGGTTTTCTTTCAATAACAAGCTTGTTTAAGTTTTGTTTAGATAATTTAAAGTTATTATACCAGATTTTTTGTAAGCCCAAATAAACTTAAGAATGTGCTATACCTGATGTTGAAATAAAAACCACAAATTAATGAGTGAAAGTTTAAGTTTTATGAATGTTTCTTTATATTATTATGTATATTTGTATGTAATAACGCTTCCAAGTGTAACAATATAATGGCACATTGTACGTAAACAATCTCAATACTTATAGAAACTAATTAAAAACTTATAATATATACTTATAACAACATGAGTTGCAGGTATCATCTCGGTCCCATCTGCTCGTTTAATAGACTAAAGAAAAAAATAGACTGCAAGAGGGGGCTTTTGGACTATTCACGATTGTTGTGTTCATATGAACCGTGCTGTAACTTAAAGAAGTATAGGAAATATGATATTAAAAAAAAGAGCTGTTTTACAGTCTCCTATCTAGTTTTAAACATGGTCAGTTCAGTTCTTTACAAATTTAAACTAAGACAAAATGAGTGCCTACATACAAGTTATTTTTATTCAAAATATTTTGTATACTATATATATACTTGATTAAGAATAAACTATTGGTGTAATTTAATAAAAGTTCTCGCTTACTACTGTAACCTATACTGATGACACTGTGTATATGGCAGCTACTCATTTATTTACTAAAATAATTATTATTATGTCATACAACGGAATTTACTATGTCTATGTATTATTATGTCTTTCTACACATTATGTCAATCAATACTTAAATTGGATCATTTCTGCACAACACTGTTCAATTTTTTACATCTCATAGTATATTTTAGTGGGCATAGACCTTTATTTCAAACTCGGTAATAAATTGAAAATAAATACTTAAAACATGTACCTGCGTACTTAATCGCTTCAGACATTAAAGTATGATTAAGAAACAATTATTGTCGTTGTAAAGAGACAAACGTACAAAGAATTATATTTTCTGATTAACGTGTCAAAGTAACATTAAGTACAATTAAAATTATATGCGTTATTTCTTGTTATGAACAATACTATTCTAGAAAATATTAAATATAATATCGGCAGTAAGCGGAAATGTATCTACCTAAAAAATTAACCAGAAAAAGTCCCCGTCGGATGATCATTATGACATATATCTACATTTTTTCGGCATAGGAAGCCATGACATAGACTCTATGTCATGTCTTCCTTTGACGAGAAAAGGTAACGATGAGACAATGACTATTTTGTAAAGTTTTTTAAATTTTATATTTTTGGTCACTAACGAAAATTTGATATTTCGAGATATGATAAAATTGCTTTCTTCCGTAGATATATTGACTTGATGTTTTTTGATAAAATTATATAAGTACCTACATATATTTAGATGATATTTATAAACTTGATGCTGCCTTAACGTGGGCTTTATGTCAATGCTGGTGTCCGCCCGCTTTTAGTTGTAAGTGTACTCATAAGTGTTCGCCATTTACAGTTAAACTGTATTTTATTAAGTATATACCATTTTATGATATTATTTTTTATAATGATTTTAAATAAAGACAAGCTAAGCTGTACACTATTTTTTTTCTAACTACCTTGTACAAGGTTTGCTATTTATGTATTCGGAATTGGTCAGTTAAATACAGAACAATTTTAAAAAAGTAATTATAAAATTTAAACATGGAACTCTGGCTGAAGAATTTGTGATAGAATTTTTCATGTAACTGTCATTTTTTTATCCTTTGTGGCGGCATTGTGAAAATTGCGTGTCTCTATCACTATGGGTTTAACTCGTGAAAAATATCGTACTATGATTTATTAGGATTTTCGGCGATGGTTAACTAAAAAACAGTGCATCAATCAACTCAATTCGATTTTAGGGGACGAAGCACTATCAAAAACAACTGTGTATCACTGGCTTAGTGAGTTCAATCGAGGGCGGTCTGTGCGCACGGACGAATTTAAAGAAGGTCGCCCTAAATCGGTTGTTGTACCTCAAAATATTGAACTAATAATACAAGATCGTCATGTAACATATCGCGAGATAGAGGCGTCTCTGGGAATAAGTATGGCGAATATATATAAAATATTACAAGAACATTTACATACCCCTTATAAACCCCTATAAATGCTTATTACTTTTGAACCAGTGACCGACAAATTCTAATAGCGACTACTTCTATAAGCGACTAAATTTAGGAGAAAACAGATCTTCGCCAGATGCTTTAGTTTTTGACAGACAAGCGTGGCCCTGACTACAGCAAGGCCAGGGGGCGGCGTTTACAGGGATAAACGCTTATGACTTTTGAACCAGTGACCGACAAATTCTGATATTTGGCGACAAATTTGGACAAATTAGCGACTATTTCTTTTGTTATCAAAATAAAAATCGATGATGGTGGCTCTGCCCCTGTCAGTGACACGTCCGCCTACCATATGGTGTCGAGGCCATCGGCGTGCCAGGCATTTACTTAGGGGTGGGGCATCAGGCCTGTAGGTTTAGTGGTTAGTGGTCCTGACTGCTGCTAAGCCAGAAATCGTTGGTTAGTTTCCACCCAGGATAAATTTTATGTGTTAAGCACGATCATTTTGTTGTGTGTCTGGGTGTATTTTATCTATAATATGTAATTATTCATCAGTAGTGTGGTGACTATAGCACAAGCTCCGCCTAATTTGGGATCAGGCGACAGTGTGTGAGCCGTGTTAAGATAATATTATTTTTGTCTGTAAACTTTGTTAAAAAAAAATCTCAAGCTTAGAAAATGGTTAGTGTACTCGTATGTAGTTTTAGGTACTTATATTTGAAGAGTTTGGTTCAAAAAGTAATGGGTTGAAAAAAAAAACAAGTTATTGTTTTTAAGAAAATTAAATAGGTGAAGGTGATTCGAATGAAACAACAAGGTGACAACAACAATTATATAATTGAAAGTGTATACAATATATCCGAAGGCATAGGCACATGGAACATTCATAAAATATGTCATTATAAAGATATAAAATCTGCATCAGAATAACAAGCATAATCGTATTGTTTATATTATGAAAGTATAAATTAGTACTTATTGACATTTAATGTCGATCGATATATGCGTAGAACAAGGTTACATATGGCCATCTTACCAAGACAGCTTTTGTTCTTTTAGGGTCTCATTGGCCTATATTAGATTTTAGACTCTGCCCATTCGCGTTAAGAAAATAGTGACGCATCGATCAAACCCCGCCCCTGAATAATCAGGTTTCAAGCTTTTGTACGATACGATAATTAATTTCTTGTCTGTGTGGACTATAGTGAAAATCCTTTTAAAATGTATAGTTTCTTGTTGTTGTATCTTTTTGCTAGCCGAAAATATAGGCCAATTAAACTCTTAAAAGTACAAAAAAAAAGCGTTTTGGGAACATGACCATAATGTGTAACTGTGTTCTACACACATATGATTTATGTTAACAGTAATATTCATGTAATTACATACCAGCTCTTCATGTCATATATATATATATATCAGTGACTTACATCTAACATACAAGTAACTTATACATTAACACTAAAGATACAATATATTCTTGTACATTAATTCTTATATTTTCAGAATTTATTCGACTTTTATTGAGGACTATTGATGTACTTGTAAACCATCGCGTCTTAAGACTTATTAATACGAGTATAAGATTCAAATTAAATGATTTAAACATCAATCAACAATCAAAGCAAATCCTAATCAGTTTTATATTTTAGTCATATAAATGAAATTGTAACATTCTTATGAAACTCACAAGGGTAAATTTAAGTTTATGTAAACCCTTTAATCCTACAACCAACAAAACTTATGCTATTAAGAAAAAGTGCTCTTATGGAGTTCATAATTAATACCCATTTTGAGTAAAAAGTTCTTGTTTGTGGTTTTCTTTAATAGGTATTTTAATTAACCCTGTGATTACTGAATATACAAAAAGGCACTTATTGTCATTTACAGTTTCATGAAAGCCTTGTATGGTGATGGACAAATACACAAGCTTTTTAGCACCTAAGATTTGTTTTAAAGAAAATGTAAATACGAAAATAATAATTAATAAGTAAACATTTGTTTATATTAATCTACATGGTAGTGTCCTTTTCTTATAACGAGGTTCATGAAAATTACCGCCTTTTTTAATCAAACATGGCGGACGTTTCTTTTTACAAATCAAAAATAACATGATCATTGGAGTTTTTTTAAACCTCATCATCGCTTACCATCAAGTAGGTCGTGTGTTTGTTTATCAGCTTAATGTAAATATCGTTTTTATTAAAAAAGTACTTATTTACTTTAATATATATATGGCACATAGTGACCAGTCAATACTAGTAAAATATGGTTAAGAAAAAATATTCCAATCAGTTACAGGTGCATAGCCCAACATACATAGTGCGGGCCCCTAAAATACATTGACAGATGCACGCGCATCAACACGATAAAACAAAACCACATCACTTTTGAACGAACAACAGCAATGTTTTTTTTTTTCATCATAATTATTCTTTTTATAATTATGTTTCTTTTTCTTTCTTTTTAAACAAGACAACTTCAGCACTAGGAATACTTCCTGTGTCGCGGGGTACTTTGTAGACATACATGAAACTAACACAAAGAACACCCAGACTCGAACCTCACTTTGTGGATCACACAAAGTGTTATCCCATGTGGGGATCAAACCCATAACACTCAGCGCAGTAGGAAGCGGCGAGTTGTTCGCTTAAACCACTTCGCCATCCGTGAAGTCGCGTTCGTGCATCATTCGTTTGAAAGTATGATAGCTAATTATTCAGCGGTATTGTTCAAACAACTGTTACAACAGCACTTAAGACAAAAAATATTTCAAAAACGTTCTTAAATAAAAAAAGCAAACTACTATTTTGCCAAATCTCCGTGTCTGTATATTTTATCGCAAGAATTAAAATACCCGTACGTTACTTAATATTTACCATGCTTACTTAACTATATAATATATAAGATGATCAAAGATTGTATATGGTATAATGTAAATAGCTACACAATTTATGGTTTTATCACATTATTGTTAAGGCTGTAATATAATGATTAAGGCTCAAATACATACATATGTACTAATACCTTAAGAAAATTCTTCATCCCCTATTTAAGAACGATATAAAACAGTTTAAGATACACTTGTCAATGAAATAAAAAAAAAACTGAATTTAATGAATGATGGTGAAATTCAACCATAAGGCGATCTTTAGGCCAACCTGGTACTATAAAAAATTCTTATATATTATTGGAAGTTTTCTATCTAAGCAGCCTGTTGCACCCACTGCTGGATATAGGCCACGCCACTCCTGGCGGTTTTGTGCCAGCCGGATCCATTGCTCTCATACCCTCACAATGTCGTTCTGAACGTCGGTCAGGTGGTTTGCCTAGAGCGGCCACCATTCGGTAACTGACTTAGATTAACGGTCGTCGTCCCGTCTGGCCAAGTGCCCCGCCCATTTCCACTTAAGCCTAGCAATCCGACCCACATCCTCGACTTTGGTGCGGCGTCGAGCCACGCGGTGCCACCGCTCAATTGCTTTTTAAGCATACATGTGAGAGACCATGTTTCGGATGGCAGTTATGCATGATAAAATCTTATTGTGCTATCAGTTACATTGTTGTGGCGTATTTTTATTTACTGTAGGTACAAGGTAACAAGGAAATTATAAGTAGCCTAATATTCGATATAATAAGAGATTGCTATTAGCAATAAGGCCGCTCATTGTACTTATCAATCTGTAATATTTAATTGGTGTACAATAAAGCATATTCTATTTTATTCCATAGTATAATGAAGTAAAGACTAAAGTAACACGCCCGTTCATATGAACCTTTAAACATCGACTAAAAGTAAATATCGACTTGTACTATCAAAAAATTATGACCAGTGACTTTTTAAGTCTTACCTATAAGTACTTATATTTTACTTTAAAATTACATACATTTTTATTTGAAAGCTGATCTTAAATATTATTGTAACATTTTTTTAAAGTTTTTATAATTATTAAAGATATCGTTACAGTCAATATCAAAGGCGAATTCCTAGAGCGTCAGCGTCATCGTTACCAGTCGCTTATACAGACGGGACAGGTAGCTGTGCTCCCTGTTTAAGGGCCCTTGACGGCATGTAACTGGTCGAGATTTCCTAAACCACACAAATGGATGTAAGCGTATATCTTTAATAACTAAAAACACCACAAAAGAAGCTACTATATAATATTCTAAATAATTATATAATATTTATTTATCCGATATTTTATGCGTTAGTAAGTATAACAATAACACATTACAGAAAAACTTAAAAATAAAATGCTTCAACTTATCATAAAATGTAAACTTTAAAACTTAGTACAATGTAAAAATATATTGGAATAAGTTTGTAAAAAAATATAGTATCAAAGAAATTATAGAACTATTTAGCAATGCTTAGTATCACCTAGATTTTAAGCATTGCTACATAGGTCTTTATAGCACAGGCCTAGATATAAATTAGAACATTTGTAACTCATTACAAAAATGAGTATTCAGAACTTGCTGAACTTAAGCTCACAAGCAATATCAAACCTTGGGCAGATCTATAAATTTGTTACTCGAAACCTTCTGATCATCTGTCTTTTTGCCCTGGGCAGCAGGTTATTCTCACAAACCTAATGACCATATTTTGTCACATAATGGTCTATAAAAACCGCTAATGTAAGTCTTAGATCATTGCTAGGTCTATATAGATTGCCAAAGCTATGAAGTTGTGAAAATAGTGTCCAAATGTTGGCTACTGAGTTCATTTTGCTGTCGCTGTGTGTCAGCTGTGTTGTCGCTGTCACTATAAACGATACATTTGTACGCATACCAGCTAACAATGGCCCGTTTATGTGTTTTATAGCGCAACGCTCCATCTAGACATATAAATGCTCTAAGGAAAATATATTTCAAAACCCATGGCATAGAAATGGAAAATGGAAATAATTTTCGCTATAGATACTGAGAAGAATATTTCTTTTTAAAATAATTGTTTTTTTTAGTAAAAGAACTTTTCTCTAAAAGAAATAATTATTGATGTTAGTTCCGTAGGTACTTATTTTAAAGTTTAATTCGTCGTGTAATCTTACCATGTTCGATCACTCGGTGGCCGGTGGTGCGGACGGTGCAAACCCAGCCTGGGCATATGTAGGCAAACCACTATTGTTTGCTTGCGGATAAGGTGCAGACACATCATGGGATGAGTTTCTAGCCGGATAAGGATACGGAGCTCCACCAGGCATTACGTTTCCAACCGGATAAGGTGGCACTCCACCAGGCATCAAGTTCGATGAGGGGTAAGGCGAATTTGATTGCGCAGGCGCCGGATATGGCACATCGGATATCGATAACCTCTGAGGAGTACGGAAACCAATATCCCCGGTTGAATTTCGTAACTTATTCTCAGTGGGATAAGGCAGATTACCTCCTGGATACGGCGGTGGATCCTGCTGATAGTCTTTTTGGCTTAAATTAGGCTGACTTCGGTTTATGTTGTGGTGGGATCCATGATGTACTGGAGTCGGTACTCGTGGTGGGATTGAATTCACAGACCCGTCATTAACGGGTATGGGGCCGGAGGGTAGGCTGTCGGCCATAGGGTGTATATACTCAGAGATTAGGGTTTCCCTCAATGGTACGAGACCCAGACATATCTCAGATTCCTCTTGTAACTCGTCATTACAGCCGGAGAGTGAGATGGTTGCCTGAAAAGAAAAATTAGATTAAAACTACATATACAATAAATAACGTCACAAGTTAAAGTGGGAAAAGAGACTCAAAGCAAAATTCAAAACTCAATTGAAAAAAACTGTGATTTCTAATTGCTGTCGATATGAAAACATGCGAAAACGGATGTTTTCATTTGACAGATGAAATTTGATAGTGAATAAGGCAACACAGGATTTATTCAAAATAAAAATAAAATATAGTTTAAATAATTGTGTGATGAGCACGATCATTTTTGTGTTTGGGTGTAATTTATCTTTAAAGTGTATGAATTTAAAAATTTATAAGTATGTTTATCAGCAGTCTGATTACCATATCACAGGTTCTGCCTAGTTTGGAATCAGACGGCCGTGTGAGAGATGTGTCAAGTTATTATTTTTCCAAGCGCGGGAGTTGTCTTTTAAAAATAACCAAAGATACAAAAAAATATATAATTAAACTGTTTTAAAAACGTGACGTTACTGAATCGAGGCCCTGTACTTAAACCAAAAAACTGCACGCAATAAGTACAATCCTTTATTGAAAAAATAATAAATTTAGAGCCCCAACCACACCGGATCCATAATTGCTCACACATCAATTCAACATCATTATCAACTTTATTCGGCTATAGATCTGCCATCTTATTCACTAGTAAAAAAAACAAGGCTACGCTGGTAAACCGCTGTGACCAGAATCGTAACAGGTTAAACTCCGGTACCCTCCCATTGCTTTTATTTTCTATACCCAAACATTATTACTATTGGGCAAGGCCTATGTCCAGCAGTGGACTGCGATAGACTAATGATGATGATGATAAAACATTATAATTACAGATTTAAATATAAAAATGCATGGGGTCGGCTCTTGAGAAAAGGATGCCAGGAGCAAAGTTTCTCAGTATTCTCAGACTTATTACAATGACTAAGTAATTATAATCAGTTTTGTATGTTTAATATAATATATATATTCTACCACATACACACAACGCCATCTAGTCCCAAACTAAGCAGAGCTTGTACTATGGGTACTAGACAACTGATATAAATACATTTATACTTTTTTTTTTGTAAATACATACATATTATACATAGAAACACCCAGACCAAATCAAACATCAAATGTTCATGCACACAAATGTTTGAATTGAGCAATAATTTACTTTATGAAAACATATGAAAGAAAATAAAGTTAAATACAGTCACATTTATTTGCGTCTTTCTTGAACTATCGTACCCTTGAGAAGTCCAAGAGTACGATATGAACGTGCTATAAGGACGATCCCTTATTAAAAGTTGAAAAATTACCCGGAAAAAATATCCAACATCTATTATGCCGCAGTTTTCCAAATAGGGTGCAATCATATCCGGCACGACTATACCGCACGTGAAGTTTCTCTTAGTCTTGGACATGATAGCGCCTCTCTTCACGGTGGCCAACACTCTCCCAGGAACTACGTACTCCGAAGGTGGCTGTGTACTGCGGTACAGTTCTTTCTGTAACAAATAATGTTGGTATATTTAGTTAATTGAAGTGAAAACTTCTGAAGGCGCGTATGGCATTTTTGAACAACAAACAAAAGAATGTATTTTTGTTTTGAGATGAGAAAAACCATTGAACTCGCGATACTGTTACCGTGCCCGACACCTCTGTATATATTAAAGTGAAAACTTCTTTAGGCTTGATGGGCATTTTTTGATCCCGGAGTACCACTGTTTTTTATGGCGTGTGGCAAACGAGCAGATGCGTCACCACCGTCAGGTGACGCGTCTGCTAAGTGACCACCGCCGCCCATGGACAGCTGCAACTCAAGACCCCCCCCCCTTCCTCCCAGAACCAAGGGTTTGGCCTCCAGTAACCTCACTCGGTGAAAATCAACCAAATAATATTTTTTCAAATCAGCGTTTTTGTCATGAAGGCACGAAAAAAGCACAATTCTTTAATACCACAGTGATCCAAGTGCTAAAAGTACTATTTGCCTGGACAACTGTACGTCTCTCACAGTAGAATGAATGGCTTACAGACAGCAAGTGCCATGATCATTTTTGTGTAAAACTTTAATTTGTGTTACTATTAATTAAAAATATGCAATGAAACATTGTTATAAGTTCAATTCAACATGTTGGGCATGATTTTAATAAATAATTAATAGTATCGAGGCTTTCGTTTTTTCACAAGTACAAACACGTTTACCTAGTTCTCTCAAAAAGATAAAATTGTGACTTTCACATAGTATCTATAGACCACCTGATAGAAAATTGAACATGAGTTATTCCACTTACGGTTAAGATCTCAAACACCATCTCCGTTATTTCAACGCTGCTCTTGTTTTGCACGTCAATAGCGATTGGTATGGTCTGTCCGGGACAATAGCCGGTTACCGGTATCCGGATCCGTATAGTCACAGGACCTGATTCGCAACACCAGTTGCAAGTATTTAACTCTTCCAACTCCAAATCTATGGGTTCCTGACGATAGTATAGACATTACTTTAAAAAAATAACTATTGAACATAGATATACCTTTCTTACAAACTATTGTCCAGTACAAATAATAAAATCGAATAGTGTGTACGTTAGGGTGTCCCGAATTTTTTTTATTCTTATTTTAGCTACTTAAGACCTCTCAAAAGTAGCGCTGTTAGACGTAGATTAGCGTAAAAATAATTCAAAAAATATTTAAAAATATCCTTAGGGCTCTACCAGCATTTTTATTTACTGAAAATTCGCAAAAACAACCTTGTAGTCAATGTCGTATATTCTATGTTTTATGAATCAATCCTATTTTGTCTTGTAATTTTATCAATAAGAAAAGCCTCGGCTATGATTTGCATGTATCGACAGGTTGTTTTAGCGATCAATCGGTTTGGATCGGACTTGCAAAATTCCTACAAAATTCATGTTTTGACTTGATTTTCGTACGTGCGCTACTTCTACAACAAGACAGTTCGTCTCATTTCTATTTCGATTTTACTCTTGTAAGGAGTTGTTCTATTCTTCTTTGAAAGAAAAACGTAATTTGCGTTACTTAATCATAAAAATGTGTTCAAGGCGAAGTGAGACTACTTGTACTATATTGGGACCTTATAAAGAACTTGACGATCGCCAATTACCTGTTATAAAAGACGTTATTAAGTGCATTTTATTTACCAAAAGAGAATTAAAACTACAGAAAAACGGAAAAGATCCATCGAACATAGAAGTCTTTTCAATAGTTTCTGGAAAACTTAACACAATTTGGACCAAAGCTTCAATTCCCATCGTTTCTAACGTACGGGTTACTCAACTGCTAACCGCATATTTTAACAAATATTTATCACTAATAAGATATCCTAAAAGTAAGAGAAACGATAGCTATGACAACAAAGTTAAGTGCTTTTTGGAATCGTCAAATAAGCTTTTTGACATCGCTGCTTGTAAGTGCACTTCGTTTGAAAATTGTTCCTGCACTAAACCCAAGAAAGTTCCCATTTCTGAAAGAGATTTTTTACTGGACCAAAGAAATGATAGGAAAATGGCAATAAGCGGCGTAGACGCAAAAGAAACTGCAAGGCTTTTAAAGAAACATCAAAGACAAGAAAATTTGAAGCGGAAAGAGCAAGCATGTTTTCCGAGTGCTTCACAAACCGATACTGTACCGGTACGCGTGTTGCCGCCTCGTTCACAGTCGCTTTCAATAGAACCTTCTACTAAAAGGGACTTAAAGGAGTCTCCATCTAATTCATTTAGTCGGAACACTCTGACGCTGCCCACAGTAGCTAAGGTATGGGATCGATACGGACTATCAACGCGTTCGGCAGCTGCAGTCGCTTCAGCAGTCTTAGTTGACGTAGGAATGGTATCTTCCGAAGATCTAAACCTTGTGATTGATAAAAATAAGATTCACAGAGCTGTTTCAAAGTCACGTACCCAAGCCAGCAAAGACATCGATAAAATTATTATAAAGAGTATCTACTTCGATGGGCGAAAAGATAAAACTCTCAAGATCAATAAAATAGACAGCCGGTACCACCGAAAAGAAGTCTTAGAAGAACACATTTCAGTTCTTACAGAGCCGGGATCTATTTACTTGGGACATACGACGCCGAGTCGAGGTACTGCGAAAGGGATTGTCACTTCTATTATTGAATTGTTAGAAAATCAAGGATGGAACTTAGAAGAAGTAAGTTGTGTGGGTTGCGATGGCACTCCTACAAATACAGGTTGGAAAGGAGGTGTCATTAAATACCTGGAAGACTATTTGAAGAGACCGTTACAATGGTGTGTTTGTATGCTTCACACAAATGAATTACCGCTTCTCCATTTGTTTATGTCTCTAGATGGTAGCACATCTGGAATACTGAATACTCAGGACCTATTGGAAAACAGCTAAATGTTTGTGAAAGTAAACCACTAGTGTCTTTTTGTGCAGTGGCTGGCAATTTGCTCGAATTACCTGATGACATTGTGAAGGAACTAAGTACGGATCAAAAGTATCTGTATGAAATGTGTCATGCTGTGACGACTGGTTCTTGTTCCCCTGAGTTAGCGAGCCGCCAACCTGGAAAAATGGCGCATTCAAGATGGCTAACTACTGCCAATCGCATACTCAGACTTTATGTAAGTACTGTTTCAAATAATTTAAAGCTGCTTGTCAATTATGTGGTCAAAGTTTATGCTCCAGTTTGGTTCCTCATTAAGAAAAACTCATCATTCAAAGATGGAGCCAATCATATTTTTCAAATGGTTACATACTCCCGATTTTTGCCTGATAAGCAAAGATCTATTGTGAATTCAGTGATCGAGAGAAACGCTTTTTTTGCTCACCCTGAAAACTTACTTGTTACCATGCTATTTGACCACAGAGAGCATATTCGAGAGCTTGCAGCTCGCAAAATATTAAAGGCAAGAGAAGCAGAAATAAGCAATACTCGCAGGGTATTTAAAGTACCAAAACTTAACTTCGATGCGCGATATTACATCGATTTGATATTTTGGCAGGAGTGTGAGATATCCGCTCTACCGATTTTGCGACAGATGTCCGACGACGAACTGAGAATTAAGGCTAAAGAACAAAGCTTCGATGTTATTGATTTCCCCTGTCATACACAATCAGTGGAAAGATGTGTAAAGCTAGTGACGGAGGCTTCTCTAAGTGTCACGGACGCTACAGCTCGGGATGGTTTAATCAGAAACAGATTAAAATCTCGCGCGGAAATGCCTAATTTTGGCCACAAGAACCAATTTCGTATTTGAAATAAGCACTAATTATAAGTATTTAAACTTTACTGAACATTACCTTATGTCTTTGTAGTACCTATAAATTTGATTAAAACCTTTAAAACATTATTTTTGTATCATTTATAGTTTATGTTCGAAACCTCTAAAAATGGCAAATTTGAAAAACTTCTAGGATTGGTAGAGGCCTAAAGATGACAAATATTTAATTAAATTTTGTTATATTTGTAATCTATTCACAAAAACGCAACTTTTGATACCTCTTGCGTAGCCGTCGCTTTAAGAAAAAAAATCCCATACATTGACGGGACACCCTAGTGTACGTGCAGGCAAGCAAATTGATCAGAAGGCCAATTCTCGTAATAAAAGTTCGGTCTGACAACTCTTAAAAAAGGTATTTTCGTAGTATCCAATAGTATATCAATTTTTGAAGCCAGTGTTGCAATATCCAAATAGTACTTTTACGTACGTAAAGCGGGCTTTGATATCATTTGTTTGCCGTACATTCGATCACTTTAGCCCAAACAGTGATTTTAATACAACGACCCGGACTTTTTAATCAAATTGCGCACCATTTTTCATATAATATGAGTAGTTGATATTCCCATTTTACATTTCAGTTTATTTTCGTATAAAATAAAAATCATGAGAAATTAAAATCTGTTTTAATGTTCGGTTTACGCCTATTTTCAAGGAATACAGAACGCGGCTGGCACGAAGGTGAGTCTGTCTGTTACCATAGCAGAAGCAGGTCAGTGGCGCGATGTGTTCCGCGTGCGCCTTCTTAAACCGGAAGGAGGCTTTATGTTTTACACGGGACTAATCCCTCCCACAGGTCCAAAACTGTAACTCCTGTACGCCAGGATCAACAGCAGTGTCCCTCAAACACACCGAGTTCGGGTAATTTTTATGGAAATCCGAGTTCAAATAAAAGGAACAGTTAAAATTTACCGAGAAAAACTATCCTAGGAAAATTTAAAATTGGAGAAGGAGGAAAATTAGAGGAGTTGTAAATATAATATATCCACTCCAAACCAGGCCAAGGCTTCAATTCAATTGTGTGGACTGTGGCCTCCTATGGCGGCTAAGGCCCGCTGGAATTCTCGGTGACTTTTTTCCTAGGGTGACCAAAATCCCGTTTCGATGCCGGCATAGTACTTCAACGTGAGCCCCAGTTATGACCCATGATGACCCACGCGATAAAAAAAACTCGAATCAAACTGCGACAACGCCCCTTTAACGCCCGGGAAGCACTTGTTTAGTAAACACTATGTAAGAAGAAGCACGCGACGGCCTGTCACCTGTACGCAGATTGTACAAGGTGTCTCAAAAGAAAGTTTATATTTATTTAGCTTACTGCGTGAACACAACGAGTCCGAGGGGCACGGGGGTTATGTCAATCGGTAGCCTGGCTCTTGGGAATTCAGTTGCTATGGAGTGTTTCTCGGGAGCAGACCGTACGTTGTGCGTGCGAGAGTTTTACAAAAACGGTGATTCGGCGACTGTAGCGCGTAGAAGGTTCTGTAGTGTTCGAGGTTTTCGCCATTTAAATGATGCGCCAAGCATTCCTCTTATTTGAAAATGGGTCAAAAAGTTTGAAGAGACCGGTACAACGCTGGAAAAACCAAAATCCGGGCGACCAAGGTCATCAAGAACGGTAGAAAACGGGGCGAGTGTTAATCAGTCTGTTCGTGACGACCCGAACCTTTCAATTCGGAAGCGCGCAAGTGCTTTAAATATGCATAGATCATCATTACACCGCATTTTGCACAAAGACCTAAATCTGCACCCCTACAAAATTCAATTGGTGCAAGAATTAAAGCCCCAAGATGCCAGTCAGAGGCTTGACTTCGTAAATCAGGCGATTGAGCGCTTTTCAACGTTTACCAACATCTTGTTTTCGGATGAAGCTCATTTTCATGTTAATGGACACGTAAATAAGCAGAATTGCCTAAAGTGAAAGTATGGGCGGCGATGTCGGCGCGAGGAATTATCGGCCCTTACTTTTTTGAAGACGAAAGGGGGCGTGCAGTTACAGTGAATTCAGAGCGTTATGTGGAGATGTTAAACGACTTCTTGGCGCCTGAACTGCAAAACTTGCCTGGCCATAACTAAAGAACATGGTTCCAGCAGGACGGAGCAACGTCACACACGTCCAATACGTCTCTGCCACGAGTTCGTGAAATTTTCTCAGGAAAATTGATCTCCAGGAGAGGTGACATAAATTGGCCTCCACGCAGTCCTGATTTAACCCCTATGGACTTTTTTCTATGGGGTTATCTTAAATCTAAAGTTTACGCGAATAAACCGACTTCCCTGGCGCATTTGAAAGAAAATATCCGTCACGAAATGGCAGCCATCACTGAGTTCACCTGCCGAGCCGTCATAAGTAATTTTACTGTTCGATTAAATGAGTACTGCGAACGCGAGGGTCTACATTTGGAGGATATTATTTTTAAGAAACAAATGCCCAAATTGTGTACTTTAATAATTAATAAACATCTTTTCGATACACTGCTTACTTTTTTTTAAATCGATCTACTAAATATAAACTTTCTTTTGAGACACCTTGTATATTGCTACAAATACACAAATGTAATAATAACTACGCATAACATTAGGCAAAGATTAGGCATCTGTTGATTAAAATGGGTCTGCATATCATTTCAACAATACCTACTTAGCAACTCCCACTCTGATAATGTTAACTACATAAACTCTTCGAATTTACGTACAAAACAAACTCACCTTTAAAGCAGGATTGCCAGTATTCAAATCCAAAGGAGCCACAACAGTTATCACTTTTTCCAACACTTCTCTCCGCGTATCGTTGTAAGCCATAGTGGCAATGATTCTGTAGGTCACACTGCCTTTTTGGCCCTTAAAGGACGATGGAGCAGTAAACGGTATTTGAAATTTGAAGGGGAAGGCATGGTGTGTTCGTGGCAGTTGAGATATTCCTAAAAGTAAATATATTTTTGATTTTAGCAAATAAATGTATACAAACAGGGATGTTTGCATACAAATGCATACACACTGTCAGGCATATTGAAACGAACATTGGGTATGAGTGTGTGTATTTTGTTCTGGTTGGTGAAGAAAAGTACTGTTCTTAAGGATTCCTAAATTATTTATCGTTTTTGAGGGTGATTAATGCAAGTGAAACTGCATGCTGTGTTGAGATGCATAATAATAATTATTATCAGAATCGAATGTTCCAAAGAAATGAGAAGTGGGTGTACCGGAAATGGGAGGAACCGGATCCATGTGTGAGTGATGGGCATTTGCCAGATGAAAATGTCGCAAATACATTTTGGCGTAACATTTGGTCGCTGCCTCTCCCTCATATAGGAGGTTTTTGGTTGCGGGATGTCAGACGCTCATGTCGACGTGAGTCTATAACACCTATGAAACCTGTTACTATTGATAAACATGATGTAAGCTGTGCAGTTCGTTCATTACCGCAGTAGAAATCACTTGGTCTAGACGGACTGCACAACTTTTGGCTTAAGTGGTTAAGAAGCTCATATGCGTGTTTGGCATCTCAATTCCAGGCAGCATTGGATTCGTGTTCATTACCCCAGTATTTAAAAACTGCCATAAACCACTTACTCTATAAGTCTGGTAGTGTCATGGATGCCAAAAATTTTAGACCTATCACATGTTTACTATGCATGTATAAACTTCTAACATCTATTCTGAGACTCAAAATTACTTTACACATTAATAATAATTCAATTACGTCAGTTTCTCATAATGGATGTAGAAGTGGGCCCGTGAAAATAAATATCTCCTTATCATAGACATGACCGTTAGCAAACAGGTACGTCGTAATCGTAGGAGTCTGGCGATATGTTGGATAGACTATAAGAAGGGTTATGACTCGGTTCCACACACATGGCTTTAGAAGGTGCTGGAGTTGTACAAAATTGATAACTGTGCACTTTCTGGAGTCATGTATGGGGCAATGGAGGACTCCACTTCGCTATCCAGGTTGTCGGCAGACTGCGGTAAACGATGTACCAATAAAGATCAAGCGGGGGTATATTTCAAGGTGATAGTCTGAGTCCCTTGTGGTTTTGTCTGGCTTTGAACCCTCTAAACACTCTATTAGAAGGTTCAGGGTTAGGCTATAGGTTGCAGAGAGATGATCAAGTTATATCTTACCTTCTTTATGTGGATGATTTGAAACTAACCCCTACTAAATTACAATTGACAGCGTTACTAAAGGTGACGGAAAATTTTAGTAATTCTATCAAGATGGAATTTGGTGTAGACACTTGTCTACACCAAATTCCATCTGCAGTGCAGTCATGTATGTAAAGAAGGGAGTGATAGTAGAATTTGAAGGAATATTCTTTCAGATTCGACTAAACTCAGATCTCTGTTTGCCACTGAAACCTACAAGTATCTATATCACAGTCGTTGGGAATACCAGAATCTGACATGAAACAAACGTTGCAAGAACGCTTTTTTGGCCGCCTGAAAAAAGTACTTAAGTCTTTTATCAGGGGGCAACAAGGTGCCCGGCGTGGGTTGAGCAGAGGCGAAACCTCGTGGCGGCCATCGGAGTGGGAGTTCTCTCGCTCGATAGCCTGATTGCGGCTATCGTGCGGAGCGAGAGTGCGTGGAACTCTGCACTGAACTTCTGCGAGCAAGTTATGCTCGCGAAGGAGACGGCGGAGCGAGACCGGGAGAGGTTTAGGACTCTCCCGGCCCGCCAGGCCCGGGAACGGGCCAGGTACCGCAGGCGACTCAGGCGCCGGAGGTCGCAGTACGACCTCCGTCCTCCATAAGCGCAGGCCTGGGAGTGACAGGTGAGGCCATCTGTCACCCTAGCAGAAGCAGGCCGGGGTGGCGGCGAGCGCGTTGCGAAGCGCGCTCGCTTCCAGGGAGCACAGGGAACATGGGGTTACCACACGCGGGGGGGTCGTCTACTCGTCTGTAGATGACCCGAGATATGTCGGGGCACCAGGGACTTCCTTTCTAGGGTATACCTGGTTCCCCGGCTATTAGTACCCGAGACGGCGTGTGGTTTTAGTCGGTTCGGGTCCGACATGCCACCGACAGGTGGTATCCGAGAGGATTTCCGCACGGAAAAAAAAGAAAAAAAAAGGTGGCAACAAGGTGCCTACAATGGTTGGGTCATGGAGGTTCTAATGTATTCCTTTGGTATAATGGATGCCCTTGGCCGGAGCGTCCGTACACTGCTGCCTGCATTCCGAATGCACCACCCACGTTCATCGGTTACGAGATTGCAGTTCCCCCGTTAGTTTAGGGGTCGCGGACTATTAAATATCAAGACCCTACACAATCGCGAAACATACAATCTCAGAAAATATTTTCTACATACTGATGTGGGAGTCATCGCAATGTAGTTGCAGTGGATAAAGGATTCACGCCGCTCGCTCTGGCTAAAGATCGCAGGAAAGTTTGGAAGGGCAAAGAGCTCCCTCCAGACTTAAAAGCATCTACGATTTGGCTACGGTATGGGGATCTCTTCAGAGAAACTGAAGGTTTTCTTTGTGCGAATATGGACGAAGTTATCATGACGAATAACTATCTGAAATATATTTTGAAAGATGGTACGGTTGACATTTGTCGGTCATGCCACCATATTATTACTGGTTGTTCAGGTCTCGGACTATTGTTGCCAACAAGCCTGATATTGTAGTGATCTATCTATTAGAGCGCCGCGCAATGATTGTTGATATCGCCGTTCCCCATGACGAGAATCTCGTGAAAGTTGAAAAACAATTAAAATATTTGGATTTATCTCACTAGATTGTCTACATGTGGAATGTCGATTCAGTGATCATTGTTCCGATAGTAGTATCTGCTCACGGATTGACAGCCAAGAGCCTCGACCAACACCTTAAGAGGCTCACGTTAGACGACTGGATCAAGGGTCTGATGCAGAAGGCAGTTCTCCTTGACACGGCTAGTATAATGAGGAAGTTACTGTCTTTGGAGTCCTAACAAACCGGTGTCTTGGTCCCTGTACCTGATGTCGGTGGTGTACTATTTTTTATATTTTCATTTTTTTTTCTTTTGTAATATATTTAAAAATGTAATGAATATGTAAATATAATGTAATAAAGTGAACAATAATTATGTTTATTTTATCTCCACTAATTACATTCCTGTATTATTTACATATTAAAATACACTTATTAAAGTTGATATTATTTGAAAAACTTGAAATTTGTGGGAGATCTGGAGTCTAAACTAAGCCAAGGAATTAGGAATTCTATATCCATTATCTTGATAAATGTAAATTGCAATTAAATTAAATGGTGAGAACTATATACTAAAATATTTTGTATTAGTAATAACTTCATAGATCTTACACACAGCAGTCTGATCCCAAACTAGGCAGAGCCTGTACTATGGTAATCCGCCCGCTGGTGAATATACTTATATATTTCTAAATACATACATATTATAGATAAATTACACCCAGACACAACAAATGATCGTGCTCAGCTTACAATTATTTGGATTAGCAGTCTGGGTCACTAACCAATAAGGAGGACATTTAGATGAGTATACTTCAGCTTAAATTGCCTGGAAAAACTTGACTCATGAGTTGCAAGCATTCATGTGCTCCCTATTCCATTAAAAAAATCCTGGACCTAGAGGACTACAGGAAGATATTTTTTTTTGGTATAAGAGGGCAGACAAGCAGACGGGTCACCTGATGGTAAGCAACTACCGCTGCCCATGGACACCTGCAACTCAAAAGGCACAAGTGTGTTGCTGCCCTTGGAGTCTCTCCCGCTCGAGTCACTCACTCACTGGTTGAAAGGCAACTAAAGAATTTGATGATTTGATTTGATTTTTTGTAATGTTTTTTCATGTCATTTAATGTTGTATAAGTTGTACCTAATTTTAACATTAACTAAAACTAAATTTAAACTTCTATTAATAAAAGCAACAAAAAATAAAAAGTTCTATAACTCACCTTGTCCTCCAGCCAGAGTTTCAGTATAATTAAAATATTCTTCATGACCTTGATATTTAATCTCACTCTTCCGTTCTCTACCATGAATAGTATCAATTTGAGTATATGACCAAAGGACATTTGCTTCACCAACATACTGGATGTATATTACTAGAATGATAAAAAAATTATTAAAAGAAAACCTTTTTTTTTTTATTTTTTCACAGAGAATCATATTAAATCATGGATACCTACCAGAAAAATTTAGAGGTTCTCTAAGATCAAAAACTACAGACCCATTTATAGTCTGACCTGAGTAATATGCTGCTGGGATCTCCTCTAATCTAATGGAACCATTCTGGAAGCCCACATCTGCCATTTTATAAGTATATAAAAGTCAAATATACTATACAAGTAAGCTCTGTTATCTAGCAAAACAGCGGTGGATTGTCAAGGACAATCAATATGCAAAAATCATACTGCAGAACGTGATATGCGTATTAAAAAACGACTTAAAATTTTGGTTACACCCATATAATGCCAAACTTGTGAAACGAAGAGTTAAAGGGCACCACAATAGATAATTTCTATACCACAGAGGCACGGAGTACTATTATCAGTAATATGAAAATGTTAATGATTGCTTAATTGCTATAATTACGATATAAAACGATTAATGTCCCAGACTCACAGCAACACACACACACAATTTGACACTATATAATTTTAGATTTGCACCGAAAACTATAGACTTTATAACGCGTGCAAAAGGCATACATTTGTACATAGAAGCGAAAATGAGAATATTAAAAACAATGTCAAATTCAAAACAGTGAAACGAACTAGTGATGCTAATATTTCGAATATATCGATTCATTAAAATATTAAATCTAAAGTTTTTCAAGAGAAGTAAAATGTAAATTAATTAATTTTTACTGGTATAGTGCATATTTCTATACAACATATAATTATATTTAACTGCCTTTTCTAAATCAAAATTAAGGATTGTGATTATTGACTTTTCTGTATCTTTTGAGTCCAGAAACATTATTGGTATAGTTGGGGTATGGCACTCTTTGGGGGAGGTTTTCGTCTAACATTGGATAATGATAGGCTGATGATGATTGTAGTATAGGCAAATATTTTAACCTAGCTTCTCCTCATTCCTGAATTTAAATGTTATAGGTGAACCGCTGTACTAGACATTTTATAGTATAACATCATACTATGAAATGGCAGTCCTTATGTACGGGCTATATCCTACCACGCTTCGTTGTAGCACATTCCAAAAAATAGATAATAAGAAGAAAAAAAGAAACGTTTATTTGCACAGAACAAGGTGGTACCGGATCTAACAGTGGTGTATTGTTCAAGCTAGACCTGTTTTAGACATGCAAATATTTACGTTTAAACACAAACAATACCTATTAATAACAAAACATCAAGATATTTCCTAATTATAGTAACTAATAAAATTAGGAAAATGTCAAGAAATATTATTACATAATTAGCATAGAAATTATAATTATACCCTATTTTATTAAATTTTATAAATATTCAGATATTCGTTTTATACTACATGAATTCTTTCATCGTATAAAAGCACTTTTCGATTTTTTCAACTCAATTTTAAACTATTTAAATGGAAGTTCCCTTAGGTTCTTTGTAAGTTTATTACAAAACTATTATGCACGACATGTGATACACATTCTTTTGGATGAAAGTTGTTCTACCACATGAATTCATCATTTTAGGCCTTTCGAAGGAGAGGCCTATGTCCACTGCTGGGCCTATTAAAGGCTGTTGATGAGTATGATCTCTTGGTATTGGTAATAAACATCTTTAAAGCTTGTTGTATGTCGTGTCAAAATTTCAGCTCAATCGGTGCAGAACCTATTGCGGTTTTGAAGCGTACACAAACTAACCTATAATCTTTATATATATGGATACATAAATTATATGTTATGAAAATTATAAGCTCTAATCACAGGTTACCTATAAAATTTAGCAAGCTAACCAACGTAAACTAAACGCAGTTTAGAAACTAAATTACAAAGTTCCTATTTTGACGTTTGACGTTTAATTAATATTTTTCTCCCTCATTGTGATCACGCGTTGAGCCAACTAATTCTTAAATCTCAACACAAATTTTCTCAAGATGGGCAAGTTAGACGTAGCTATATTGCGGTATTTGACCAGCGAGGATTTTAGAGTCCTAACTGCGGTATGGTGAAGATACATAAATTAAGTGTGTTAACCTTTATTCTCTTATTTATGAATATTTATTTTGTAATTTTAGGTGGAAATGGGTATGAAGAACCATGAGCTGGTCCCTGGTTCCCTTGTGGCCTCGATAGCTAATCTCCGTCACGGTGGTGTCCACAAATTGATGAAAGAATTGTGTAAACACAGGCTATTGACGTATGAACGTGGAAAGCAATGTAAGTTATGACTGCTTAGTATCAGTATCTATAGTTATTGTTTTTATATGTATACATGGTGCATCTAAAGATGGACTGAAGGAGAGTATTTATATTCATGAATTAGCTGTTTTGTATAGTGACAATTGTGGATTGTAACACCACATAATATGCTTGACAAAAAATTAAGAATTAATGGAATATTAGATAAAGGTAAATTGTTGTATGTGTTATGCTATAAGACTATTAAGTGCTAAATATAAATAATCTGTGTGGTGACGGATTAAGAATACAGAGTGTCACCACCCCTATTCATCCCGTAAGAGCCGACTAAGGGAAAAAACTATGCAGGACAACAGCACTGCAGAGAGAAGGAAAACTTGACACAAACCCTATACCAACCAGTCTGGCCAGCGTGGTATAGTAGGCCAAAACCTCCTTTCTCAGGAGAGGCCTATATCCAGCAGTGGACTATTGAAGGCTGTTGATGAATAAATAATAACAACTTATTAAGCACTAGTTACCGGCTCTGTCTTCGCATGGGTAATAGTGTGAGACTTGTGCTTGAATGGTTTGTCACTGAAAGCTCCCAGCTGCTTTGACTTTATCTGTCATTTTTCACAATTATTGTCTCATTTCACCCAATTCACATAAATCCTTTTTTCTTTATGAATAACTTCTGTCTATTAGTGAAAACTGTGTTAAATTCCGTCAAGTAGTTTTTAGTTTAAAAGAAACAGGGAGATGGATCTCGTTTTTATAATATATTGTGATAAAGAAATTAAAGATTAGTTTCCCTTTATTTGTAAAATTCTTTGACAATGATTATTCAAAGCCAGGAAAACTCTAACGTATGTACGTACTCTAACGTACTTCTAAGTACGATTAATAGGCCAATTTAAATTAAAAAAAGCCTACACCTTTGCCATCATTATCTCAGCCAAAAGACGTCCACTGATGGACATAGGCTTCCCCCAAGGTTTGCCATGATAACTGGTCCTGTACTGCCCCCATCCAATGACTTCCTGTAACCTTCACCAGGTTGTTGGTCCACCTTGTTCATTATTCCTCATACTTTAGCTCAAATCACAGTATAAATTGTAATAATTTTCAGATGATGGTTACCGTCTTACAAATTCTGGTTATGACTACTTGGCTCTCAAGGCCCTGACCAATAGAAAGGTAATTGCTTCATTTGGCAATCAGATAGGAGTTGGTAAAGAGTCCAATATTTATACAGTGGCTGATGAAGACAGAACACCATTGTGCTTGAAGCTGCACAGGTAAGAACATTCTTTAGTTTGACTCATGAGCCTAGTAATTCCTCAAGAAGCAATTGGTTAGAACACATTCATGTGATATATACTATAGAAAAGTATGGAAGTATCAAAAATGGTTAGGTACAAGGGGTAACACAACAGACAGTGGGGGTGAGCGTAGACGCATCCCAAGGAGTACTCCCTGAACCTACTCCTCGGTCGCAATTCCCAGTTGCATGTGTTGATCAAATCTATCACACGATGGACCAGGCACTCTCACGGTGAATCCACTGAACGCTAAGAAATAAGTCTTCCTGCACTATTCAGGAAACATGGTTAGGTTAATATCAACACAGTACATTTACATTTCTCCTCCTTTAAATTAAGTATCTGGTGTGGGTATTGTACACAGTGGTAAACAAGGTTGTGGTCATTTCTTTTTTGTACTTTCTTTTATAAAAAGGCAACTAGTGCATAGGAATATATCCTGTGTCGCAGAAGACTCTACAAACATACATAAAATGGACACATACAACACCCAGACTCAGAACAACAATTTATGAATCATATGAATGAAGTGTTGTTCGATGTGGAGATTGAACCCACAACACTCAGCGCAGTAGGAAGCAATGAAACATCAAACAATGAATCATTAATACAATATATTAATAATATATTTCAGATTGGGCCGTACATGTTTCCGGAACATCAAAGGCAAACGTGACTACCATGCACATCGAAACCGTGCCTCTTGGCTTTATCTGTCACGTATATCTGCCACCAAAGAGTTCGCCTACATGAAGGCGCTCTATGAGCGAGACTTCCCTGTACCCAAACCGATTGATTTCAATAGACACTGTGTTGTAATGCAGTTGGTGCATGGGGGACCCTTGTAAGTAACTTTTAATAAATGACTATTTTTTCTCGATAAATTTTTGTAATCGATTTAACAAAAGCTTTTGACAATATTATACTTATTTATTAAGATGTATCTGGTGATATATATATAATATAATTCTATTATAATATAATTCTGGATCTAATTATTAACAAATTGATATAAAGCTATTAAGTTAAACTTCATTTTTATATTCGTAGTTTGGTAAATGTGATAAAGGTGTACTCCAAGGATGGATTTTGAGTCGCCTATGAAATTATTTATTTTTTCAGAACCCACGTTACATCTGTAGCTGACCCGGACGCTTTATACGACGAACTAATGAACCTTATTGTACGCCTCGGTAACTGCGGTGTGATCCATGGTGATTTCAACGAGTTCAACATAATGATAGATGAAGACAATCATCCTATTATCATTGATTTCCCGCAAATGGTGTCCACCTCACATACTAATGCTGAACTGTAAGTAGTTAAGTTCCAGGTAGCAGTAACAATGAGGGTTTTCTGAAATGTTCCACGTGAGATGGCAGCACTGTAGCGTCAGGTCCAACCACCTTTTTTTTTTTCGAGAGTAGCAAGAAGCAATCTAAGCCTAATCTAATTTTTTTTCCGTGCGGAAATCCCCTCGGATACCACCTATCGGTGGCATGTCGCACTCGAACCGACTAAAACACCTACAGACGAGTGGACGACCCCCCCGTGTGGGAACCCCATGTTCCCTCTGCTACCTGAAAGCGAGCGCGCTTCGCAACGCGCTCGCCGCCACCCCTGCCCGCTTCTGCTAGGGTGACAGATGGACTCACCTGTCACCCCCAGACCTGCGCTTATGGAGGACGGAGGTCGTTCTGCGACCTCCGGCGCCTGAGTCGCCTGCGGTACCTGGCCCGTTCCCGGGCCTGGCGGGTCGGGAGAGTTCTAAACCTCTCCTGGTCCCGCTCCGCCGTCTCCTTCGCGAGCTTAACTTGCTCGCAGAAGGAGACGGCAGAGTTCCACGCACTCTCGCTCCGCACGATAGCCGGAATCAGGCTATCGAGCGAGAGAACTCCCACTCCGATGGCCGCCACGAGGTCTCGCCTCTGCTCAACCCACGCCGGGCACTCTGCCAGCCTGTGGAGAGCCGTGTCCACGGTCTGGCCATCGCAGTGGTGGCACTCAGGCGCTGGCTCCTTGCGGATCAGACACAGGTGATCCCCGAAACATCCTTTCCCAGTGATCACCTGCGTCAGTCGGTATGAGAGGGTCCCGTGACGCCTCTCGAGCCAATCCTCCATAACGGGTCTTACCGCCGCGATGACGGCGTGCCAGGCGCTCGGTTGCCCGAGTCGTTCTCTCCACAGGTCCAACCACCTGTCAAAACACATACACGATTTGTATTTTTCGATCATTTTTTTTGGTTTATTCATTCTTAAAAACGTTACAAAAGGAATACTGATTTCTAAAATGCCACAGTGTTGTGCAGTGCCTATGTGTGCAAATATAACTTTTGCGCCTCTCTTTTTGAGCTCAATCTTCAGTTCGGCAACCTTTCTCTGGCCGTAATCTATAATAAACTCAATAACACTTCCAAATTCATAGAATTTCACTAAAATATTATACGTTCGGTAAGAATCTGTGCTATCTGACAGCTGTTTGGACCTGACGCAGACGAAGCGCCGTCTGGTGGCAGAAAAAGTATCGAAGACCCTCATTGCTACTGTTACAGTATGGCTGAGAGTTTAGAGCTTACGTTTTTTGCTGTTTGTTACGTGTCTTTATCTTTACGGCTGTTAGGCGTTACCTAATTGTGAAGAAGGGAATGAAACAGACTTTTCTTTCTCCTTCTTCTTTAACTTCTATCAGTATTCATATTTTTGCATTATGTTATATATTTATGACAACCATACAAATGTTATAGTTCTATCAGAAATCGTATTAGTATACAAACCGCGGTGGTAGTCTAGTGGTTAAGGCATTGGATTTGCTATCCTGACCAGTACACTACCAACGTGAACCCACTCCTAATACAAGCAATATAGCTTAGCTGGGGGGGTTAACGGGAATACTAGTAGTTTCGGTTGCTTGTAAGCCTTTTTAAAGAATAAAATCTGAATATTTTTTTTTACTTGTAAACAGTTACTTCGACCGTGATGTGCGTTGTGTCCGAGAATTCTTCAAGAAGCGCTTCGGCTACGAGTCTGACCTCTACCCAAAGTTTAGTGATCTGGAGCGGGAGGACGAACTTGACACGGAAGTCGCCTGTTCTGGATATAATCGTACTAAGGACTTGGATAATGATCTTCTAGAGGTAATAATTGATGCTTAAAATCTTAATTCTTGGAGGTACGTTATGTAAACTTATGACAATATTACTATGAGCACGAAAGGCGAATAAGTCAATGGCGATAAATAATTGTTTCGTTAATTATAAGTAGATTAGTTGTAAGTAAAACACATACTGCAATTATGTATATATAAAACTGTAAACAAGTCAAAATGCTAGGTATTATTTTATTTTTAACTGTTGTAGGTGTTACTTTATAATTTAAATACTTTAAATAAATGAGTATATTTTTATTTACAGGAAATGGGCATTGGTCTTCAAGTTAGTGACGAAGAAAGTGATTCTGATGATGAAGAAAACGTAGAAGATAATAAAACAAAATATTCAGAACAAGATTTAGAAGAGCTTAGAAAAGAAGTAGATGCATCCATACAAAGCGACACAAGAACCACAGTACCAGAAATTGCAGCAAAAACTTTTAAGTTGACCATAAAAGATAAAGAAGACTTTGAGGGTACCAACAAAGAAAACGAAGAAGATGAAAATGTAACTACACTAGTTAAGCCAGAACAAGAAGAGAAGGAAGATAATATTGAAGAACTAGATAAAAATTCACAGAAGTATCGATTAGCCATGATTGAGAAAGCGTTGTCAGATGTGCGGTCAATGAGAACTTATACTTCTGCTAGTACAATAGCCCCAGAAGTTATAAAACAGCAAGTAAAGAAAAATCTAGAGATAAAACAGAAGAAAATGCAGAGGAAGAGGGAGATAGCGAAAGGAGAAGCCAGTGCTGTGACCCGGCAAAGAAGAGACAATAGAGAGACGATACGAGAAAGTAACGGTTTGTGGGGATGGGATGAATAAATATATTTGTTACATAAGTTGCTTTATTAATCAGTAAAAAAAAATTTTTTACAAGCAGATCAAAAGTATTTAAAGATAAGTCATTTTATACAGAAAATAAAAAAAACCTAGGCAATTTTTTTAAAGACAACTACCCCATTAGGAATATAGATCCTGTGTTGCGAGGGACATTACAAACATACTTACATGAAACGGACACAAAGAACACCCAGACTCAGAACAACAATTTGTGGATCACACAAAGTATCGTACCATGTGGGGATCGGACCCACAATTCTCACGCAGTAGGAAGCGCCGTGGCGCTTAAACCACTACGCCATCCTTGCAGTCGAAGTTTCTAGTCTGAGTTAATACTAGGAGTTTCTGAGTCAGACTAAAATTTCCTTATCCAAACTAAGGGTGCTCTATTAGGTGGAAGAATATGCTAAAACCGACGGAATTAGTCAAATAGTGGGCCAACCTTTAATTACTGAATATATAGATAAAACTATTAAGTACCATCACTATCCGATTATGGTCCGACGACTTGGTGAAGGTCGCGGGAAATCGTTGGATACGGGCAGCACAGGACCGGTTGTTGTGGAGAGCCTTGGGGTAGGCCTATGTACAACAGTGGACGTCTTTCAGTTGAAATGACAATAAAAACATAGTGAGGAGGAACCGACTATATCCTTCTAAAATAATGAGGGTAAGCCTGGTGGGCCGCGGGCCATTGATCGATCTTGGAAAGTTGTTTACGCTAATCGGCACGAGAACTTTCATTGCGCGATGCAGGAATGCCTCCGTAGTTCGACGTTTCTTCATAAGATGGTGTTGAAGTATGTTTTTGGTTGTATGTGGAGGTCGCTACACGTCAATTCTCAGATTTTATCGTATTCTTTATTATCAGCAATATCTTCATCCTCAATTTGAAACTTAGAGGAAGGAAGTCCAACAGTGGTTGACTTTATATCCGTCTTCTGCACCCATACGTGGTCTCGTATGTAAATCAGTTGTACGTATGCTTCTACGCAAAGCATCTGAAATGAAAAGATAGGTATATAACTAGTGCACTGGAATCAAGTATAGGTTTGGCTTAGATTGCTTCTTGCTACTCTCGCAGACCTGCAACTTCCTTATAAAAATAAAAACTTACTCACGCCTGTATCCTCTAAGGATTAGCTAGTAAAGTAACTGAACTGCACTAGTTAATAAGGTCATTGGAAAAATTAAACCCCCTATGAACAAAAGTCAGTCAACAAGTAGAGGGGATTTTTCACCTCTATTTGTTGACCGATTTTTTAAACTGAGCAGTTGTTTTTATTTTGAGCATTTCACGAATAGTATAGATTGCTAGCCATCAAGTCAAGATTGAAATATTAAAACTATGGAGTGTAGAGGTAAGGAGATCCAGCTCATATGGGGTGAAAGTTGAAAAAGTGTCCAGCTGTATACTGAAAATAGAGGTCCCTGGCGTTCGAAAAACTACGATATGAACATAGCTATTGCAGACGGAGTGAAGTGTGCTTAGTTAAAATATTATAAAATTTTGTATTGTCTGAAAGTTATATCATCATCATCATCACATCAACAGCCTTTACTAGTCCACTGCTGGACATAGGCCTCTCCTTAGAAAGGAGGTTTTGGCCTACTATACTACTCTGGCCAGACGGGTTGGTATAGTGTGTCGACTTTTCCTTCTTTTTGTAGTGCGTTGTTTTGCGCTCTTAGTCGGCTCTTAAGACACCCACGGGATGAATTGGGGTAGTGACATTCATTTGACTATTTTCGCAGTTTAGTACACAGTGTCTAATTATTATTTATGTCAATACAAATTTATCCTGGGCCGTCCGTAAAAAAGCGTCCAATGAGGGTTCATTGGACGCTTTTTTACGGACATTTGATACATAAAGATGGTTCTGCTTGCGTCTACCCTTCATAATTCAAACGCAACATTATTTTTGTGTGGGGGGTATAATTTCAGGGTAGGTACCTATTATCAAGTCCCTTTTGCTATACACATTTTCCTTGAAATAATTATTTTACCTTGCGTTTATCCTGCGAGTATCCTAGCAATCGATAAATGTATCCAAACACACTGGTCGATATTTTGGCCTCGTATACAGGTACATAATTGTCCTGTGTGAAGAACGGATAGTTCAAAACTTCGTATGAACCTGATTGTATTGGACACTCTAGCCTGTAAAAAACGTATTGTAGGTACAAGGTATCACATTTTTGTTGGCCGTAGCCCTTTATCAAGACAGTGCGAGATAGTCTTTCAGGCCCTTTGTTTACTTCACGTAAATTGTATTTCAATGTGCAAATGATCATTAAAAGCAAGCAGCAAACCTCATTTTGGATTTCACCGGCAAGTTTTGGGTTGCCAATACAAAAACTCATCCCAATAAAACTACCGGTGACTCGGATAGTTTATTTTTTCAAAAAACTATTCTTTTTCCCATTTCACACCCTTGAAAGTTTCCATTTAACCTGATGAACTCACTTGGGGTTGATATAATGGAAGAGCATGGTATATATAATTTGTTCATTTTCACCGTCGTCGTTGCAGCCATCCCGTACGAGGCTGAACGACCTAAAGTGATCACAAGTATCTCTGTTGCGCATGTCCAGGCACTTTTCAACTACTACCTGGAATATAAAGAATGCTTTGAATGTTTTTTTTTTCAAATTTATGACCAGCCGTAAGCGTGACCGTATTAATCTTGGGAATGTAATGGTTTTCAGACGGGACATAGGAAAAAGATAAATATGGATAAGGAAAAGAGATAGAGCGAGGAAGTTTAACCTTAGTTCTATCTCTTTTTGGGATATCGCCTGCAAAAACACGGCTCTGTTCGGCTGGACCGGGTACCCGGGTACCCGTCTGTGGCTAGAGAGGCTAAAAGGGGCTGGGATATTGCTGGACTGGGACTAAAACGTCAATTACCCTTTATTTAATATTAATTGTAATAAGCTAGTAGGCCAAAACCTCCTTTCTAAGGAGAGGCCTATGTCCAGCAGTGGACTAGTATAGGCTGTTGATGTAATAAGCTAATAAGGCAGATTTCTAATGTCAAATTATTTAATTGTTGTATGTAATATAATGTATTTATTTATTTTTACACTTCCTGCATTAACGGATAAGAGACGCCTGAACGTAGCCGAAATGCGAATGCTGAGATGGATGTGTGGTGTGACTCAGATGGACAAGGTTAGGAATGCGTATATACGAGGGAGTCTGAAAGTAGCGCCGCTGGATGAAAAGTTAAGAAGTAATAGGTTATCTTGGTATGGACATGTCATGCGGAGGGATGACGAAAATGTGGCGAAGAAAGTTTTAGGTATGGGAGTTGAAGGGTACAAGAGAAGAGGCAGACCGAAGAAAAGGTGGATGGACTGCGTGAGGGATGATATGGCTAGCAAGGGAGTAAACAGTAAGATGACGCATGACAGAGTAGAATGGAAAAATCATACATACTTAGCCTTAGCAAATAAAATTGGGAAAAGGGTAGGCAGATGATGATGATGACTTCCTGCATTACAGTTTGCACGAGGCGGACTTAATGCCACATGGCATTATCTACCAGTCAACCTTAAGATGGTTCAGTAAGGGACATGCCAGGTGCACATGTATTATGTAATAAGAAGAGAAGCTATGAAAATATAACACACTTAGTTAATAGTTGACAACTTCGACGGAGTCGTCAACTTAAAATAAAATTATCGTCTGATATATTTTTAACGTTTCTGTGCTGCCCGCATCCAACGGATTCCCTCGACCTTCTCCAGGTCGTCGGACCACATTGTGGGGGGGGGGGGGGGCTACCCACGCTGCGTTTTCCGGTACGCGGTCGCCACTCGAGAGCCCAGCCCCATCGGCCTCTGTGCCTCGCCCACTGCCATTAAGTTTGGCAAGTCTCCGAGCACTTGTCCAAAGTCCTGAAAGCCAATTGTCGTGATAAAAGTTCGGTCACAGTTCAGTTCTGATCAACTGTCGATCTTGCAGATGTCATAAAAAGTATTTGGAACAAAATTGTAATCCAACTTTTATTACAAGAATTGGTCTTCTGATTCGATCACGTACAGAAACTCCGAGCATTACCTTCTCCTCGTCTTCTTGTGAGCGACCAAGTCTCTGTGTGATAAGTTATCATTTATTTTATAATTAAATTAAATCAAACAATTTAAATCAAAACCTATTAATACATTATAGATCGAATAACTGGTATTTAAGATATCAGGAAATTAATTAACCACTCATAGAATTTTTAATTATTTGCATATGTATATGATTCGTAAATGTCACATATTTTCACTTCATGTAGACACATGGCTGTAACTGGCTGTAAATCTGGTGAGTACAAAGGGAAATTAAACAAAATAACCTTAATTTTCCATCCGTCCTCGATGTTTTCTGTGATATTAAGTGTCCCACTCAAAGTCGAATCGTATGACTGCGTTGATATTTTGAGTTCTGACACCGATATGATATCCTGTGGTTCGTCTTCACATGGCCCCACTCGGGTCACCAACAAGTGCGTCGGTGCTGGTGAGCTTTTAATCAATATCAGGCATGAAAATACAAGAAATGTCCCAAACCACATCTTAAGCATAATATAACATAATGTACTAAGTCCACAACATTCTAAATTGTGTTCTATATTTAAATGTTTCATTGTTATGGTAGGAGATCCCATCGTGATGAATTTTTAATGCATTTTTAATTTCAGTTGTGTATAGGATATGTACCAGATTACTGAATACGTTTAATATCGTTGAATTATTTAACTGAACTATTTACGTGTAGCTTATAACAACTAGTGTAACATGTCTTGAATGAATGAATTGAATGAATTGAATTTTCTTTCTTTCTTTCTTTCTTTCTTTCTTGCACAGATTTCAGATCTGCAATGTCAATTACGTGGAAAAATCTCGTATACTATAGTTGTTGCCAGATAAGTTGGCAAAGGCGGTCATTCAACACCCCTACAACGATATTCGTAATTTACAATTGCGACAGTTACGATGTTCCCGTAACGACAGAAAGTAGGATCGCTAGTGAATCGTTGTGAAGGGTCGTCTAGACAGACAGGGGTTTTATTAAAATTGTGGTGGTTTATTAAAATAACAAAACAAAATTTCAAAGATATTTTAATATTTAATAAAATAATTAAATGTGCTTGGATGTGTCTCCGACATTGCCGAAGTCACTGGGTTACTACTTAACATTAGGTATAGCGACACTTCTTTAGTGTCCCAGCTTAAAGCAATAAGAAAAGACGCTGCATGCAACTTATAACTAGAGATCGCCAAAAACACACACAGTTTTATAGTTATAATACTTAGTATTTACATGACTGTTAAAGGTTTTCAAGTCCGTAACATCCATAATTATCGTCCTAAGCCAATCTAGTGGGTTGGGTTAGACTTGGAGTCCCCCGGCGATGGCCTCCTTGGCCGGAGACGACGGGGAGCACGGGGAGGAAAATGTTCCGCCCGTCCGGGATTCGGAGGTAGGGGCGGCTGTTCTACGGATCCGTTCCAAGAACACCGCCCCTGGGCCAGACGGGGTACCGGCCCGAGTGCTGGCCCTGGCCCTCAACCACTTGGCAGACCGCCTCGGGGAGGTGTTCGACGCTAGCTTGGCGTCGGGACGCTTCCCTGAGTGCTGGAAGAGCGGGAAGCTGGTCCTATTGAGGAAGCCGGGACGGCCGGCCGATTCGGTCGCGGCCTATAGGCCCATCGTGCTGCTGGACGAGGCGGGCAAATTGTTTGAGAGGGTTCTTTCTGCCCGCATCGTCCGGCACCTCTGCGAGGTGGGCCCCGATCTGTCGGACGCCCAATTTGGTTTTCGGGCGGGGCGTTCGACAGTCGACGCCGTGTTGCGCCTGAGGGCCGTGACCGAAGAGGCCGTGAGCTGTGGCGGCGTGCTGTTGGCGGTGTCATTAGACATCGCCAACGCATTCAATAGTCTGCCATTCAGCTGCATCAGGGAAGCACTCCACTATCATGGGGTGCCAAAGTACCTGAGGCGGCTGGTGGCAGACTATTTAGAGGAGCGTACCGTCGTGTACGAGGACCGAGAAGGTTATTTGAGGTGTCGGCCCATGTCGTGCGGTGTTCCACAGGGGTCTGTTCTTGGACCCCTCTTGTGGAACATAGGGTACGACTGGGCCCTTCGCGCCGATTTCCCCCCCGGGCTGGGTGTAATCTGTTACGCAGACGATACCCTCGTGACAGCCCGGGGGGCAAACTTCCAAGAGGCGGCGAGCCTGGCCACAGGGGGAGTCTCCCTGGTGGTCGGGCGCATTGAGGCGCTGGGCTTACGGGTGGCCCTAGATAAGACGGACGCCCTGTTATTTCATGGGCCCCGTCGTGGTCCACCCCCTGGCGCCTCAATCGTGGTCAACTCGGTCCTCGTACCGGTTCGGGCCCAGATGAAATATCTGGGCCTGATCCTCGACGGGAGGTGGCTCTTCGACGAGCACTTCCGACAGCTTGCTCCAAAGCTGGTCGGCGCTGCGTCTGCCCTAGGGCGACTTTTGCCCAATATGGGTGGACCCAGCGTCGCGACAAGACGGCTGTACACGGGGGTTGTCCGGTCAATGGCGCTGTACGGTGCACCGGTGTGGGCGGCGGCTCTGACCGCCCAGAATAGGGTACGCCTCTGGCGCCCTCAGAGGGTAATGGCGGTCAGAGCCATACGCGGTTACCGCACCGTTTCTACGGAGGTGGCATGCGCGTTGGCCGGAACTCCCCCGTGGGATTTGGAGGCGGAAGTGCTCGCCGAAGTTTATCGGCGAGTGGCTGACTCCCGGGCGGAGAGCGGATTTCGCCCTCCGCCCGAGGATGTGCGCGAGTGGCGCGAAGCCGCTCGCCGAGCCACGATGGCTCGTTGGTCGTTCCGGCTGGAGACTCCACGCGCTGGCTTCGCCGCCGTGGAGGCTCTCCAGCCGGTCATCGCCGAGTGGGCAGGGCGGCAGCACGGGACCCTTTCCTTCCGACTGACGCAGGTGCTTTCCGGGCACGGTTGCTTCGGAAAGTACCTGCACACGGTCGCTAGGAGGGAACTGAGTCCCGCCTGCCACCACTGCGACTGCAGTGAGGACTCGGCCCAGCACACGCTGGCGGTCTGCCCCGCATGGGCGGCGCAGCGCCGGGCCCTCACTGCAGTCATCGGAGTGGATCTCTCGCTACCGGCCGTAGTACGCTCCATGGCCGGTAGCGACAGTTGTTTTACCGCGGTCGCAACCTTCTGCGAGGTAGTAATCTCGCGGAAGGAGGCGGCGGAGAGGGCCCGGGAGGACGACCTCCACTCGGACCCGATCCGCCGCCGGCGAACCGGGCGGCGGAGGCCCGCCTACCACAGCCTCATGCCGCCCTGAGTGTGGCCGCGGGTGGACGGGGTGGGTTTCCCCTCCACCCGCATTAGTTTGGCCAGCCGCGAGGGGGCGGCGTCCGCGTGTGCCGGACGTCGCCTATAAAGAGAGGAAAACATCGAGACGGAGCCCGCACCAGGAGCGGGCTGGCGCTAGGAGGGGTCCGGATGTCTTAACAACAGCTGTTCCCGGATCCCTCCTGTTACAGGCGCAGAGTGGCACACCGTGTGGTTTTAGTCGGTCCGAGTCCGACACACCACCCCGCCGCAAACCCCGGAGGGGTGACGGTCCGAGGGGATTTCCACACGTTAAAAAAAAAAAAAAAAAAAAGACTTGGAGTCGAGACCTTACTTTAGAAGTCTGCAATCTACCGGACCAAGTAAGTTGTTTTGAAAGATATGATGTAATCAGGTGAAATGTATAAGTACTGATAAAAAGCAGTAAAAAACAGTGTATGTTATGTAAGCCCCTTTATCATCTGCATTGATAATAATCGTAATAAAATAGTATATGTCTTTAATATAATTGTATAATCTTATCTATGGGCACGCGACATTGTAATGAAAAAGATTTTTAATAAGTAGGTACCTACTTGTGGCTACTCCAAAATGTGATTTAAGTTTCTTTCAATATGTTGAACATTCCGAATGTTTACTATAATATATATAATACACATATAATAAAACTACTACGCCGAGTGTTGTGGGTCCGATGTCCCATGTGGGGATCGGACCCACAACACTTTGTGTGATCCACTAATTGTTGCTCTGAGTCTTGTCATGTAAAGTCTCCCGCGACACAGGATTTACTTCTAAGTAATATTAAAGCAAGATTGCATGCACATGATGTAGGTGCATAAACATGATGTACATGCACATTTATCTTGCTTAAAAAGCATTTTTTAATAATAATTCTTCATCAAAAAAAAAACTTGTACTATTTGTAAGATTTATAACCGTACTCAATCAAATATTTGTGATAAACAAAAATGCTTTCACTTTTTTTTATTATAATTGTTAATTAAGGGTAAATTGTGATGTAATTAATTATAGTAAAAAAATTGAGATCTATTACCCCACGTATTTATTCGATAAAATTATTTTTCTTTTTGACCTTTTTGAAAATTATTGCCTACTTTTTAGTTCGGCTAGCTACAAAAGCTTCAGCACACGCCTTAGTACGTGGCAAAAGGCACTGCCGTATTTTTAGGTATGGAAAAAGCCGTTAATCATGAAGGTCCTGATCAGGATAACTTGACAAACTATTTAAATTATTGCATTGTCGTCGGTCCTTAATAAGTGTGTAAAGTTTCAATTTAATTCGACGTTTTGAAGTTGGTCAAAATCGCGTCCGAAGATTCCGTTACAGTCAAAGGCATACAAACACACATACCAAGCTTATAAAAGCGTGTTCAAAGACTAAACGTATGGCGCTGTAGTAGGTTTTTGTTTCGTAGTATGTGGAAGTCGCCATAAAACGATGCGAGATATTAAAGGATTGTAGTAAAACAACAATAAGACAGAATTATATATATTTCGATATTACCCTCACAATAAATAGTTGACATTGCGTCCTAGACTAAGCAATGGTTCCAATGTTACCTTCAATAAGCATTTAATCAAGAGTCACTTGGCTTCCTGCATATTTCAATGGACAAAACAAATAGTCAAACAAAACAAGTAATGTTTTATTTCTTTTGTACAGAATTAAATGCGTACTTACCAAGATGCCCGCCTTTGATGCTAGCTCCCAAAAAAAGTGCCTTAACAGCCATCACATTTCTCAAGAAAACCGAAGTGTTGCCAGTTAAACGAATCAAATCGATTTTTAAAGACAAATACTAATAATCGTTTAATACAATTTATAAAACCTAACAGGATATAAGCATTTTAGTTGTAGATCACCATTTTGATTTACCAGCGGGAACGCTCAGTAGGAGTGCAGTTTATGGCTTTATTACTGTAAATGTCTAAAATCTTCTATTTCTGTAAGGCTTTTAGATGAGGTATAACTTCGGACTCGGAATAGCAACTTGAAAAGAGTTTAAAATTAGAATATTTTGGTACCTAATCTCTTCAAATGACTTCAGCTATTCAACGACTTTTCTAGAATTTTCTATGCTTCAGTAGACAAATATTCGAAATTTACCAATGTTTAAGACAGACAGATATCAAGAAATAGCCCGTTTTGTTCTAAAAGTCGAGAATTCTATCAGCTTGATCTAGAACATACGTCTTGGAAGAGTTTACTTTAAGAGAATCATTGTCCAATTGATCAAAAAGCAACAAGACTTTTTTGACATGATTATATTTGAATTGAGCTATTTCAACAAGATTCAATGCGATGCGAAGTAAATAAAACATGTTCCGACACGTTTGCAGGCGCCGCCGACTGTCGCGACTTGCGCTCACATTAACTGTCAACAGTGTAAACGAAGCGTCACAGATATAACCCTTTTTTTATCTTTTTTCCGTGCACCGCACGCCATCTCTGGTACTATATAATAGCCGGGGAACCAGGTATACCCTAGAAAGGAAGTCCCTGGTGCCCCGACATACCTCGGGCCATCTACAACAAGTAGTCAGTCAAAGTCATGACCGATACATCTGTATTATTGATATAAAATTATAACTATAACATCACTAAGAACAAATAATTAAAACTAACGGCTATTTAATTTTTTACTCCAAAAGAATTTTACTTGTTAGACAGAACATTGTTTTGCCAATTTTATTTTTTTAGTCCCCATCGTGTTTATAATCGTTTTACATTAAACGAAAACCAAATAATAATACAGTTATATTTTATATTGTGGTACTTTACGTGTGTAAAAATGTACGTTATTGCAACTTAACCTTATAAAACCACATATATCGAAATTGTCCGATTGTCTGACGTACAAACAGACACACCTCCAGTTTTCACATGTATTATTTCGTAATACATAGATTAAAATTCATGCCATTCAATGAACTTCACGACATTCATGAATCACTAATCAGTTGATATAATACAAGACGGTTGAACGACAGACCGACTCATACCGTCTCCTCAATTTGACAATTTGCTTCAGTAGTTCAGTGAAACTCAACTAGAGAGCACGTCCAAAATGGCGACAGATAATTTAACCGCTATGTTATACAAACCTAAGGATTTACAACTGGTACGTATATTACAACTTATTGTTATACCTATTTTGTACTCTTAATTCAATTCATTAAAGTTCAAAGTATGTAGATCGATAGTATTATTTACATAATTATATGAAAATTCCTCTGTAGTAATGACGGCGCGAAGTTTGTTAGTCCCGATAACAGCTACTTATATATTTTTAATAAGTAAAGTGATGTATCCTGCACATTTTTGTATAATATGTAGTAAATAATCGATAGCCTTGCCAACGTATGGTGTTAAAAGTTTATTGGAACGAAGCTCCTTATCGCGCGTTACGCGCTCTGATGGGATCGAGACTGAAAAATGTGTAACAAGACATTTTTCCGACACTTCTTGCTTAACTTCGTTCCGATCGGGGATCCTTAGACGGTCACGCCGTTTTTAATTAAGATATTAATTAGTATTATGTTATTAAATATAAACACGGACAAGTCCCGAATATTGTGAGGATTATTGAGGATTATAAATAAAAATATCTAGCGAGTTATCTAAAATGATCCTCTTCGCTCCCTACAGCTATGAAAAACATGCTACATATTATATGTAGGTTTTGGAAATTCTTGCTTGTTCGTTCATAATTCCAGCATCGCCATCTAGTGATGGTTTTGGAACTAACGGCAATATGACAGATATTATGTCATTTCCAGCTCGAACATAATAATAATGTAAACATCCAAATGTACATCGAATAACATACGTAAACAATAGCTTACGTAAATCGACTTAATATGTGCCGAATATGACTTTTTTTGCGTCTAAAACAAGTCTGTTAAGATAACATTTCTTAAATTTTTTTGATGTCATTTTATTGGACAGTGTAATTTAAGTGTCACTTATGTAAATATACTTAACCTGTTGCTAATAATTTAAACAAGGAAGGATAAAATATTTAATAACACAGCTGAGGATTCCTAATTGGATTGTCTGTTTCTTTAAACGCATTGTTCTCTCTAGAACTATTAATTAGAATTTGAATTAATTAAAAGGGTATTTTTTGAAAACTTAATTACTCCAACTTTATTATGCTGGTCTTCGTTCAAAGTTCAAATCGAGCGTTGGGAATGACAGGGATCACACAGCGACGCATACAGCGTCAGCAAATAGAATCTTATATAGTGTCCAACTGTTGGAGCCCAACAGTTGGACACTATATAAGATTCTATTTTCTACACACTACTACTACACTATTTCTTCGACGCTTTTAAAGCTTCGGCAATCTGTCTAGACATATCATTTGTCTAAGAACTATGGAACAGCAAGCTACTACTTCCGTGAGCGGAACGACTGCAGCTAGTTTATGAAAAAGGGTTATCCTGTTATTTATAACACAGTCAATATGCGTTCAATAACTGTATACCTACTTACAGAGGAAGGAACACTTACCGCCAACTACCAAATTAATCAACACCTTAAGTGTTTCCCCTCTTTTGATTTTCTGGCACATCACGTTTTACGCACACTATGTACCGATTCCAATATGTAATTAAAGGAGGCCCTCTGGCTGAAAATGCCCTCTTCACTTTTCTAAGGTATTCTAAAGCTAAAGTGAATGTCTTTTATATTTTTTAATCTAGTGAATTATGATAGTGACATCTTGATTAAATAACGGTTTTAGTCCTGACATCGTCATTCATCATTCACTATTCAGTTAACCCGTCAAATATCGGCCATGTCAACAATTTCGACGCTTAACATGTAGTTTTAGTATTTTTGGATTTCATGTAATGGTTTTTATTAAAAATAAATTATAAATTTATTATTTTTAGTTTGTATTAATACTTTATCGTCTCTTCGAATTTTATTTTATATATTGGCCTATTTTATCTAGGCATGCTCAGGTTTTTAATAATAATAATAAAAAAAAAAATTTGGAGTCGGCGTTGGTCGAGTATGACGTTATTAGAAAAAATACTGAAGCAATTTCTAAGACTATTATCAAAATATCTTTAGATCTCGTCCTTTTAGTAGATCTTAGGGTACCTCAAAAGTCTAAAGATGATTTTTTTATATTATAACGCACTTGTAAAGTTACACACAACAACTAGCTGAGAACGTGGAGTATATCAGGCTTTCGATTTGGTCAAGTTTTGATTTTCTCACAAAACCGGTGCTAAGCTATTCTTTTGTTACTTTTCAGTTTCCCTATTATGACCCTATTCCTTTTGAGAGACGCTGACATAGGGTCAGCTAGTTTAACATTGAATCAACATCTATTAATATAATGGTAGAAAATGATAAAAGGTTTAATTTCCATATTATATGAAAGAGAGTTTTATTATGAATATGAATATAATACTCGTACCTACAAATACTAATATTTTTCGACTGCGTAAATGTTAATACACTGCTGACGAACTTAGTAAGGCAATCCATCATAAACCGTTATCATTTTGCGGACTTAAGCGTTAGATAATACTTATATTATTCGTTTTCTTAATTATTTAAGATCATTAGGTACTAAGTATTAAATTTAAAAAAAAAAATTGCGGTAGGTGCAAGGTCTGGTCGTCACATCTGCAACCAGCTTTGGTCAATCGGTCGTCCCCACTGCTCCTTCACGACAACGCGCGACCCCATACTGCGCAACAGACAAGCTGCAAGAGCTGGGGTTGGAAGCTCTCCCTCATCCGCCATACTCACCAGACCTTGCACCGACTATTATCTACTTTTTCCAAAATTTTGACAACTTTTTAGTGGGTAAAAAATTCAATTCCCGAGAGACAGTACAAAATGCCTTTGAAGAGTTTGTTGCCTCCCGTCCAGCTGATTTTTACAAGAAGGGCAAAGATTATCAATAAACTGCCAATGCGTTGGCAAAGATGCGTCGATTGCATGGGTGATTACTTCGAATAACAGAAACAAAAAAATTGAAAAAATAAGTAATTTCACTTATTGCATACAAAACGGCAATTTCATAGGTAAAGACCTAATATTATTTAGTTATATCTTGTAAGGTTTAACCAGCGTTTGCAATGTTTGCAAAAGCGCACAGAAACATGTTTTGACGACAAATCTTTGAAAATCATCGGATTTTCTCTACTATAATATATATCTAAATACATAAAAACCTTCCTCTTGAATCAATCTCTCTATTGGTGAAAACCGCATTAAAATCCGTTGCTTAGTACAAAAGATCTAAGCGTACAACACAAAAAAACGACTTTATTTTATACTATGTAAAGAAAATATATAAAATACAACAAAATTAAATACAATAGTATAGTTTTTTTTTTTGTACACGATACAACTTGTGTAAAAAGGGCGTACTAATAGTTTTCTATCTAAAGTATCTATGCTAAGTGAAATAAAGCGTTACGAATTTAGAATATAACTATTTTATCACCGAGTTAATGTTTTAAAAATCACACTGCTTTGCATTATAAACCTTGAAGAACTTGACACGAATCAAAAACGAAACGGGATAAACATTTGAAAACTTGATGTTCCATTATTTAAGCAATACTTAAATTATGAAGGCAAAATAGCTAATTTAAATTAGTCTTAAGAAATACAACCTCATTGAATGTTATTTTAATGTAATCACATTACTTCCACAGATACAAACGCCGATACCAGTGTTAAATGACGATGGTAAGTACGTACGAAACTTAATTAAACTAAACCAAATTGGTAGTGAGCCTATTGTCTTCGACCGGCCATTTTTGGCATTTTTTTTCTGTTTGACACATTTCACACACGGCTACTTAGGGCCAAGTGCGAGTTTATTTCACTTTACTCGCTCTCAACGGCAAACGCGTTTGGCGCTACGATTTGCCCGCATTAAAATCTCCATCAATCGCAACACTAAACGCGCTCGCGATGTCAAATAAACTTGCACTCGGCGCTCTGATCCCAAACTAGGGCACTAGACAACACCTTTACTGTTATAACTTAACTGTTGAACTGCTAAACATCCATACTTTTATTACAAATGTGAAAGTAAACTTTTATTACAAGTGTTAGTTTGTTAGTTACGCTTGCACGCCTAAACCATTTAACCGATTTAAAAAATTCTTTCACCAGTGTAAATGTACATTATAACCGACATACATGCAGGCGGAGCCGCGGGAAATAGCTAGTACTTATATACTTCTGAATAATACAGACACAGAACAGATGCTCGTGCTCATCACACTATTATTTTTCCTGGGTTTGAATCGTACCCACGTCCTACGTGTCACTAACCCACTAACGGAAGTATATTGAAAAGAAAAGCAGATTAAAAAGGAAGGAAGTGGTAGAAAGGGGGTATTTGTAATATGTACAGATAGACAGGGGAGTTTACCCAATAGATCGAGGTTGTGTACACGTTACTTAAACTGGTCATTCCTAGAAGGAGAGATCCGCAAACTCTAACATCCATTTCTTGTTATAGTTGGACTGACTGATATCTGACTGGATTGACTGATATCTGCTAGTCCAATCCAATATATCTTATTTATAATGAATTCTTCTTTTCATGGAGTGTTAAGTTCTCTTTTTGCTTTTTTTTATCTAAGTCTTTTTGTGGGTGAGTTTGTAGGACAAACCGCGGAGTGCGCCATACAAATAGACCAATCGGAGCTAATTATCAATACCGACTTTTAAATGCACAGACCTACTTATAATATACTTAATTTCAATGTCATTATGTCTGTTCTTTGTTTATTTTGTTAAACCATGGGCTAAATTATTAATCGTGCGTGAATAATTTAATTTCTATTAACTTTTTAACTCTTTGAAATCTACTTATTAAACAATACTTTCCAGAGGTACTTCTTCGTATGGATTGCGTGGGAATTTGCGGTTCGGATGTCCACTATTGGCAACATGGCGCTTGTGGACACTTCCTACTCAAAGAACCAATGATTATGGGACATGAGGCATCAGGTGTTGTCGCTAAGGTAACGTTTTACTCAATCTCAAAATATATTTCTTTATTGTTCGGAATTGTCTTTTATGTAGACTCTAAAGTCATAGATCATCATCAATCATCATCAACAGCCTTTAATAGTCCACTGCTGGACATAGGCCTCTCCTTAGAAAGAAGGTTTTGGCCTACTATACTACACTGGCCAGACGGGTTCGTACAGGGTTTGTGCCAAGTTTTCCTTCTCTTTGCAGTGCTGTTGTCCTGCGTAATTTGCTCCCTTAGTCGGCTCTTACGACACCCACGTGATGAATAGGGGTGGTGACACTCCGTATTCTTACTCCGTCACCACACGGAGTCATAGAAGGAACTCATAGATCAACACACACAATAGCAGCAATCTCTGTTTTGTCAAATATTTAGCAAAATAAATATAAAAAAATTACACGTATCGAAAATCTATTAAATGCCTGTGTCGAACTACAACCGCCCGTTTCCAAGGTTTCGTTTAAAGCTTTATCAGAAGAAAGGGCAAACAAACTCACGGCCGCTATAAAAGTTCAAATAGTCAATATGTGTCTCCCAGTCCTGAAAGACTTCAGATATTAATATCTTCTCTGACCATCCAATCGAAGCAACTTCTAGCTAACAAATTATTAAGACTTCGTGGCGTTAGTTCTTGCTAAGAAAAAAAATTGTGGATTTTTTTATATGCTTCTTACGTCTAATGCTGTGCTCTTCATATTTATTAAATGCATTGTCAAAGTCATTTAAAAAGACGTAATCTCATCTTCAGTCAAATAGGCAATACATTATCAGCAATAGCGTTACAAGTCAATATAAGAACAAGTTAACTTGCTGAAAACAGTTTTTGTTATTTTTTTAACTGAGACCCGAAAGTGACATAAAAGTCGAATAGCTTTGTAACGCCTGGACTTTTAAGTTGTGACGTTATTTGAGTTGCGATATAGTAAATACTTGGAAAGAAAAGTGACGGGGTTGGAAATCCCTTCGGATCTCCAGCTCCTTGGGGACGCCGGAGTCAGGAGTTTCAGGTCCCCTCCCTCAGTACTGTTCCCGAGGGATATCTAAACTGATTGACAAAATCTACATTAAGGCCGCGAGCAAAAGCAAAAAAATACGTATTAATAATATTGTTTTATGCTATATTATTATTACATAATTATGTATATTATTGTCGGATTCATAACAAACTATTACTTTGATCTTTAAGGCCGACGACATACTAGCTTGAAATCAGGTATTTGACATTTTAGCATCAGACAGTGTTATTTGGAGGTGTGGAGCAGACTTCCGTGGTCACGTGTGCCGTTGACGGTGATGTCTTACCGTGCGACCGTATGACCTTGAACCTTACCCGTATTGAATGAATGTTTGTAGTGATATCTTGAGTAGGTAGTAACATTTATAGTTTGTATGTATTTAAATAACAATATTAAGACAGTTGTAGCCTTTCTGCTCTACTCTTTTCAAAAGTATCAAAAACCTTTATTACATTCGGACTGCACGGATGGCGTAGTGGTTTAAGCGGTCGCCACGCCGCTTCCTACTACGACACTTTGTGTGATCCACAAATTGTTGTTCTGAGTCTGGGTGTCCTTTGTGTCCGTTTCATGTATGTTTGTAAAGTCCCCCGCGACACAGGATTTATTCCTAATGCGGGCGTTGTCTTTTTAAAAAAAATTAAAAAAAAAAAAAATTAAAATTAAAAAAATTCTATGGCTAAGATTCTAATTATGGTAAAGAGGTCCATCAATTCTCCTGATGGTGACTATCGTCCTAGAGTTAAGAGTGGGTATTTGAGTCTCCGGTAATCTCACTCACTCAGTGAAAAGCAAATAAACAATTGCCTCACACTGGTTTTCTAAGAGACTCTGGTACCTATCACTCCGAGACCGTTACCTTAATATTTAATCCCTACCTTTCACAATTCAAAAAATCCTTTTCGTACTTGTGTATGCACTTTATGAATATTTTTTATTTTAAATTACGATGTAGTAGATGTTGCAATGAACCAATTTGGTTTCGACATCAGTATGTTAATATAAAACTAGTCCTAATTTGATTAAAATTCAATTTTAAGTCACCTGCCACTAAAGACAGAACTGTTTGTCTGTTTTTTTTTGCGTTTTACCTTACTTTTTAGTGAATTACATTATCAGCAATAAAATAATTCAAATGTTATACCTACCCAAGATCTAATCTTTCACGTTTCTTGATAATCTACGAACAACATGTTATAAACCATATATTAGTACTCTTATACATATAATACAGTGTGTATTATACAGTGTATATAAAAAAATAATGCGAGAATTATCCATCGGAATAATTATTATTTTATCTATGCAATATCGACATTTATAGTAACCTCTGAAGGCCACGTATAACTACAAACAAGAGTTTAGATTGTTTTCTTTTGACCAAAGACAGAATGGACGGTGACGGAATGGAACGAGAGAGGATGAAAGATAAAGACATCCTGCAAGTACACTCGAGGAGCGCAGACTGATCTCCGACGCTTGACGTCCTGTCTCTCTCTTTTCTTCTTTTCGTCCTGTCTCGTTTTCTTTTCTCAGAACTTACAATCAGTTAAAGAAAGAACCACTATCAAATAGTTCGAATAATGTCTTTATTTGACTTTTTTTTTGGGTGAGCATTCTTTTACATTTTTCTTTCTGTGCGGAAATCCCCTCGGATACCACCCACCGGTGGTTATGTCGGACTCGAACCGACCAAAAACTGCACGCCGTCTCGGGTACCAGTTGCCGGAGAACCAGGCCTGTACCCTAGAAAGGAAAACCCTGATACCCCGACGTACCTCGGGCCATCTACGGGCGTAAATGACCCCCCCCTCCTAGCATTTTTTCACCTAACTTTTTAAGTCCTATTATCGGCAGTCCGTTGTCCGTGTAGTGACGGATTAAGAATACGGAATGTCACTACTCCAATTCATCCCGTGAGTGTCGTAAGAGGCGACTAAGGGCGCAAAACAACGCAGGACACCAGCACTGCAAAAAGAAGGAAAACTTGATACAATCCCTATACCAACCCGTCTGGCCAGCGTGGTATAGTAGGCCAGGGCCTCCTTTCTAAGGAGAGGCCTATGTCCAGCAGTGGACTATTAAAGGCTGTTGATGATGATGATCGGCAGTCCAAAAATATTTCTCATATCATTTTACATCATAATGATCACTTCATAAAAATGTTTAATACTAACAATCGAAACTCAATCTGATTTATAATTTATACTGATAATAATTTATACTAATATGTCACCACATGGTTTATACTAATATTTGTTTTCATAACTATGTTTCTTAATCATAAGCGTTATCTATCGGTTATTTAAAGCTAGCAAGTAATTTAAAGCGTTATCCTTTATTTTGTTTATAGTTTTAGGTATGAACCTGTAATGGAAAAAAAAGGAGATCAATAATACAGCGATAGAGGAGTTTAAAAGATAGTTCATTGCAAAGGCGTAGGACTTTGGAAATTTTTAGATTGTGTGTAATGATGTGTTAGGTATTATAATATATCCGTTAGGTGATACGACGAGCAAAACGAGAAGGAGTGTTAAGTTGGTTAGAACTGCGACCCCACAGCACCAGCACTGAGGGCCAACTTTTTTTTTAACCAATACTTACATGACGATGAGCGAAGAAGCCTCCTTCTGTTTCAAAGTCCCTGTGTCTTTATAATTAACCAATATTTGGATTCCTCTAGCTCTTTAGTTATTGATCTGAGAGAAAAAGTTTGCACGATTGTCCTTCTTACAGAAATAAACCGTTACTAACCTCTAAGTTACAGCTAGAAACAAATAGATTTCATCATTATATAGTTATTTTTGAGTTACATTTATATTTTTTACTAAATAATGAACCACATAAGAACTTACCTATATCTTTTTTGAATAGTTACTGTTATGAAAAACAATATTATTCGTCTAAATATTTTCTTAGTCATAACAAACAATTGCCATTTTAAATAAGAAAATTATGATAATTGTATGTTTTGACGGAAACTGTTCTGAAAAACAACATTGTGAGTTCGAACACGTTCTCAGTAATGTCAGTATTAATAAAAAAAAAGTGTGTTATGAGTTCCTTTGGTAGTAATAAAAATGTATGAATAAAAGAATAAGGAAAAACATTTTGAAGAGTGATTATTATAAACAGAAATCGGTATTAAAACAAAAAATAAGATTTTTATGTGAGCCAATATAGTTAGTGCTTTTATAAAGGTGGTACGAATTGCGCCACCTTAAGGGATAGTGTTAAAAAATTAACTTGTGTACCTATGTCTGTGGCATCGTAGATCCTAAACAAGTGGACCTATTTTGGTTTAAACTTTTTTGTTTGAAAAATGATTTGTTCGAGAGTGTTCGAAGATCATAAGCTCTTTTGTAATCGTAAAACTGATTATTGAACTATTTTTTTTTGTAAGTAGCTGGTTCCTTGCCCAGCAAATTGCTAAATATCATACTCGGTGTTTTAAGTATACAATGAATTGAGCCTCAAAGATGTAATGTAGTTTGAGTTTTTTTTATTGAGAGTGTCCGTGTAGTGACGGATTAAGAATACGGAATGTCGTGTCATCACCCCAATTCATCCCGTGGGTGTCGTAAGAGCCGTCTAAGGCCGCAAAACAAAGCAGGACACCAGCACTGCCAAAATAAGGAAAACTTGACACAAACCCTATACCAACCCGTCTGGCCAGCGTGGTACAGTAGGCCAAAACCTCCTTTCTAAATAGAGGCCTATGTCCAGTCGTGGACTATTAAAGGCTGTTGATGTGATGAGGATCCAGTAACTAAGCAGGATTGGAAAAACAAGGGGCGCTCCCACGTTTTTATTAATTACTTAGGTCAAGAAGTTAACTCCTCTCCATATTTTTAATAAATATCGTAATTATAGATTATTTTTATAAATGAAAACCCTGAATAATACCTGAATAAAAACATTAATTCTGATGACACTGATTACTAGACGCGGATTAACAAACATATATGAGATAACTACATATACGAGATAAGTAGTTATCTCATAAATTATTATAGAATTCACTTTGACTCTTGCAATAATTGGTTTAAACTTTTAACACGCTTTTATTAGCTTAGTACTTTTAACACGCTTTTATTAGCTTAGTACATACTAAGCTAATAAAAGCGTGTTAAAAGTTTAAACCAATTATTGCTTGATTCCGTTACATACTTACTTACATACATAGATAAATACATACATATCTATGTATGTAAGTATGTATGTAACGGAATCTTCGAACGTGATTTTGACACTTCAAAACGTCAAAACTTCGCTCACTTATCAAGGACCGATAACAATACAGTTTTTTGATAAATTTGGCCGATTATCCTGAGCAGTATCTTGAGGATTACGGGCTTGTTCAATAACTAAAAATACGGTAGTGTTTGTGCACTAAGAGGCGAGTGCTGAAGAATATGTAACTTGCGTGTTACTTTTTTAGTATGAGAAAATAATCATCATTAATGACTAAAAAATGAAAAATAAATTATACTTTAAAACAACTAAAAAACACGCATTTGTAATTTTTCCTTTTGAACTTATAGATACTACTTTCTGCTTTTTAGGTCGGCTAATTACAAAAGCGTTTTTTTTAGTTTTTGTGTGTGAAAGTGAAACTTGTTTAGAATCGTTGTGATTTGAAACTCGATGAAACGAAAATGCGTCACGATAAAGAAACAAACACATAAATGTATAGGATTGAGACGGCGAGAGAATGAGATAGAAGACATTACACGTTATGTTTAATAAAATATTTTGAGTGTAAATATTTTTATCTATTTATTTAATACTAGCTGGTACCCGCAACTTCGTTAGCGTGGAATTTGAAAACGCTGCCTTGGTGGGATCGATTCCCGGGCCGGGCAAAATTTTATAGGGTTTTTTGACAGATAAAAGAAATATCTGAAGTTATTCCTTATATAGACAACTACCTAGTAGTAAAATATTATCAAAATCGGTCCGGCCGTTTAGAAGATTACCCGGAACAAACAGACAGACAGACAGACTAATCTCTGGAATGGCTGGGCCGATTTCGACGGGACTTTCACTGGCAGATAGCTGATGACATAAGGAGTAACTTAGGCTCCTTTTTATTATTAGACTAGCTTCGCCCCGCGGCGTTGCCCGCGGTTATAACAACAAACGCAGGTAACACCGCGGGTCTCAGCTAGTTTATTATATTGCGTAATATACCTTCGAATATCTCAGCAATTACTTACCACGTTATAAAATAATAATTAAACGATTCTTTATCTACGGCAACATAAAAACAAAGATAGTTTAGTTTATCTATGCTCCATATACTTACATAAGTATTTGAGATATCATCACTGTATATTAAAAAGCAAAAGACCCTGTAGGTATATAATCATCATCGTTTTCAGATGGTAACGACACAAGTGGTCACACACGGTCTTCTGAGGCATTAGTGGGCATTAGCAAGTGTGTACTAAAGTAACTAAACTGCTCGACTGTAAATATAGTTAAATATTTCTTAATATAATAATAATATTGTACAGGCATCTGATACACAACGCCATCTAGTTTCAAATTAAACAGAGCTTGTACTATGAAAGCTAGATTGACTGATAGAATACTTATATACTTTTTTTTTTTCACTTATACACACATAATCTGCCCATGAAATTACCTATTTACAGTCTTTTTGTCCATCCAAAGGTTGCCTGTAAGAGATTGCTTTTTAGCGATAAGGCAGCCATTTGTACATGGTCATTAACTTGGAATACTATTGTATGTATAATATCCTGAATTGGTTTACGATAAAGATTATTCTATTATACATTGAAAACACCCAAATTCCGAAACAAATATTTGTAGATCATACAAACATTTGACCCGAGACCTCAGCACAGCAGCACTGCACCACGAAGGTAGTCATATTATAGATAAGCTATACCGAAGCACAGAAAACATGAGTATGCTCACCACAATCATCAACAGCCTTTAATAGTCCACTGCTGGTCATAGGCCTCTTCTTAGAAAGGAGGTTTTGGCCTACTATACCACGCTGGCCAGACGGGTTGGTACAGGGTTTGTGTCAAGTTTTCCTTCTCTCTGCAAAGCTGTTGTCCTGCGTACTTTGCTCCCTTAGCCGGCTCTTACGACATCATCGGGATGAATTGGGGTAGTGACATTCTGTATTATTAATCCGTCACCACACGGACAGCTAATCACAAAGTTATTTAATTTTGTCTTGGGTGTGAATCGAGTCCAAAACCTATAACTTAGCTGTCACGCTGACCGCTAGGGTAAAGGTCGTTGATAGTGGGTAGTGAACCACTGGACCAACAAAGTATTCAATTATAGCTAATCCACGTTAGGATTTGGTACCCTGTACCACATATCAATATCGTCGTTAAATTATGATTTTATTTTATCAGAAAAATTACTTACCAACCGTTTAGGAAAGTTGTCGTCGTCCTAATGGTTTTCGCAATATCAAGATGGTCTGCAAGTATTCAGGCGACGGGTATGCTACCCTGATCGCTTTCGGTCCTCAGCAATCTCAGTACCGTTTTCCTTTAACTTTTCCCTTAGTCCCGAAAACGTTAACTTTCTCAAGAAAAAACAAATGGACATAAATTTAACTGCAGTTGTTTATTTTCTAACACAAGAAGTCGGCGGTTTACGACTTGATAACGAAACACACATGACACTTATCTATTACAGTAGTTATTAAGATAAACCGAATGATAGAAATTAGCGTGGAATATTCCATTATAAACTACAAACATTAAAAGAAAAATCAATGTATCAAAAATCTATGGATGGTCAGGGTCTGACTGACGTTGTCGTTTATTAGGTTGAAAAATATGACTGAGATATGTAAAAAAATAACTAAAATAAAATAAAATTACAGATATGTAATAGGTTATTTAATAATATTTCATTAGAGTCCAACGAAACCTTTACAATTTCTATGTAGGTATCTCTGTTCTATTTATTTATTGTAATTTTTTAAACAATTATACTCAGATTGTACATTAATAATAATTTAAAAGTTTTTCTGTATCAACTAATGCACTGCATTCAGCCATTCATTCACATTCATTCATTCATTAATACATGTAGCATATCTACTCGAAACATATGCCATATTTATAGAAAAAAATAATATACTAAATCTTAAAAGCCGGTTGTTTTAGATTTTAGTCAGAATGTTTCATTGTCTTTGAATTTATCAGATTCTGATTTAGAACGGTTTAAACTGTGTGCCTCCGCTCGCGTCAAAGTATTTTTCCTTCCTTCGCAAATATTTTCTTCTGGATTTATTTCTGGATGAAAAGTCCCCTATGTTTTAGTTACATCGTTCCCAGGAACAAGCATAAAATATATAAAAACAAACATATTTATATTGTATTATAATAGACCAGCTGAGACCCGCGGTGTTACCCGCGTTTGTTGTTATAACCGCGGGCAACGCCGCGGGGCGAAGGTAGTCTAAAAAAGTAGCCTAAGTTACTCCTTATGTCATCAGCTCATGCCAGTGAAAGTCCCGTCGAAATCGGTCCAGCCGTTCCAGAGATTACCCGGAACAAACAGACAGACAGACAGACAAAAATTGTAAAAATGTTATTTTGGCATATATACCGTGTAAACATACATATGCATTTAGTAAAAAGCGGTTATTTTAATATTACAAACAGACACTCCAATTTTATTTATTTGTATAGATTAGGTATTACTATACCTAATGCCTAAGGCAAAACCTCCTTTCTAAGGCGAGGCCTATGTCCAGCGGTGAACTGTTAAAGGCTGTTAATGATGATGATGATGATGATGAATAAATTGAGGTTGGAGGGCTCAGACTTCGATTAATAGGTACAAGACCCTTCTCAAAGAGCTCAGTTGGCTGTAAAAGACATGCCCTTTAGTACGCGAGTGGGAACTTATTTGTGTTCAATACCTCTGCCTACCAATTTTTAGAGTTCAGGCGTTAGTTTATGTATGTAGCAGTACCTAACCTTTAGCAGTGTTTCTATCCTATACAGTAAGATATTTTTGGTTGCAATAAATTATTATTATTACTTACGTCTAAAGTTAATCTGAAGAGTACGAACTGAAGACTTGTAGAACAATAAGTAGAGCCTTAACAATACATCTTTATTCAAATTTTAACATAATGACAATAATCATGTCATTATGTGTTATATAAAGGTTTGTTTGCTTTTCAACAATTGTTAAAATACACTAAACTAAACATAAATGTCATTTCATTAAATATTTTTTCCTTCTTACATTGTTACAAGTCCTCTCAGCCGGTTACCGATTTCCTTATTTTTTTAAAATTAAAGTTAATTGATAAAAATATTTGTCGTGAAGTATTCGAAATCATCATATCTTGTGTGATTGTGGTAGAATATTATTATTATTATTATTATCTACGTTTTACCCTACTCAAATTATTCTCTTTATATTTCATCCCATTGAATCGAGGTACGCGGTTCGGTTTGGTCTAAGAATAGGAACGGAACGATGTCTTTGATTGTGCACACACACACACACACACGCACGCACAAACACACACTGAAATACTCTTGAAATTAATCATTTTGTTTGGTTAGAAAACAGAACGAATATATTGGCATAGTCTGAAAACTTACAGAACTAAATATTTACCCACAAAAGTCTTTTTATTTTAAGTTGAATAGGTGATTATTATACCATTTTACTTAATATCCTTCTTATATCTTCTTCTAGGTCGGTCTAAAAGTGACGAACCTCAAAGTTGGTGACCGTGTGGCAATAGAGCCGGGGGTCCCGTGCCGGTACTGCGAGTTCTGCAAGACAGGCCGGTACCACTTGTGTCCAGACATGAAGTTCTGCGCCACGCCACCCATACACGGCAACCTCGTCAGATATTACAAACACGCCGCTGACTTCTGCTTCAAGTTGGTACATTTATTCATATTACCCATACACTTTCACTAATAATTTCAATTCGCGCTTTTTTCATTCCTCTCAAAAAAAATTAAATGCAAATATTTTAAACTCAATTAATAAAAATATATACTTATCTCAGGAACTACTGGCTCGAATTAAACAAATTAATGTTGGAAAGCCTTTTTTTATTGAGAAAGGCTATAGGATATATAACATCAAGCTAAGACTAACAGGGAAAATGTATTCCTGTTGAGTGACTCAAAAAAAGTTGCGCGGTTATACATATGTAAATAATAATTGTTATTACGTGACTGCAAATGATTCCAGGTTACCTGACCACGTATCAATGGAAGAAGGAGCGCTACTGGAACCCCTCGCAGTGGGAGTGCACGCCTGCCGGCGTGGAGGTCTCAATGCAGGAGACTCGGTGTTGGTGCTGGGAGCAGGGCCTATCGGTCTTCTCACGATGATGACAGCCAAGGCTATGGGAGCGAGCAAGGTGATCATTACGGGTAAGAAGCATTATTATTGTTTAGTCTATAATTGTATAAATTAATTCAATCTAGATTATTTTTAAAACAAAAAGAGAAGAGAGTTCAATGAAAAACATGTTCTCATATTACGTATTGACAATATAAAACATTCAATACAAGAAAAAATTAAAAGGAATGTGGTGACCTCGAAATACAATAAAAACGTACTTCAATGCCATCTAACGAAGTCACACAGAACTACAGAGTAACTGCTAATGCTACACCGCACAATATAGGTTCTCCCGTCGATTATCATATGGTCACTTGCAAAAATTCACCAAAGGGCCTCGGTCAGCCGGGCATGATCACCTTGCCTGGTCGGAGAATCCTCTCTTTCTGTTGGTGGGCCATAAAAACACAAAAACAACCGTTCTTCTAAAAAAATATATTTAAAACCAGGGCCAGTCTAATAGTAGCACTAGAAATATCGAACGTACTTAACCAAAATATTTAATTTTTGGTAGATATCTTACAATCCCGCCTGGACTTCGCCAAGAAAATGGGTGCTGATCACACTCTACTAGCGTCCCGTGACGTCAGCGAAGCAGACATGATCAAGAAGATCCATGAACTGTTGGATGGATATCCTGATGTATCCTTCGATGCTAGTGGAGCACAGGCTACAGTGAGGCTGGCGATGTTGGTAAGTCTTTATAACACTAAACTTTCATGTAGGTCTTCTTCTCAAGAGTCAGTTCTATAAGTAGCGTCAATGAATGTATACTTTAAGGAAATATACTTGACGGGCCTGTGGGTCTAGCAGTTAGTGACCCTGACTGCTAAGTCGGAGGTCGTGGGTTCACCCAGGACAATTAATTATGTGATGAGCACGATGATCTGTTCTGTGTCTGGATGTAATTTATCTTTCATCATCATCATCATCAACTGCCTTTAACAGTCCACTGCTAGACATAAGTCTCTCCTTAGAAAGGAGTTTTTGGCCTACTATACCACGCTGGCCAGACGGGTTGGTATAGGGTTTGTGTCAAAGCTGGTCCTATTAAGGAAGCCGGGACGGCCTGCCGATTCGGTCGCGGCCTACAGGCCCATCGTGCTGCTGGACGAGGCGGGTAAATTGTTTGAGAGGGTTCTCTCTGCCCGCATCGTCCGGCACCTCTACGAAGTGGGCCCCGATCTGTCGGACGCCCAATTTGGTTTTCGGGCGGGGCGTTCGACAGTCGACGCTGTGTTGCGCCTGAGGGCCGTGACCGAAGAGGCCGTGAGCTGTGGCGGCGTGCTGTTGGCGGTGTCATTGGACATCGCCAACGCATTCAATAGTCTGCCATTCAGCTGCATCAGGGAAGCACTCCACTACCATGGGGTGCCAAAGTACCTGAGGCGGCTAGTGGCAGATTATTTAGAGGAGCGTACCGTCGTGTACGAGGACCGAGTGGGTAATTCGAGGTGTCGGCCCATGTCGTGCGGTGTTCCACAGGGGTCTGTTCTTGGACCCCTCTTGTGGAACATAGGGTACGACTGGGCCCTTCGAGCCGATTTCCCCCCCGGGCTGGGTGTTATTTGTTACGCAGATGATACTCTGGTGACAGCCCGGGGGGCGAACTTCCAAGAGGTGGCGCGCCTGGCCACAAGGGGAGTCTCCCTGGCCCTAGATAAGACGGAGGCCCTGTTATTTCATGGGCTCCGTCGTGGTCCACCCCCTGGCGCCTCAATCGTGGTCAACTCGGTCCTCGTACCAGATGAAATATCTGGGCCTGATCCTCGACGGGAGGTGGCTCGTCGACGAGCACTTCCGACAGCTTGCTCCAAAGCTGGTCGGTGCTGCGTCTGCCCTAGGGCGACTTGTGCCGAATTTGGGTGGACCCAGCGTCGCGACAAGACGGCTGTACACGGGGGTTGTCCGGTCAATGGCACTATACGGTGCACCGGTGTGGGCGGCGGCTCTGACCGCCCAGAATAGGGCACGCCTCTGGCGCCCTCAGAGGGTAATGGCGGTCAGATCCATACGCGGTTACCGCACCGTTTCGACGGAGGTAGCGTGCGCGTTGGCCGGAACTCCCCCGTGGGATTTGGAGGCGGAAGTGCTCGCCGAAGTTTATCGGCGAGTGGCTGACTCCCGGGTGGAGAGCGGATTCCGCCCTCCGCCCGAAGACGTGCGCGAGTAGCGCGAAGCCGCTCGCCGAGCCACGATGGCTCGTTGGTCGTTCCGGCTGGAGACTCCACGCGCTGGCTTCGCCGCCGTGGAGGCTCTCCAGCCGGTCATCGCCGAGTGGGCAGGGCGGCAGCACGGGACCCTTACCTTCCCGCTGACGCGGGTCCTTTCCGGGCACGGTTGCTTCGGAAAGTACCTGCACTCGGTCGCTAGGAGGGAACTGAGTCCCGCCTGTCACCACTGCGACTGCAGTGAGGACTCGGCCCAGCACACGCTGGCGGTCTGCCCCGCATGGGCGACGCAGCGCCGGGCCCTCACTGCAGTCATCGGAGTGAATCTCTCGCTACCGGCCGTAGTACGCTCCATGGCCGGTAGCGACAGTTGTTTTACCGCGGTCGCAACCTTCTGCGAGGAAGTAATCTCGCAGAAGGAGGCGGCGGAGAAGGCCCGGGAGGACGACCTCCACTCGGACCCGATCCGCCGCCGGCGAACCGGGCGGCGGAGGCGCGCCTATCACCGCCTCATGCCGCCCTGAGTGTGGCCGCGGGTGGACGGGGTGGGTTTCCCCTCCACCCGCATTAGTTTGGCCAGCCGCGAGGGGTCGGCGTCCGCGTGTGCCGGACGTTGCCTAAAGAGAGGAAATAATTTTTGAGACGGAGCCCGCAACAGGAGCGGGCCGGCGCTAGGAGGGGTCCGGATGTCTTAATAACAGCTGTTCCCGGATCCCTCCTATTACAGGCGCAGAGTGGCACACCGTGTGGTTTTAGTCGGTCCGAGTCCGACACACCCCCCTGCCGCAAACCCCGGTGGGGTGACGGTCCGAGGGGATTTCCACACGTTAAAAAAAAAAAAAGGGTTTGTGTCAAGTTTTCCTTTTCTCTGCAGTGCTGTTGTTCTGCGTAGTTTTTTCCCTTAGTCGGCTCTTACGACACCCACGGGATGAATAGGGGTGATGACACTCTGTATTGTTAATCCGTCACAACATGGACATTTATCTTTAACATGTATGTATTTAGAAACATATATAGTACAAGAATGTTTATCAGCAGTCTGATGACTATAGCACAGGCTCTGCCTAGTTTGGAATTAGACCAAATTGACTGACAGAACCCTTGTCACGGGTAGATGAAAGTGAACTCTGTTACTAGAAAAGCCGCAGCTTAATTCAGCATTTTTGTTTTTTTTTTTACAAATGTCAAACATATGCGTGGCATAAATGCATTTCGTTTGCCATTCAAATGCATTTAAATTTTCATTTGAACGTTCTCAGCGTAAATTTTTAGCGTTATTTTTAGTCTTCAATTTTGTCTTTTAATTTATTGTAACCTAAGCTTTGAAATTTAATCAAAAATTTGTGAACTGCATCATGAACTGATTGGAATAGGAGAGCTCCTGGCTCTGGTGTATTCTGGATCTGTAGCACTGACTCCCAAGTCTTTCACAAGTTTTTAATGAATACATTTAATAGTGTGTCACCACATTTGTTGACAAATAAAACTACAATGATTAATGTGTGTTGTGGTAATGATACGTATGTTGTGGTCAGGCCACGAAGTCAGGCGGCGTGGCGGTGCTGGTGGGCATGGGCGCGGTGGAGCAGAGCGTGCCGCTGGCCGGCGCGCTCGCGCGTGAAGTCGACATCCGCGGGATCTTCCGATACGTTAATGAGTAAGTACATCCTCGCACTCGCCACATCTAAAACCATTCCATTAAACACTAGCTATTGAAAATTACGAAATTAATATAATATAATATAATATATATAAAAATCTTGTCTTAGCTGGTGCTTACAACATCAGGTATCAAAATTTCAAGTTTGTAGCCCATCGGTAGCAAGTAATTTTATGTGTAAGTACCCTTAGAGATCATCTAGTATTCCCATCATAATATTAAACTCATGTCCTCTTTCACCAGGTACCCCATAGCTCTGGCGATGGTAGCCAGCGGTAAAATCAACGTGAAGCCCCTGGTCACGCACCACTTTAGCATTGAGGAGACTCTGGAGGCGTACGAAGTGGCGCGAAAGGGCGCGGGCATAAAGGTCATGATACACGTTCAGCCTAAGGATACCAACAACCCTGTTAAGTTTTAAATAGCACTGAACGACAATAGAGTGGATGTAATGAAGAGCAAATGCGATTTCCAGAACTTTCTACAAGCTTTACTGTTAACGTCGTCGCAGAAATCTTTTCGAGTTTAAACTTTACTGAGCATAAATTGTATTTACATAGTAAAAGATAATGTACTTGAAATCTGCAATAGATACAGATCAATACTATTTTTATGCAGACAATTACCTTTTAGTATTGGACTTTTTTGGTTAGGAAATGACTTGAACGATATTCATTTAAGTAAAAGTACCCACATATCGTACGACGTAACGACGAGATCGTATACAATCATTAAAAATTATAAAAGATTCAATTTTATCTAAAAGACGTATTTTTATCATCACCAACGTAAAAAAATGAGATATTCATATTAATTTACTGATTTAAAAAAGAAAAAAGTTTCGTCTGTATAGTTTTTGAACGAAATGCGAAAACATCCATTGTGAAACAGATTTTAATTATGTATGAATTGTTGTTATTATTTCGTTATAAGTTTTATATAACGAAATAAGTATATATATATGTATAAGGTATATGTATAAGATACTACGGTTGAAATATATTGTAAATTGAGGATCGATTTGTAAATGAAAGTACACGAATTAAAATATTTTTGTATTTAAATAAATTGTTATATATTTCATCGTTATATTGAGTTTTTTTTTTCTACACGAAACCATTGAAATATGACAGTAATGGTAAAACTCAAGAGATGAATTACCTTTCAAAGTAAAAGTGAAGTGTTTGGTGTGTATTATATGTATGTGTGTAACGCAGTAATTTTATGTACCTACCTACTTATTGTAGTATGTATTTATATCAGTGGCGGATTAGCCACGTAGCAAGAGTAGCAAATGCTACGGGCCCCGCGCATTTGGGGGCCCCCGCTCTTTCTGACCGTAAAAAAGTATCTACTTACTCGTATTTCGATCGAAGTGTGAAAATATTTTTTCAAATCAATAAAGCTAAAATTCTGATCACGAAAGAGTTGCATCTAAATGTCAAACTATAATTTGACGGGCCTGTTGGTTTAGTGGTTAGTGAGCCTGCTAAGCCAGAGGTTGTGGGTTTGATTCCCACCCAGGACAAATAATTGTGTGATAAGCACGATGATTTGTTCTGTGTCTGGGTGTAATTTATCTATAATTTTTATATATTGAGAAATATAAAAGTATGATTATCAGCAGTCTGGTTAAAATAGTACAGGCTCTGCCTAGTTATTCCTAACTCCATACAGCCGTGTGTGTGATGTGTTAAGTAAAAAATTTAAAGTTTTAATACATTTCTAAAATCATGTTTTGCACTGATCAGAACTGCCGTCCACACTGGGGCACCGTACAGTGCCATTGACTGGACAGCCCCGTGTACAGCTGTCTTGAAACGATGCTGGTTGGGCAAAAGTCACTTAAGAGCAGACGCAGTTTTAGGGTAAGCTGTCGGGAGTGCTCATCGAAGAGCCATCTCCCGTCAGGTATTAGGCCCATATCCTTCATCTGGGCCTGAACCGGTACGTTGACCAAGATGACCACGATTGAGGCGCCAGGGGGTGGACTACAACTAGGCCCAAGAAATAAGAGGCCTTCGTCTTATCCAGGACCACCTTTAAGACAACCACCAAAGAGACATCCCAGGTCCCCCTCCTAAAACAAGCCCAAGTAGGGTTTGTTTCAAATTTGAGACTGGTATAACCAACCCGTCTGGGCAGCGTAGCATAGCAAACAAAAATCTCCTTTCTAAGGAGAAACCCATATCCAGCAATAGACTGTTGAGGATGATGATAAATACCATAAACTAGATAACCTAAAACAATCCAAGGGCCCCTTGGTAGAATTTGCTACAGGCCCCGCGCTGTCTTAATCCGGCACTGATTTATATATATATATATATATCTCAATCCCACTGTTTATGTCCATCTCCTCAATTAAGTATAATTATTATCTTTTTAAAACAAAACTAGTGCACCTGCTCAGACATTTCCCCACCACCCAAAGGTTGACTTGGAGAAAATGCCTGTGGCATTAAGTCCGCCATTGTACAAGTGAGATGTAATTTGCGCATAAAGAATAAAAAAAAGAATGAAGCTCTTCTCATCAACCTGACTCCGCGCTGTCCACTGCTGAATGAAACTCTACCCTAGAATAATATTTAACTTTAGCTATAACTCGGAGATTAGCTTGTCAACTGATAAAACATTATGAAAATCTTATTACAATTAGTGGAATCGCTGCCAGAGCTCATGATGCTGACGTTCATGGGCGGCGATGGTCACTTTCCATCAGGTGACCCGTCTGCTAAATAAGAACCAGATGAGCATAAGAATCCTAAAGTTTGAATGGGCTGGTCTGCCAGGGGACCGATAGCTACTTGTAGTGGAGACCGCGAATCTCTTAATGAAAGGTAGCTCCTCATCCAGTTCGATTGACGACCTGAGAAGGGTAGCTGGGGTATATTGGGTACAGAAGGTGGAAGACAAAGGGATATCGCACGTTGGGAGAGAGTCTCTTTTTTTTTCTACTAAAATCCACCCTGACGGCTGGCCTCAGGCAGCCTACTCTGGGGAGGACCCGGACCATCTGATTTCAGGTCTATAGAATCGTTATGTTAATCACTGAATACATATAATATTTTCTTGTTTAAACTCTCAAAGCAATCTGAAGGATACTCTTGTTTTTTAAACCCGCGAATTTCAATCATATAATGACGCCATGACGGTAGCAGAATCGTCGACAGAATATGTAAAAAAGAACACAATTGTGTGTTATAAATTAAATTAACAGGCGTTAGCTCTGGTGTGCGTTACCCCAGCAAAATAATGTCGAAAATGGTCATTTAAACTTTATAGATAATTAGTTGCTCCCCTTCTGTAATTGTTAAGCACATTTTTAAATTTGTTTCACTTAAACTTTTTTAGTTATTTCAAAAAAACATTTCCTGCTGGGGTAACGTTTGAAACGTTACCGCAGCCAGACATTTTCTTTTTTAATTGTAATATTGAAATAAATGTTAGCTAAATAATTAGTTATCTGGACTAGGTAAATGTTACAACTTATTTGGTATTTGTATTTTCTTCGGATGCGAAGTTATTCGAAATCCTGCTGGAGTAACGTTTGTGGGTTTGCTGGATCTCTGAAACGGGTAAGCGGATTGTAACCATCTTTTGTACATAACTTCTTAAGGATTAGTTTTAATTTGTTCGACAATAAAATAACAAAAATAATGGACCGTTTAAAAATTATTTAGGTAAGTATGAAAACACTTCAATACGTCCTAACACTTTAAATAAGACCTCTAAAGACTTACTTGAAACGTTATTCTATTGCTTGTAACTACCTTCAAATGTATACGAATTTTCGTAATAATACTGTAAGTGACTAAAAAGTTATGATGAAATGTAGCTCTCCACGTTCACGATCACAATGTGTGCGGCCTTTTTTGGCCACCGATAAACCTGTGTGTGGATATATAAACTGAATGTTATGCCAATAATTAGTTGTTTAGTTCAGTTGTCTACCTGTAAAATTTAAGCGTAGTACATATAATAATTTACGAGATAATTAAATAAAAGTCGTTAGAAGGTGCAAGACCGTGGTAACCCGACCATGTTTGGGTGGTTACAAAAAAGCGATCACCCAGTACATTGCGCTGTCTTTTAAAATGTTTAGTGTAATACACCTTACGATTTCGGTACAGTTGCGTACAGTGTTAAATACATTCAATATTTATTCATTATTATTACCTATTATTTATTTTGTTTTTTTCCCTAATTGATCTTAAGCACTAGTTTCTTTACTTAAAATTTATTTAGTCGTTTTTACTACCGGAGCTACAATCAACAGAAAATCTGCACTGGTCCGCTAAAATTAGAAATATGTAGATACATGTATGAACGCTTCACCTGACTGCAATAAAACGAAAATTTAAACCAATAAGAAATCGTTTCATTTCTTTGATTTTTTTTTTGTAAAGAAATAACACTAAAGTAATTGTATTTATTTTGGGGTGTAAGTATAGAGCTTAGACTTGAATGCATCAAAATATTTAAATCAACAAGTCATCTACAATTAGTTAAAATAGACCGAATAGTAGAAGAATACAGTTGTAAATTAGAATGCATCAACATTGCATCGCCCAACAGTCGTATACCTCGTAAGAGTAGGTAATATTGTTCTGTGGTCTATACCGAGAACCGAGAATTATCTATACCTATGTACCTACATGTGACTGTTGATTTCTGTTAAAATCGAAGAGTTGTTGAATGATATTTTGATATAATAACGGTAATTTAATTTATCGAGTGAAAGTGATACATTTTTATAGATAAAATTATTGGTCAGATAATATTTGTCAATCAAGAATCGCTGATAATACATCCTTCGCTAGAACGCGGGAGGGGAGGGGCGAAGGGATACTTCATTGTTTGCAATTTGCATCTAGTGCACTAAAATTGACCCTTAGGCAGATAATATACCTACGTGTTGTAAAGTACGTGTGCGCTTCCGCTTTCTACTTTTGCAAATATTTAACGTATTCTTGAGAGTTCTTCAATATGTGTGTACCTAATTACTAATAATAGGGATTAATGCTAATTCGATTCAATTTAAGTAATTGTCAATTCTTGTCTTAGGATATTAATTACTAATGCTAATATTGAAATTTCGTTCAGGGTGAACAAATTAAAAACGATCATAACTTTTAGGTAGGTATATCACTTATTACTAATTTTACATAAATAATTTATTTTATTATAATTTAAGTCACCGCGATTTTGTGATCAAATATTTTATTTTCTCCAACATTATTACAGAAATAATGCAATACAGAGTTTGTTCGCGATATGCTAGCCTAAGTCGATTCATCACTTTAAAAAATCCCCATCTATTCACAAAATACCTATTTACAACGCATACGTTACACTCTTCAAAACTTATCATTTCATTTCATATTTCTTAAATTACCTATACCTACCCTAAAATTAAACTTCAATTAACAAATACTACGCAGGTACCAATTCTATGAACAACTATAAACAATTCACCTAAACATTACGAGAAAACAAAAGCATTCAAAACAATACCTAATCTCCCGGCTGATTATAATCAGTATTATTAGTAATTACTAATTATGCAATAAACAATCCTAAATAAAAAATATTTAAAAAACATGTAGTTTTTTGTAACACTTATGTACATATCCGTAGTAAACTTGCAAATAATATCCTACATATTTTAAAAGCCAGCACAATGTACTGGGTGATCGCTTTTTTGTAACCACCTAAACATGGTCGGGTTACCACGGTCTTGCACCTTCTAATGACTTTTATTTAATTATCTCGTAAATTATTATATGTACTACTCTGAAATTTTACAGGTAGACAACTGAACTAAACAACTAATTATTGGCATAACATTCAGTTTATATATCCACACACAGGTTTATCGGTGGCCAAAAAAGGCCGCACACATTGTGATCGTGAACGTGGAGAGCTACATTTCATCATAACTTTTTAGTCACTTACAGTATTATTACGAAAATTCGTATACATTTGAAGGTAGTTACAAGCAATAGAATAACGTTTCAAGTAAGTCTTTAGAGGTCTTATTTAAAGTGTTAAGACGTATTGAAGTGTTTTCATACTTACCTAAATAATTTTTAAACGGTCCATTATTTTTGTTATTTTATTGTCGAACAAATTAAAACTAATCCTTAAGAAGTTATGTACAAAAGATGGTTACAATCCGCTTACCCGTTTCAGAGATCCAGCAAACCCACAAACGTTACTCCAGCAGGATTTCGAATAACTTCGCATCCGAAGAAAATACAAATACCAAATAAGTTGTAACATTTACCTAGTCCAGATAACTAATTATTTAGCTAAAATTTATTTCAATATTACAATTAAAAAAGAAAATGTCTGGCTGCGGTAACGTTTCAAACGTTACCCCAGCAGGAAATGTTTTTTTGAAATAACTAAAAAAGTTTAAGTGAAACAAATTTAAAAATGTGCTTAACAATTACAGAAGGGGAGCAACTAATTATCTATAAAGTTTAAATGACCATTTTCGACATTATTTTGCTGGGGTAACGCACACTTAGCTCTGCTTATTTATAAGTACTTATTAATAACCCATACTTATTAAAAATATATTATTACACAATAATATATTATCACAGTTAACATAACGTTTAGGTATCTATTTCCTTTTTCTACTAAGAAGTAAATAAATTAGTGAAAAAAATATATCTACCATTTTGTGTAACTCTTGTTTTTATCAGAATAAGACAGCAGAAGAATAAGGTGTATATCTAATTAAAATATTTATTTAATTATTTTAGATCGTGAACGAAATATAACACTATTTTATTAATCTATGTAATATACCAACTCTTACTGGTCAATTAAATAATAATAACCTCACAAATGTCACACACGGCCGTCCCGTCCTGTTGATCCCAAACTAGGCAGAACCTGTACTATGGTAACCAGCCTGCTGGTGAACATATTTATATATTTCTAAATAAATACATATTATAGAAAAATTACACCCAGGCACAGACCAATTGATCGTGCTCATTACACAATTATTTGTCCTGAGTTGGAATCGAACACACCACCTCTGGCTTAGCAGCAAGGGTCACTAACCACTAGACTTGACCAACAGGCCCGTCAAATAAAACAAATAAAACCAAATATTTACAATTTGGTGAATTGTAGTCGAAATTCACCCACCAGGTTCCTGTAAAACCTTCAAATTTACGAGAATTGAAATTAATTCTGAAGAAGAACAGTTTTAAAGAAGATTAATATTTTAAACTTAAACAATAGAATGTCAGTATACGTTTTGATTTGTCCCTGTGACAATGCACAGATTACACAGAAGATAAAACATTTTTTTTACAAAATTATCAGACATATGTTTACACAATGTGAGACGAACCACGAGAGTGTATCAAAATAATGAATGTTATGTAAGATTGTTCTGTATTTGTTGTAGTTAAGCTCTCGTATAATCACAGTTTGTTCGCACTACTCGATATGGGTGACGGTGGCAATTACGCTGCCGTTCTTCACGGGCCGTACGACGTCAGAATTGTGAGTTTATTGTTAATTATAAAGTATTTGGCACACGATTCAAACGACAGTTTAAAAAAGGTCAATTTTGAAGTTTAATTAATTCTACGAGTACCTTTAAAGTGCAGGTATGATACAGAGGGAAACGAGCAGACGGGTCAATTGATGGAAAGTGACTACCGCCGCCCATGAAAGCCTACAAATCAGGAGTCACAAGCGTGTCCGCGACCTATGAGATAGGGTCTTTTTAACTTGGTTTCTAAACCTTGAACTTAAAAATGAAACTTAATTTCGAAAATAAGAATACCTATCGATTTGGAAATGTAACGATAAAACTAATATTTAAATTCTTATTTAATGAAATTATAATTATTATTAAATGCCAAGGATCTTCATTTGAAATAACAAGTTCATTCTTAAGTTCTTTAAATGAGTTGAGTTAAGAATCACATTTGGGTAAAGAACAATAAAAAAAAAAAGCCGTGTGGTGTCGTGGGACACCCGATAGGAACGAAGTTGTTACGATCGAGTAAAACTGATTAGACACGATTTTAATTACAACGCCATCTATGAAAGCGGCTATTACCTACATATTTTTCAGTTGGTTTCTAATTAAAAATTATTTTTTTTTTTTTTTTTTTAATCAAAAATTATTTCTAATTAAAAAAAAATTTACATTGGTAAAATCTCCTTGAGAAATGATGTCGAATACAATATTTTTTGCTCAACCTAAGAACATAAATTTTAATTTTACTATTCGATAGATGGCGCTGAATGACTGACAAAAAGTGTCGTGACCAATTTTCGTAAGAATTTTTTCCGTCTAGCCCCCTTTCACAACGCGCAATAAGGAACTTCGTTCCAAAAATAAAAAATCAGTCTCGTAAGTCGTTCACTATTCGTGGTTTCATAATGTTTCTTTAGTTTGGAGAATGCGAGGTGCAATATCCAAACTCCAACTTGCGGTTCTCGGTTAAGTTCATCTAGGATCGAACCGCAGCAGTCGATCGAACTCGAAAGACGAATGGAAAGTAAACTAAGCTTCCAATATTACCATAGTGTTATAATGTAAATTTTAACACATCTTTATATCTCATATATCTCAATCACAATTTTAAATCGTATTGAGCAGCACATTCAAATGTATCTTCTTGCTGTTTGTTTCAGGAAAAATGGTCTACCCCAGAGATCAACGATAACGGTGAGTCTCTAACCATCCGACGTAATACACAAGAAATGTTGTAGAATTGTTAAAATATCAAAATTTCATCTCACACGGCTGTCTGATCACAAACTTGGCAGAACCTGTACAATTTCTTAGATAATTTATACTCTGACACAGAACAAATGGTCCTGCTCTTCACACAATCATTTGCCCATGGTGGGAATCGAACCCACTACATCTGTCTCAGCAGTCAGGGTCACTAACCACTAGATCAACAGGCCAGTCGATAACTTTCGGCTTGTAAGTCTGGACGATGACGATAACTGTTGCAATAACAGGTTCACATCACATCACATCAACGGCCTTTAATAGTCCACCGCTGGGCACAGGCCTCTCCTTAGTAAGGTAGTTTTGGCCTACTATACCACGCTCACTAGACGGGTTGGTATAAGTTTTCCTTCTCTTTCCAGTGTTGTTGGTTGTAGTCGGTTCTTACGACACCCACGGGATGAATAGGGGTGGTGACATTCCGTATTCTTAATCCGACCCCATACGGAAGATTTAAGGTTGATATCAACGAATTGCTAATAAGCAAGGTACACATTACCAACGCTCTCACGAAATACCTGATTAGGATCTTGATGCTGTTGAATGTTTTCGATTATGTTACATTATTTTGCAGAGGTTCTGGTGAAGATGGAGTGCGTGGGTATTTGCGGTTCCGATATAAAACTCTACAGCACTGGTACGTGCGGCATGGACGTGCTCACCGAACCCATGGTCATTGGGCATGAAGGTGCCGGTGTGGTAGTTAAGGTATTTCGTAATTAAGTTTCAAGCTACCTAAATATTCCACATCGTGTCCGCAAAAGACAAGAAAACTTTGTTTCTACTGAGTTTTATAAAATTCTGATTAATTATTGCGTATTTAATATTCGCTTATCTAAGCCCTGACCTGAGGTTATATTTTAATTACGGATTGTTTTTAAAGTTGTAGGTCACACCCTCGGCTTAAGCGATGGCCGAACACAGCGGGCGAGCTTTATACAAATAAGGAAGTTAGGATGTAACCCAAAGCTATCGTCGTAGGTCATGATATATTCTTTATGATGTGTGATACTCTATCGTTATACATTTTTATATAAATGACATTTAGACCAAAGTGCAACCATCGTGGTCACGGGTGGTTAGTATAATAATCTGATGGAGCTAGCCAACACCAAAAAAAAAATTGCGAGTTCAAATATTTTTCCAGCTTCGCTTTATTTGTAGTTTAGTTTAAACTAGTTTAAATTAATAACAAAACACTTGACTGATAACTATTAACATACGAAGATAAGGGTGTTCTAATTGAGTAGATAATTTTTTCGTGTTTATGTAATTGTAACTGTTGTAAAAAGATTTTCAATATTCTTATTTTAATTATTGATCTTATAACTTATATACTATACTAACTGTTTTAACTTCGCGTTGCATGATACACAATCCGCCATTTAATAAAAATAATGTTATTTTATTTAAGTATTTTTTAATCGTCACATAAATAAAAACTATAAATGTGTAATAAGGGAGTTTAACGCGATCCAGTAATAGGTATTGCATAGCTTTTATTCTTAATTTATCTTTTAAAACAGTTTTATTATAATATTTAGGTATAATAAGTTCTACGTTTATCATCATCATCAACAGCCTTTAGCAGTCCACTGCTGGACATAGGCCTCTCCTAAGAGGTTTTTGCCTACTATACCACGCTGGCCAGACGGGTTGGTATAAGGTTTGTGTCAAGTTTTCCTTCTCTTTGCAGTATTGTTGCTCCCTTAGTCGGCTCTTACGACACCCACGGGATGATTGGGGGTGGTGACAATCCGTATTCTTAATCCGTCGCCACACTACGTCTATAGGTACATCTTGTATACAATTATCGTAAAAAGATGTCTGTATAGACGTAAAAAGTGACAAAACTTTTTTTTATAACATTTTCTTACAACATTCATTTAAATCAGTTGACAAACAACGAAACAATAAAAATATTCTGATGTCCTGAATTGCCGGATATCCGGAAATTCAGGACATCAGAAATGCATTAAAAAAGTTATTGCTTGATGAGCTAATTTTGTGTATTCTTGACGACATGATAACCAAAAATCTATCAATGGTGTTGTGTCAAAAATATCCTCGAGTGCTTTGTGAGTTAACAGGTCCATTAATGAGTCAACATCTGAATCTGGCAAATTAGTTTTGGAACCTAACTTGAATGTAAATGGGTTTCTTAGCCAAGCTTTGTTGCTGTCGATTGGGGCCAATATTCTTGAAGAGCCCTCTCCGGCCTTATAAATGTTTGTAGCGTCCACGCCATCGCGACCCATGAAACTTAAACACGCAAACAAGATGTGTATACCGAAAGACTTTATTGTTTGGAAAGAAATGTTAAATTAGACTTCCGGTTAAAAAACAATAGACGACACGGGGATTACGCTACGGATCAATAATTGCTTAGCTGGGCGGACCGAGATTTCTCTAGTACTTTTGTCAGCAAGCTGGCATACTTACTAGAAGAGTATTAGACACAAACATTAGAAACATTGATGCACAAACAGTGACCGAAAATGTTCTTTAATTTGAGTTAAGATGTCTTGTGGCAATGCAATCATGTTGTACTCCTTTTGTATTTCACTTAAATTACTAAATGCTTTGAAGTTCAGTGTTTCCGCGCGTTGTGCCCATACATTAAGCTTTTTTTTTGCAGCTTCCACCTTGTCTTGCACTTTAACTATTGTTATCTTGCAGTGCCATGTTTCGATTATAAAAAAATCAAAAATATTAGATGTGTTAGCCACTTTTGCCAACCAGTTAACATCATGAAATCTGTCCTTAAATTCAAATATTACATCTCTGGCTATTGGGGGATGTTCTTCTAAAAAAACTTTTACTTATTTTAATTCAAAAAGCGTTTTTAAAACATTGCCTCTGAAATATGTACTTTTTTTTCTTGAGCGGAAATCCCCTCGGATATCACCCACCGGTGGGTTGATTATGTCCGACTCGAACTAAACTGCACGCCGTCTCGGGTACCAGTAGCTGGGGAACCAGGTGTACCCTAGAAAGGAAATCCCTGGTACCCCGACGTACATCGGGTCATCCACGGCGTGTAGATGACCCCCTGTTACTATTCTACACTAGTAAAATTCTATTCGTTAAATGTTAACTTTGTCTATTGAATAACAGTAAAGAGTATACTCGTATTGAGGTTGTGTTATCTTGTGCATCTTTATTTTACACTACTTATCTTTGCTGATAATTAATGCAGATTGGTCCAAAAGTGACGTCATTGAAAGTGGGAGATCGCGTGGCCATCGAGCCTACACAACCCTGCCGCGCCTGCGAGTATTGCAAGACGGGGCGGTACAACCTGTGCATTGCTCCATGCTACTGCTCGTCGATGGGTGCACCCGGGAACCTTTGTAAATACTATAAACATGTAGCTGACTTCTGCCACAAGTAAGTGTGCCTTGAAATAAGGAATTTGGTAATGTGTTGAATGTAGATACGTATCTAAGTGGATAAAAACACCAAGGTACTTAGGAACCATTTTGACTGCGTCGGTGGTGCAGTGGTAGCGTATGCGACTGCTGTGCTGAGATCTCGGGTTCGATTCCCATGTCGTATGACACGGCTCTCCACACGCTGGCAGAGTGCCCGGCGTGGGTTGAGCAGAGGCGAGACCTCGTGGCGGCCATCGGAGTGGGAGTTCTCTCGCTCGATAGCCTGATTGCGGCTCTCGTGCGGAGCGAGAGTGCGTGGAACTCTGCCGTCTCCTTCTGCGAGCAAATTATGCTCGCGAAGGAGACGGCGGAGCGGGACCGGGAGAGGTTTAGAACTCTCCCGGCCCGCCAGGCCCGGGCACGGGCCAGGCACCGCAGGCGACTCAGGCGCCGGAGGTCGCAGAACGACCTCCGTCCTCCAAAGCGCAGGCCTGGGGGTGACAGGTGAGGCCATCTGTCACCCTAGCAGAAGCAGGCCGGGGTGGCGGCGAGCGCGTGCGAGGGAGCACAGGGAACATGGGGTTCCCAAACGGGGGGAGTCGTCTACTCGTCTGTAGATGACCCGAGGTATGTCGGGGCACCAGGGACTTCCTTTCTAGGGTATACCTGGTTCCCCGGCTAGTAGTACCCGGCGACGGCGTGCGGTTTTAGTCGGTTCGAGTCCGACATGCCACCGATAGGTGGTATCCGAGGGGATTTCCGCACGGAAAAAAAAAAAAAAAAAAAAGGACAGGGTGATTTCTATGTAAATACATACATACATATTATGTATGTATTTACAAAAAAAAGTGTATAAGTTTTCGGCCAATCTAGCTTTCATAGTACTAGCTCTGCTTAGTTTAAAACTAGATGGCGTTGTCTATGAGATGTTCGAAATATTATAATCTATACTAATATTATAAAGCTGAAGAGTTTGTTTGTTTGTTTGTTTGAACGCGCTAATCTCAGGAACTACTGGTCCGATTAGATCGATGAATTTTGAATTCTTTCAGTGTTAGATAGCCCATTTATCGAGGAAGGCTATAGGCTATATATCATCACGCTAAGACCAATAGGAGCGGAGCACCAATGAAGAATGTTTCAAAAACGGAGAAAATTTATTACTATTGAGAGACGCAGACGAAGTTGCGCGGGTCAGCTAGTTTATTATATTGAACTAACAGGTTTTTAGGGGTACCATTTTCTTCGAGATACTGACAAGGAGAATATGCTTACGAAATATAAATAAATAAGACATACATAAGGCCTATGTCCAGCAGTGGACTGCGATAGGCTGTTGATGATGATGAAGACATACCAATTATTTTTATGACATTGGAGGACAAACAAGCAGACAGGTCGCCTGATGGTTGGTGACTACCTCAAAAGTCAATAGTACCTCCACTCAGAACCAGGGGGGGGAGAAGAGTTTGGGCTCCAGTAGTCTCACTCACTTTGGAATTCTAACCATTTTTTTAGGTAGTAGTACTAGTGGGTACTAGATAGATCCAGCTATAATACGAGTAAAATCTACTTACCTAATAGATATGGAACCAATTAGTTATCCTATGTACAAGTATCCTAACCATGCTAAGAAGCAATAAGCATGATGCACCCTCATTGCGTCATGCAATGAGAATACTAGTGAGGTCACGATAATAAAAAACGTTATGTTACTAATATTAGGCTTAAGGTAATTGTTACTAACACATTGGACCCAGTTTCCACCTAATAAAAGTTTATTATTATTATAACAATAATATTTTTCACACATCTCACACATGGCCGTCTGATTCCGAACTAGGCAGCGGCTGTGACATGGTAACCAAACTGCTGACAAACATACTTCAATATTACAAATACATTTTATAGATAAATTACACCCAAACACAGAATGATCCTCATCACACTGTATTTGTTTTGGGTGGGAATCGAACCCACGACCCCTGTGGCTAAGCAGTCAGGGTCACTAACCACTAGACTAACAGGCCAGCCGATGACTGTAGGTAACAAGGCTGTTTTTTTAAATTAAAATTAACGCTTCTAGAATGCCAGATAATATAAGCATGGAAGAAGGTGCTGCAGTTCAGCCTCTAGCCATAGCGATGCACGCTTGCGCCCGCGCAGGCATTAAACTTGGCTCCACACTCCTTATACTGGGCGGTGGGCCTATTGGTTTACTCTGTGCCATGACGGCTAAGGCCATGGGCGCTAGCAAAATACTTATAACAGGTGAGTGTCTGGCATACAATTTCTCACACAACACAATTTAGACCTCAAAAATAATAGCAAATAATAATCTATTGCAGATGTAGTACAATCTCGGTTGGACACAGCGCGGGAGTTAGCAGCCGATTACACCCTACTGGTGAAGCGAGAGTACTCCGATCAAGACATGGTGGACAGCATCGTGGCGATGCTCGGCACGCAGCCTGATATCACCATCGATGCCTGCGGGTATGCGTCTGCGCAGAGAGTCGCTATGATGGTATTTTTTAATCTTTACTTGTCTTTTTAATTTAGCAATAATCTTGGTGGCACAGCATCTGTCCATACTCGTACAAGTCTTGTTATTACATTCTCAGCCTTGTTTGTCTTGAGAGAGCAAAAAATTATGGTGTCAGTGTAACTCCTAATGCAATATCGCCACCTTAATTTTATGACCAACAACAGAAGTCATCTTTTCGTTAGCTAGAAGAAAACAAATATATGGGGCAATTGTTTTGTATCTACACACTATACGGAGATACTACGGTCCAAAGCCTGAGGGTATCAGCTGCCCCCTTCCACATACTAATATCTAAGAATAGGTTATAATAATAGTACTTTTATAATAGGTAACGAAGACAGCTGGGATAGTGCTTATCGTAGGCATTGGGGAACATAAAGTCGAAGTGCCGTTAAGCCAGGCGTTGCTGCGAGAGGTTGACATCAGAGGTTCCTATAGGATAGTCAATACGTGAGTAGTCTTCAGTAAACAATAAAGTTGATTGTGATTTATAGTTTTAAAAGTCTAAGAGCTAGACCTGTGTCTAGCTCTTAGACTTTCAAAACTATATCTAAAACTGATCTAAAACTGATGTAGTTTTCAACAGTTTTTCTCAAAATAGTATAAACTCACAGCTCTTTGAGAACAGTGACTCCGTTCCACTGGGCTCTGGCTATCCAAACCATCAAAAACTCACGAAACATACACGATTCATATTATACTGTACAATACTAACACAATTTACTAACCAGAAGATTAATAAAATTGTATCTGAACACGCAACATTAGTTTCACTACAGAACACAATTAGGTTTTACTTCAAAATCTATACTAATATTATAAAGCTGAAGAGTTTGTTTGTTTGTTTGTTTGAACGCGCTAATCTCAGGAACTACTGGTCCGATTTGAAAAATTCTTTCAGTGTTAGATAGCCCATTTATTGAATATATCTATATATCATCACGCTAAGATAAATAGGAGAGGAGAATGAAGAATGTTTCAAAAACGGAGAAAATTTATTACTATTGAGAGACGCAGACGAAGTTGCGCGGGTCAGCTAGTGTTAGATATAATGATTCAGGCGTAATAATTAATTTTAAAATTAGTATCTACTCTATTATTTACGGCCGTGTGTGTGTTCCTTGTCAGGTACCCACCAGCTTTAGCAGCAGTCTCGACCGGAGCGATCAAGTTGAACAAATTTATATCCCACCACCTGCCGCTGGCCAGGACCAAGGAGGCGTTAGACCTGGCCAAGAGCGGCACCGCCATGAAAGTTATTATACATGTACAAAAATATTCTTTCTTTCTTTTAAAAAAAGACAACTCCCGCGTTAGGCATATATATCCTGTGTCGCGAGGTTATTTTACAAATGTACATGAAAGTGACACAAAGAACACTCAGATTCGGAATAACAATTTGTGGATCACACAAAGTGAGACACCACTGGGGATCGAACCTACAACTCTCAGCGCAGTAGTAGCAGCGGAAGCGGCGGGCTGACCGCTTAAACCAATACGCTATCAGTGCAGGATACTGAAGCCCTACAGCAGTATTTTTTTTTAAAGACATTTCCCGCATTAGGAATATATCCTGTGTCGCGCGGGACTTTACAAACATACATGAAACGGACACAGAGAACACCCAGACTCAGAACAACAATTAGTGGATCACACAAAGTGTAGTGCCATGTGGGGATCGGACCCACAACACTCAGCGCATTAGTGAGCAGTGTGGCGACCGCTTACACCACTACGCCATCCGTGCAGTCAAATTATAGTCTTTATTGTATATATTTTAACTGTATTACAGATAAGTTTGAAAATTTTAACTTTCTGCACTGGGATATGCGCAACCTTTAAGTATTTATCACAGCCATATCTACACAGACATGACTGCGAAAAAAAAATGCATTTTAGCTTCACTTATATATGTGTATGTATGTTGTCATGTGTGTGTAAATGTTACACAAGGCAGTCTGATCCCAAATTAAGCGGAGCCTGTGTTATGATAATCAAACTGATGATAAACTTAATTAAATATTTTGTAATACACATACTCGTATTATAGATACACACCCAGACACAGAACAAATGAGCATGCTCATCACACAATCATTCATTCTGAGTGAAAATCGAACTCATGACCTCTGGCTTAGCAGTCAGGGTCACTAACCACTGGACCAACAGGCCCATCAAATATATATACAAATATAAATCTTGAAACAAGATAATAAAGAATCATATCAGTAATTTATTAATAATATCAAAAATTCTTAAAAGCAAATTACAAAATCTATCAATTACAAAACTATGTCGGTGAGAGTTCCTTTTACAAATTCTTTAACATTACAACACAGGCATTACAAGGCATAACATACACGCTTATATAAAAAAATTGTTATAAAAAATGAATCACTTTTTAACAAGACAACAATCATTGTGTTGTTTGTTGAGAAATAAAAATGGGTAGTCCTTTAATTTAATTCAATTAAAAACAGGCACTTGGGTTAAAACTTAAATAAAAACAATATTATAATAAAAATAATAGTCATAAACAACATTTAGGAATCAATTTCAATCATTGGCGTTCCATTCAAAGAGAGTTATTTTTTTAATCTCGTTCTTTTTGTGCATATTACACAATTTAAAATCAATTATTAAATTAATAGGTTACTTCCGAGTTTTGTTTTTAACCGTACGGTTAAATTAAAAAACAATCCTACATGTGAACATAATAGCTAATAAAAAATTGTAGTGACATTATTTATAGCACATCCGCGTTAAGAAAAAAGTGACGCGTCGATCAAGCCCCGCCCCCTTACCAATCAGGTTTCAAGAAAGCATCGTTTCGTATGAATACTTGGAACCTGATTGGTTAGAGGGCGGGGCTTGATCGTTGCGACACTATTTTTTTTACGCGAAAGTACCATAGTATCATTCCTAAAAAGACATTTTATTTGGTACATTAATATGACGATCAATACTTTATTAGGGTTTATAAATCAAGAATTTAGTGGAGTCTTGCCTTGCCTTAGTGTCTTGAGCGTCCTGCACCTCCTTACTATAGGGACATAATGTTGCGGTCAACGAAATTGACACGTGTGGCACCATCTTTTTACTGTTAATGTTAATCAACGTATAAGTAAATACTCAACCCTGGGTACACATAAGAGAGTTGAATTTAAAAGAAAATAATAGTTTTCATTGTGTCATTTAAAATAGGAAAGTTGTAATCCCAAAAAAAATATTACTTATTTCTATTATCACTTATTTTTGGACTAAAGGCTTGGTTTAAGAAAGGTCTTACTGAAGCATACATTCGGTTTTAAAGTATGAATGAATTTACAAATTCTTATCGTCTGTTTCCTTGTTATCTGTACACTGTTTACAAGATAAAAAAATTATATTTAAATTAGGAAAATAAATCCAATCAATTACGACCTACTGTACAACAGCTAAGGTCATTACCAGAGAGCGCTGAGATATTTTTTTATTACTCTCGTGATATGATGGATTTTGATAACTACAAGACGCAAGTACCATCTATTATATGTTATAAGCTCGTTTATATAAGGTTGAGTTTCGAAGGATTGAAGACTCCCGGCCTCGTGTTAAGTACGGCGGTGTTGGAGCGGGGAACCGGCATGCTGCCCAACTTGGTGGCGCCGCTAGAGGTACTGGCCCCGGTGCCACGACCTGGATTGTGAATTTTCATTTAAGTAATATAGTAATATTGTACCACATTCACACAACGAAATTTAGTCCCAAACTAAGCAGAGTCCGTGTGGTGACGGATTAAGAATACAAATTGTCACCACCCCAATTCATCCCGTGGGTGTCGTAAGAGCCGACTAAGGGAGCAAACTAAGCAGGACAACAGCACTGCAAAGAGAAGGAAAACTTGAAACAAACCCTATACCAACCCGTCTGGCCAGCGTGGTATAGTAGGCCAAAACCTCCTTTCTAAGGAGAGGCCTATGTCCAGCAGTGGACTAGTATAGGCTGTTGATGTGTGAGAGAGAGCTTGTACTAAGGGTACTAGACAACTGATATAAATACATATATACTTTTTTTCGTAAATACATACTTATTATACATAGAAACACCCAGACCAAATCAAACATCAAATGTTCATGCACTCAAATGTTTGACTTGAGCAGGAATCGAACCCGTGACCTTTGGAATAGCAGTCCGTTACACAAACCACTACGCCCTAAGGTTGTCATTTACTTGTATTTGATTTGTTTTCCTTGTAACTCTAATATATTCAATTACTAAATGTTATAGATATTAATTTTATATACATATACGTATTAACAATAAAAATAAATACATCCACAGAGTGGTTTAACAAGGTGAAACAAGTGGTAGAGTAATAAAGCCAGTTTTCGTGGAAAAAAATCTATAACCAATTCTAATATATGAACTTTAATAATAATAATTTATAATCATCATCAGCCTTTATCGGTCCACTGCTGGATACGGGTCCTTCTTAGAAAGGAGGTTTTGATCTATTAGCTATAACACGCTGGCCAGACGGGTCGGTATAGGGTTTGTGTTAAGTTTTCCTTCTCTTTGTAGTGCTAAGAGCAAACTACTTTGCTCTTTTAGTCGGTTCTTAGGACATCCACGGGATAAATAAGATTATATCCGTATATATACTTAATCCGTCATCATCAACAGCCCTTAACAGTCCACTGCTGGACATAGGCCTCTCCTTACAATGGAGGTTTTGGCCTACTATTAGTAGTACTTAATCCGTCACCACAAGGAAATATTTACAAAAAGGAAAGTAATAATACAAAAAAGGAAAACTAATATAATATTTAGCGTGTACGTATACGTCCGTAACTCACCCGTCGCGGCGCGTCCCCGCGCTGCGTACGCGCCGCGCGCCGCCTTCTTCTTGGCGGCCGACGGCGCCTTGCGCTTGAACCTGACACACACATCATCGTTCACTTTAAAAACCTGGATTCTTTATAGTTAAAAAATTACCTCGTGTTTAATAAAAATCTCAGCAATGATTAGTACACATAATAATCGATGTTATTTTATGTATTTACAATGTATAACAATATTTATGATTAGTAGAACTGAAAAAAACTGATGTGTAGCTCGTTAAAACCCGACGCCACTGAATAAATTCGTTTAGAGAACTAAGTTCTCGTTACTTATACTTGGTAAAGAAGAATCCACGAACCGGTGCGCAGACCAGTCCGTGGATTGAATCGTTTCCACCCGACACGATTCGATCCACGAACTGGACAAATTAATAATGGTCAATTAAACGTCCAAAACTACCTAAATTAATATTCAGGCAAACTCATTTACGTAGTTGTAATGAAAATAAAAAGTACCACCAACTTCGATGAGACATTATAGTGAAGGGTAATAAACTTAGTTATTTATTCCTTTATTTTACCACCCTCAAGAAAAATACCACCCGGTATTTTACTTTAATTTTGAATAGAATTAAATAGGAAATAGAAAAAAGGTTTTTTTAAATCGGTTCCTGAGATGTGACAGAGGTTCAAGGTAACAAACATTAAACAAAACAGCCGAATTGAGAATCTCCTTTCTTGAAGTCGGTTTAATAAGATCACTAATCACTTCAAAGGTACTTTTTAGATAAAACATCAATACTTCAATTTCAACCAATTTGTAGATTGGATGCGTCCAGTACACATTACAGTCCAATTTAAGTAAATTAATTTAGGTATTATTAATATACAATTTAGGTAATATTCTCGCTCGTGTTCATGGCTAAGCGGTAATTGAGTAGGTTAACACATTGGAAAGTTAAGCAATCCTAACCAGGTAATTTTATGGATGGGTGACCATTCTTAACACATTGAGACACCGTGTATTGGAGAACAACATCTGTGGCAATCGTTACGGGTAGTTGGGAGCCCTAAAAAGTTCGACAACAATCTTTCTGCAGAACTTCGATATCGCCTGCTTGGGTTGTGGGGGTCTGATCGTTCCGATTAAAAAATCAAAGTTCAGCTGTATTGTAGTAAACTTAAAGGGCCGATTCCAACCTCGTTTGGAAAAAAGGCTAGGAGGTAAGTAAAATTAAAAATTGGTATTATTCTGCTGAGTGTTATAGTGACAACGTGTAAGTATATATATACAGATCGATGGTCACCAAAAAGCGTGAAACAGCGTGTTAAAACATAAGCACATTGTGTACCGAAATATTTTCTTGTAACTTACGTGTTTGTGCCTCTATGGCGATACCGTCTCCTGCTGCGTTGGAAAATTGAACACGTCTTTTAAAAGGACATAATGAATAAAATTCTTAGTTATATTTAGTGGGGGCTATGTTTCGTCTTAGCTCGACCGGAGTGATACTCATGGTCTTACAGAAAATCGGTGTTAAGCTTTACAACGAGTCAGTGAGGTTAGCGAAGGATTCCGGGCCCCCCCCTCTATGGGGATGGCATTCAAGGGCATCATCACACTTCTATCTCTTAAATTGCAATTGTCGCGGTGGTAGTCACTTACTATCAGGTGACGCGTCTGCTTGTTTGCCCCCTACATCGTACCATATTAAAAAAAAGAAACCAAATAGCTTGCAGTTTAATTGGGAACATCTATTTTTTTTTTCTTAACGCAGACTTCTTCCTAAGAACAAATAAAATATACGAGTATAATATACAGCACTCACTTCTTCCTAACTCCACCCCTGTAAGTCTTCCTTCCACGAGATGTAGAAGAGTTACGGGACTTGTCTGCGTCTCGCCCGAGGCGGCTCCAGTCCGTGTCGGAGCCGGACCCGGGATCCTCGAAGTCGTTCTCTTTCTTCTGCTCCTGCTCCATCTCACCCTCTCGCTCCATTAGAACTCCTGTGGAAACTCGAGTATTAGTAACACTTACCTTTTTTAGGAATCTCCTAACAATCTTCTGTATTATGGAAAATAAGTAGTAAGAAGAACTGGATAGAAAATTGGTCACGTTAAATAATGGTGAAAGCTGCAACTGTGGAAGTACGAATACTTCTTCGGATACTTTCTATGAAGGTGCATCTCTCCAGAATGAAAAAGGGTCGATCTGAAATATCCTGGCGATCGATAATTCGTGTCGAACTCTATTTAATACGGTTCAGAGGAAGAAGCAGGTAATGGGGTACCCCTGTCCGAAGACGAGGACGATGTCCCATACACGGTCGAAGTATGCGCCTTATAAAGTTGCAAGAGGTGGTAATTTTCGCACGATAAAAAAAAATGGTTTTTCATGGAAAAACGGAAAAAGCACACAAAGCATAACATTTGGAATAATAATGTACCAAAAATACATTTAATACGTACCGATCCTTTCATAGGCGTACATTTTGGTGATCGTGAGCAGCTTGGCGCCAAACTTGTCGTAGTTGGCGCGCGTGACGTAGGGCATGGCGAGCATGGCGGCCGGCTCCTCGGGCAGCGCGCTGGCCATGGCCTTCAGCGCCGCCTGCGGCAGCACCGCGCCCATCGTCGCGCCGCGCGCGGCCGCCATCTCACTGCGGGGGGGGGGGGGGGGGGGGCCTCGTTAGCTTAACTCACCAGCATTACCCTCTAGATGTAATAATACTTTCAAACACACTTACTGACAAGCCTCTACGAGGTCTGCGTAGCAGCGCTCCTCGATGCGTTTGAGCAATGGATCTGCGGGTGAGACCGTAGCGCTCGTAGCGGGCGCGCTCGTAGTCGTTAGAGACGCCTTTTCCTCGACCAACATTGGGAGCACGACGCGGAGACCGCCCCGCATCACACTGAAATGACATTCACTACATAACAGAAAGGAACTACTACCTATATAGTACTTATAATATAATAATAATTTATTTATTGTCATTCGCAAAGAACGCGTTTCATATTTTACGGACACATAGTCTGATGTACCTCTAAGACTTAACCTACAATGAGGGATATTGTCGATGTTATTCATAAATTCATAAATTTCTTTCAAGAATAACAGATATATTTATAAACGAATTTGATAAATATCTATTCTATATTCTATTTGAAATTTTATGGCACTATATATTATTTATTTTTATTAATTAGTCTAGTTAATTGTTGCTGCAGCTTAGTGTAGACTAATCTCAAACTTACTTTTCGACGTTAGGTCCCAGCACCAAGTAAGAGCTGGTGATGTCGTTGTTGATGACGAGCTTTTCGGCCAGCAGCCCGCGTATGACCATATGACGCAGGAGCCGCACCGGGTCGTCGCGCTTCCACGATTTGCAACTATCACACGTAAAACATAAAGTTAATTTTTGAATATGTTACTTGATTCTTCTTTTGGACGTATATTTGACAAGTGTTATCATTAAGATTTTAATCAAGAGTTACATCGATTTTTTTTTCGATATTTATAATTTTATAATTATTTTAAAGAGCAGCATTTTTGTACTGATATAAAGTTATTGACACGTTCTTGACCTCCCATTTTCAAAACGTAGCCGCATCTCACGGCACTATTCCACACGGGCTTCTTTTACCTTCGACGTCAAGTGCAAAAAATACTCTTCAAATAACACTGTCAGTTCCAGTCTCAGGAAAAAAAAAAACATTGCTTCATTAACATCATGTCTCAATAGAGAATGATTTTGGAGTTTGAGGTGTCGTTAGATTCATTTTAATTGTGACTTGGGTATATGATTGATGAAATCCTATAAATATCTATACATACCTATCTATACTAATATTATAAAGCTGAAGTTTGTTTGTTTGCTTGAATGCGCTAATCTCAGGAACTACTGGTCCAATTTGAAAAATTCTTTCAGTGTTAGATAGCCCATTTATCGGGGAAGGCTATAGGCTATACATCATCACGCTAAGACCAATAGGAGCGGAGCACCAATGAAGAATGTTTCAAAAACGGAGAAAATTTATTACTATTGAGAGACGCAGACGAAGTTGCGCGGGTCAGCTAGTACATTTATATATAAATACCTATACATTTTCACGTCATTGACTGTCTGTTCATTGTAACAAAATATAGCGAATGTCTGAGAACCAAATCTTCTAGGACGTGATGTCAAACAGTAATTTATTTATCTCACCGTCCATGCAGAGGCGAATTCTGCAGAGCTTGCAGCCTGGCTTGCTTGGAGCCCTTGAGCACATCCGCTATTTGAAGTAGGGTGTAGGGACTCCTTCCATTGGTATTCATTTCTCTGATACTCCGCACTATTAGCTTGCACTCTTCTGTCACGTCCACTAGCTAAAGGGAAAAAATAGAAATATTTTTAAGTTTAACCCCTTAAGAAAGAACCGGCATGATGCGTATTTTTATTTTATGTATTGTTTATTTTAGGCATAATCACACTATGTAATAAAAGTTAAATTAAACGGCATTAATTACAATTAATACACAAAACCTTAAATTAACTTCTCAGCAGATAAACAGCGGAATACAACTGACACTAATTAATAAATAATATTTGGACATCTAACATACAACGCCATCTAGTTTCAAACTAAGCCGAGCTTGTACTATGAAAGCTAAATTGACTGATAGAATACTTATATACTTTTTTTTTGTAAATACATACATATTATATATAGAAAACACCCAAACTCCGAAACAAATATTTGTAGATGAAAAAAAAATTTGGTCCGACCCGGGAATCGAACCCGAGACCTCAGTACGGCAATCGCGTACGCTACCACTGCGCAATCGAGGCAGTCAATTGATTACTACATGCACCTAATCGAGTCAGGAAAGATGCTTTGAGTCTCCTCAAGAGCCCGTAAAAATCAGTAACTTTGTTCTCAGCAAACATGCGGCGGTGAAGTGCGACTGGTGCGGTGAAGAGGTCACAGGTTCAACTTAGCCCTAAAAGCATTATTATACTGTACGGCACTGATTTTATTTCATAACTTTAGTTTTTTAAGGCATACAGGCAAATTAGCAGATGCGTCAACTCTAAGGGAGTAAGTGCGTTGCCATTCGTTAGTGGAGGGGAAAGGGGGATTTGGTCATATGTACAATAACAGGAGAATTTTGTTAATGAAATTTTTTAGATTTTTCTTTCATTTTTAGATTTATTTTCATGAGAATTCTCAATGATCTTGTAAACTATATTTAAGTTTTTAATTAAAATCACTTTCTGTGGCTGAAATATGCATCTAAGTTTTAGTTTTGTGAATCTAATAAGGATTAATTACATTTACATTAAACTGTTTGGACTTTAAAGTTTTAATTAAATTTGAAAATGTTGTCGACTTTAAAATAACCTTTTCCAATAATAAATTAGTTCACAGCGTTCGGCGGTGACATAGTATTCTTTGAGTAGATGAATTCAGTTGTTTCAGAGGTACAAAGATCGCACAGTTGTTTAATTTGTCGCCTCTGCAACTGCCACAATGGCAACAATTCTGTTGTAGTTTTTCAAATATCTGTCCAGGTACAGGTACTTTTTGAATGAGGGATTTATAAAAAAAAAAACAAATTACAAATACACAGTCGCTTTATTCTCCTGAAAAATATTACAGTTAAATGATTACAGTTAAATGAATTGATTAAAGTACAATATGTATATATTTTTTACGTACAACATACAATGAAATATAAAATAACTATCGTATTCTTTACATTTTTTAAAGATAGGTTTTACGACCCAACAGGGCTCCCTCCCTCGTGTGGCGTCACATATTTTGTAATTTGACATTTTTAAATTAAATCGGGAGTTTCGAACTTAGTTTTATTACCATTGAAATTGTTTTTTAATAAAATCAAAACCAAACATTTGAATAACTTAAAAAATCATAAAACGATGAATTATGCTACTGTTAATAATTCACTGTTCATTTTCACGTTTTATTACTTGGATATATTAGGTTTTGAAATGTCACGTCACGAAACTTAGGACCCCTTACACCCCTTGTCACACTTCGCTCCTCCCTAACATGTGACGTAATTTATGGATGGCCCTTAATCACAGAGAAACGCTAACGCTAAAATTTAAAACTATTTAAAACTATATCACAGTCACACAGTGTCAGATACATCGCTAGAGACTTTTGATTGACTAAATTTTGTCATAATTACCTAATACACTAAACATTTAAAGGCCGTTGTTTAAATACAAACCTTATTGGTTTTGACTTACGATTGACTATCACAATTGTTTTTAAAATGCTTATAAATCCAATATAGGTCAAACTTTAAATTATTAAAAAAAATCAAGCGTGTTTTGGTAATTCGAGAAAGATTTATGTGAAAAAAATATTGAGGCCTATTTTTACTAAAGAAAAATATCAATTATAAAAAAATGGCATTTATTTTGTTCGACCATTTTAAAATATTTCGAGTTTTTTTTTTATTTAAGTTCTAAAGTCATAATATCTTAATCTAAAAAAGGTACACAGAACCCAATAATTACTAGTCATTGGTAGTTTTGTGCTCGATTATTAAAAAAACCCTACTTGTTTTATCCAAAAACTTCACGCTTATCTTCGATCAATTCAGTCAAAAATGTCATCTTCTAAGTACGGAATATTTTTTTATTATAATGCACCGATTAAAATGTATTTTTGGATTTGGCAATTCGCGCTTTAAATAAGTACTATTTAATCTATGGTCAAAGAAGCACCTGTGTAGGACTTTATAAAGTCAATTTGCATAAAATGTAATTGTTTAAATTTTGTTCAAATCTTCTATAAACCGTTACGTACAAAATAGTGAGGTAGTGATGTGCCGCAGTGCTGTATAGTCGCGGATACAGATCTGAAAACGAATGATTAGTATCCAGATCCGCGAATACGGATAAGGTTCTCCAAGATTTTACTCAGTGAATAGTTGAACACTAAAGAACTCGATATGTTTCGACTTTTTCGAGCTTTTATAGTTTTAATACATCAAGGTTTAGAGTTTGATGTCTTAATGAAGATAGTTAAAACTCATTTTATAACTATTAATAATATTAGTGGCTAACATGATTAGATATTTAAATATTTAAAAAATTGGCAAAATATGTTCACAATTTCCAAAATGATATTATAGTAAAAACGGATACGGGCAATAATACAGATCTCAGAGGAAGCAAACATGTTTTGATGGAATGTGTTCGGAACCAACAACTTAGAGCACGCATGTTTAGTGAAAAGTTGATGGACATCAGAAGATGTAGGTCTTTTGACAAATACAGCTAAGGCTATATTTTACTTTGTATTTTGAATATTTAAGTTTAGTTTAAAACAAACATACGACATAGTCATAATTGTGGCTAAGCTCCGTAAATAAAGATAAAAAAAATACAGATTTCTTTTATTTAGTCGGATGCTAGCGTGTAGGTGCATATACGTACGTATATCCGGCACATCACTAGTATAAAGCTATGAATAGACTACACATATCAATCTGGTGCAGTAGTAGCGCCTTGTTAATCAATGACGATGACGTCATCAATTTGTAAAGATGGCGGGGGCGAGGAAGGTATCTCCACGACCTCTTCAGGTGCATCGGGCATCTGGACAAACAATGTACTAATAAATTTAATCCCGTAGTGTATGCTTTTATATACCTAGTCTTGCCATAAATATTGTTACAAGGAAAAATCTTTTTTTAAAGTTTATTACTGTAATGTATATTAGTTTATACATTAGCTTTAAAAATATATGAAGCTCATGCAAAATGATCTCTATTGGCTTTAATACATCATTTATCAATAGAAACACGCACTCTCTGTATGGGAAAATATTTGACTGGCGATTTTATAGATCTATCGTGGGAGAGCCATGCTTCGGCACGAATGGGCCGGCTCGATCGGAGTGATACCACTTTCACTGAGTGAGTGAGGTTACCGGACCCCAAATCCCCCCTCCCGCTGACTCGAGCGGGAGGGACACCAAGGGCAGCAACGCACTTGTGACTTTTGAGTTGCAGGTGCCAATGGGCGGCGACAGTTGCTTACCATCAGGTGACCCGTCTGCTGGTTTGCCCCCTTATGCCGTAAAAAAAAAATTTGATTGTTTTAGGGACTCCAAATTTTCATGGCGTTTAGAGTATGCCATGCCATACCCTCTAAAAGTGATCATGAATCATAATCCAGCTGGACTAAATGACGGTTTTTCTTCAACTCCGATGAAGTCAGAAACGTTCGTTTCCAACCACGCTTGGGTGGATCCAGCTTTATGACCCGGTTCTGAGTCTTGTTGAAAAGACCATTCTTGGTTATGAAACATGGTGTTGTTAAGAGGCTTAATAGCCTTCTAACGAATCGTATCTTGATACACTTGTGGCGATCTATTGAAACTTGTTTCACAAAAATAGAAAATAAATTTGAAAAATTGACAAAAGTAAAAAGCACGCCACGCTTTTTCTCAAATTTATTTTCTATTTTTTTGGTTTGGTTTTTTTTATAGAAAGCGTGTTTTTTAGTTTTTTTAAACTATATTTTCTTTTTTTTAAATTAGTGTATTGTCATCGATCCTCGATATATCTACAAAGTTTAAACGAATTCTGACCGTTTAAAGTCAGTCAAGATCACACCCAAAGGAGTCGGTTACAAACATACAAACAAACATACAAGTGAAGCTAATATACAGCGTGTAAAAGTACGGCTTACCTTGAGCCAACACCCTACCAAACCAACTGTAACATCTGATAATGCAAACTTTGTACTCTGCTGGCTAATTTGGAAGCTTCTATAGAGCTTAGAGTATAAACTATGTCATTTTGTTTGATTAAATATTCTCGTCAATGAATAACATTTTTCTGTGACCTCCCTTTGCGTACCCGCTTAAGAATTCGTTTTGATTGTACCACACTTATTCATTTTTAAATTAACAGTTAAATAATAACCCGTACGTATCTTATAGGCAGCAAGTTCTATGTCATCTTTAAAATACGCGACATGATTCTAGGTGCTATATTCGCTTCCCGAGATAAAATCATTTGCTTTTTGACAGGATTTCTTCGAATTCTTTCTTTCGCTGCTTTGATCGGCTTTTTCGTACGACGACCAGATCTTTTTGTGTCACAAACAGAGGAGGTTGCACCAATCAATAGACCGTTACCCAAACATTCGACTAATATGAAGCGGATGGAGTTTAAAAAGTTGCATTTCCTTACCTAGTTTGCGTAATGCTATCACAGCAATTCGGATCTCTTTATCACCCACTCTATTTTAATCACAAAAATATTTAACACGGATTTGCGCGAATATGAGAAAACACATTGAATATTGACAGATTCCAAAACTTAAATGATGAATATTATGTTTTTTTTTTTATTGTAACAGTGAAGAAAATTGTGACGCATCAATCAAGCCCCGCCCGATGACCAATCAGGTTCCAAGAAATTATAGTGTCATACATTGAATATAAGCATAGAGTAAACAGGAGTCCCAATCGTGCAATATAGCGAGAGTGATAGATAATAGATAGATGCCTCTATCTCTTTCTAGTCGAGCTCTGTGGTTGGCTGGGGAATATGAGGGGTTAATAAGTAGCCAATAACAGCTTAGCTAAACAGAGACAGAGGAAACTATCGGGCATCCATATCTCTCGTTGCCTGTATCGCTTCCACTTACAGGCAGCTGAACCCCATGTTCTCTCTATGGTTTCATACGAATACATTGGCTAGGGGGCAGGGCTTGATCAATGCGTCACTACTTTCTTAACGCGAATGGTCTATAATTACTATGAAACCCGTTACTCTGATAGGCAACTATCTCTTTTCTCTATGTGAAGACCACAATATCCACCTTGTAGTAGTCGCCACTGCATTTTTGACTACACAACCTACATTATATTATAGGTAGTGAAATTAAATTCTAGCTAATATATAGTAAGCCATGACTAACCTTGTACTTGTGCTTTTTCAGACAGTTATCGCACGCGGTCCTCTTGTCACGTAGGCACTGTTCTCGGCTGAACTTCTCACCGAGGTAAGCGAGCACCTGCGCCCGCCGACATTCTGTGGCGCTCTCGCACACCTCTAACATACGCAGCAGGTTGTCTATGTGAACGCGTTTCGATTCCTCCGTTGTATTACTTTCCACTGCAATCAAAAGAAAAAAAAAACAAATGAGAGAGCGATTAACATATTTTGACAACAGCGTTTTTTGAGTCTTCAACAAAAGCATAGTCATATCACAGTATCTAATGACCATTAATAATGCCAACTCAAAAATCACAAATGTGTTGAGATCCTATCAGTTCTTCTCCCCCGAAACAGCCCTGGATCTTTAGGGGGGGTGGGGGGCAACGGAGGCTAAAGCCAAAATATATTATTGTTACGTCCCAATCACGAATAATGCCAACCGAATATATAAGTTTAAGTTTTTTAAGTTATTTATTTCAAACGCTGGAGAGAGAGAGTGCTGTAATGAAGTTTCTGACCCGGCTCGAAAAAATTGTAGGTCCGAGGCTGCTCAGAACCAAGGAGAGGATTCAGGCTCCGTTAACCTCACTCAGTCGGTGAAAGCAACGAAAGATCACTCCCGTCGAGCCTGGCCCGTTTGTGCCGAGGCATGCTTTGAGGAAGACGTTTTTTTGGTGTAAGCGATATCCTTTTTCTACCACTGCCTTATTATCTGCCTGTCCTTTCAATATACTTCCTAAACCCTAAAGTATTAAGTTGACGGCAGTAGTAAGTAATGAGCAATAGTATTTCGGACAACAGACGCACTACGCCATCTAGTAATATAAGTTTAGCGGGGTCAGAGCGTGAAGAAGAGATAGTGAGACTTACGCTCTATGAGCTTCTTGATGCGTATGGCGTCCTGGTAGAAGTAGTAGAGGATGCAGGTGGCGGGCTCGCCGTCCCGGCCGGCGCGGCCCGCCTCCTGGTAGTAGCCCTCCACCGACTTGGGCAGCGAGTGGTGGATCACGAAGCGCACGTCCGCCTTGTCCACGCCCATGCCGAACGCTATCGTCGCGCATATCTGTGTAATGGGAACGGACTTGACACACATCACTGCTAAACCGGAGGTCGTGGGTTCGATTCCCACCCGAGACAAATAATTGTGTTATGAGAATAGTCATTATATCTATTCTATGAATGTATCTAGAAATATTTTATGCATGTTTATCAGCAGTCTAGTTACCCGTTGGGCCGCAGCCCCTCAGGCATGATCACCTCGCCTGGCCGGAGGATCCTCCCTTTGTGTTGAGGGGCCTTGCCCCCGTTTTTCCACACTGTTGATCTATTTGTAAGTTATCCTGAACCAGAGGTCGTGGGTTCGATCCCACCTAGGGCAAATAATAGATTCCAAACTAGGTAGATTCTGTAGTATGCTAACTATAACCCGGCAATCTCGTGCGCGACCATCCCGCGGGGTGACAGACAGTGGCGGGGGCGGGGTAGCGCGTCATTCTAGCACACGGCTACACACGAAGAGAAGCGTTTCCCTTCCCCGCTACACCACCCGCTACCCGCTGATATATTGAGTATACCTCGTCCCCGCCACCGTCTGTCACCCCGCAGGACGGTCGCGCACGACGTTGATGGACTATAGACTGCTGATAAACATTCTTTCACCGCAGTCAGCACTCTCCGATATAATTATAATTTTCTAATATGTAAACTAAGTTACTAAAAATGCGACTGCGGGTGACTGACCACTTTGTACTTGTCGGCGACCCATCCAGCCTGCACCTCGATCCTCTTCTTGTCGGTGAGGCCCGCGTGGTAGGGCGCGCTCTGGATGCCCTCCTTGCGCAACTCCGCCGACAGAGTCTCACACTCTCTACGTGCCAGACAGTACACTATACCCGACTGCCTGTAACAATTGTAATATATATATATATAAATAAATATGAATCTCAAAACTTGAGAACGGCTCAACCAATTCGGCTATTCTTTTTTCATATTTTCGTTAAGGCACAAGAATATTTTTATGAAGGGGAAAAACGTAAAAATTGCAAAAGAAATAGTAAAAACAACACTTTTCTGTTCCCATACAAAAGGCAGAGTAAAATAAAGGCTCGTTAGGATTATCTTTGGTATGCCTTCAAGTTGAATGGATATTAATCTATGCTGCATCAACAGCCTTTCATAGTCCACTGCTGGACATAAGGCTCTCTTTAGAAAGGACGTTTTGGCCTACTATACCACGCTGGCCAGACGGGATAGGGTTTGTGTCAAGTTTTCCTTCTCTCTGCAGTGCTGTTGTTCTGCGTATTTTTTTCCCTTAGTCGGCTCATACGACACCCACGGGATGAATAGGGATGGTGACACTCTGTATTCTTAATCCGTCACTACACGGACATCTATGCTTGCTCAAAATAAAATTCGAAGATAAGTGATTACTGAAATATATTTTTTCTATTGAATTTCGAGAGACCAATAACTTTTGACAGAACGAAGTCGCGGGGCAGCTTGTAAGTCACGTGACATTTTACAATTTACTATATTTTAAAACCGGAAAATACAATTTCAAGTACATATGTAAGTCTCGCTTTTTTTAACGTGTAGAGCCGTTACCCACCAGGGTGTGCAGTGAGGTGATGTAGCGGAATCGAACCAACTAAAACCAAAAAGGTGTGCTGCAACTTAAATAAGAGTTATCCGAGAACAGCTTTTAGTAAGAAATAAAGAAGAAGAATAATAGACAAGAACAGAGAAGATAAAATTGCAGTAAGATCTCGGTATCGAGTAAGGTAACCCCTCCTAACCAGAATCTTAAGTTTTTTTTATGTTATAAGGGGGCAAATGAGCAGACGTGTCACCTGATGGTAAGCAACTACCGCCGCCCATGGACACCTGCAACTCAAAAGTCACAAGTGCGTTACCGCCCCTGGAGTCCCTCTCGCTCGAGTCAGCGGGAGTTCTTTTGACAGATTGAGTTGAATTAAGATTGTTAAGAGATCTAAATAAATTTACGTATTCACTTCAGAAGAGATTACACACATACTAATAAACGGTTTTCCAAGAAATCTTACCTGAAAAATTTTTCCTTAATGACTGCAGCGATATCCTGATTTGCACTTTTTGGTTTCTTTGGTGTTATATTATAAGTCAGGTTGGGTCTATTGAAGCTACTTAGAAACCATTTACACTTCTTCACCTTCAGCTGGTGAAGGATATCCATCCGGACCCGAGGAGTGGCTGTGGCTGTCAGCGCCATTATTATGGTGTTAGGGTACCGTTCTCTGAGTATTGAGAGGCGCTTGTAGTCTGGCCGGAAGTCGTGGCCCCATTGGGACACGCAATGAGCTTCATCGATAACAAACCTGTGAAATATAGAACTTCAGTAGTTACAAGTGTAAAAAATTTTTTTTAATAAATATACCCAAATCGAGTATCACTTCAACAACTTAAAATTTATAATTTTTTTGACAAATTAGATTTTCATCAGTTACAGCTTATAACACTTTAAATAAAGTTACCGTCAAAATAAAATAAATAACTAAATCAAAGTCGATCTATTCATTTAAGGACGATATTTACACAACAGGTAAATGTACAAATGCGAATTTTCAACTTGTAACATCCCTTCTGTTTGTATCGGAGCTTAAAAATTAAATGTGTGTAAATACTTAAAAATATTGACATTTTATTTGAATACAAAAACAAGAAAAGAAATAATTTTAATTTACAGTTACTTAATAAAAATATTTGAGTTTTGAATTTTTCTTTTAAGATTATGACCTTGATTTAATTTCGCCGTGATATTAATAAAAAGCAATGTGTCAGTAATTTGCAATATTGGAAATGAGGCCGCAATACGAATGTGCAAGTGAATTTATTATCTGTTTTTTTTTTTTGTTTTCTGCATGTCATGTTGTCTGCAAAAAATATTTCGCAAACAACATAACGTACTATAGATTCGAGGTCCTATTTCTTGATTATGCAATTGTCAATCAAACTGAAACAATGGCGGTCTAAAGTTCATATTTTAACCTGGCTAATGGCACTAGTTGGATTTGCACCTAACGATGTATGAAAGATGGGCTTTCTCGTTTGCCAAAAGAATTTATGAATGTAGTTACCTAGCCAGTTTCCCTCGCGCATACAAGGCATCGAGCATATCCTGGAGCCTCTGCGAGATGCTGATCTTCTCCGGGGTCGTGTACAGCAGCTTCAGCAACGGCTCCTTCATTGACAACTTGTGGTATATCTCGTCGCATGTTTGGGCACTCACATCGCCAGACATATGTGCCGCTGGAATCTTTACATCAAATTATAATAATATATTGTATCTAACCGCGGAATTTTCTTGCTAAACTAGATATTGAATTCGTTAATATCTATAATATGGTGTTTAAGAAAATTAGAGTTGCTACGAGAACTAAGATATTATTTATTTTTACGACAAGGTCGCGGGTTTCTTTTTTTTTCTTTTTAAAAATGACAACTCCTGCACTAGGAATAAATCCTGTGTCGCGGGGGACTTTACAAACATACATGAAACGGACACAAAGAACACCCAGACTCAGAACAACAATTTGTGAATGACACTAAGTGTCGTCCCATGTGGGGATCGGACCCACAGCACTCAGCGTAGTAGTGATCGGCCTGGCGACCACTTAAACTACTGCGCCATCCGTGCAGTTTAAGTCCCGCTCATGTCAAACATTTGCCTGCTTGAACATTTAATGTTTGATTTGGTCTGGGTGTTTCTATGTATACTCGTAATATGTGTGTATTTACAAAAAAAAAGTATAATATCTATTTATATCAGTTGTCTACTACCCATTGTACAAGCTCTGCTTAGTTTGGGACTAGATAGCGTTGTATGATAGGTAGAATATTATTATTTAGAGCAGGTTTCGTAGTGGCCTTAAAAGCCGACCCCAATCTAGCTTGAAGAATGGCTCAGAGGAAGACTTTTAGAGGTTTTCGCATTCAGACACACAGACCCGGTGGGGCACTTTAAATTTTAAAACGTAGTGATAACACTGATGGGCATGTTGGTCAAGTGATCCTGACTGGCGGAGGTCGTGGGTTCGATTCCCACCCAAGACAAATATTGTGTGATGAGCACGATCATGTGTTCTGTGGGTTAGCGCGCACCATCAACATTAAAATTTTTAAACATCACTATTTACACATCACTTAAATCACTCACACCACCACTCACACACACCATTTAAACATTACTAATTTTTAAAAATCACCTATCCGGCAACTATAGCGACCACTCTATGCGATCTGCCCGTGGGCTAGCGCTGCTGTCAGGGTTAACTAATAAAGATATGTCTTAAAAACTGTGTCAGTGTCAACACTTACGTCGAGTGTCAGCAGTTTGTTGACCTGGTCTAATATCAGCGACTTGAGTGGGGATATCACGATTGTCACGCCCGGAGTCAGTAAAGCTGGCAGCTGGTAGCACAGAGATTTACCTGCGGAAATAGACAGGATTAGCTCCGTCAAAAATGGGCTACAGATATGTACGTCGTTATGAATGCTAGTCCACTGCTGGACATAGGCCTCTCCTTAGAAATGAGGTCTATGTCACCACCCCTATTCATCCCGTAGGTGTCGTAAGAGACGACTAAGGGACCAAACTACAAGACAACAGCACTGCAAAGAGAAGGAAAACTTGAAACAAACCCTATACATACATAAGAAAACTAAATTAAAATATTCAACTTTCATTTCCAATGATATTGTATTAGGTCTTTACCTTAGTTAGATTTTAATGAAAATTTTGGCTCTTTTTATTTTGGCTTATCGAATTACTGGCCCAAAATATTTATACAATTTTGCCATTTTCATGGCAGTTTGTTTCATCATCATCAACAGCCTTTAATAGTCCACTGCTGGACATAGGCCTCCTTAGAAAGGAGGTTTTGGCCTACTATACCACGCTGGCCAGACGGGTTGGTATAGGGTTTGTGTCAAGTTTTCCTTCTTTTTACAGTGCTAGTGTCCTGCGTTGTTTTGCGCCCTTAGTCGGCTCTTACGACACCCACGGGATGAATTGGGGTAGTGACATTCCGTATTCTTAATCCGTCACTACACGTAACTTTGTTTATCCCTTTATTATAGAAGTCGGCTGGACAAGAGGGGATGAAGTCATTTTGTACATACAGTATATTTTCTTCTCTGATCTTTATAATTCTATACTGAGTAACATACCTCCTCCCGTAGGCATGAGCACGAAACAATCGTGTCCCAGCAGCGTCGCGTTGATCACTTGCCGTTGGTTCGTCCGAAACTTCTTCAAGCCGAATTTCTCTCTGAATGTTTCTTGCATCAAGGCTGAGTGGGGGTAGTGCGTGCCGTCGAATTCACCTAGCATATTAACTTAGTTACATTTTTGTTCAGAAAAACGACGAATACTCAAGTTTCAAAAACATTTTAATATTATTATCACACTAATATTATAAAGGCGAAAGTTTGAGTGTGTGCGTTTGTTACTTCTTCACGTTCAAACGGCTGGACCGATTTTGATAAAATTTGTTATGAAGGTAGCTGACACCCTGGATCAACACATAGGCTACTTTACGTCGGGAAACCGTAGAGTTCACGTGAGATGAGCATCGACAATATGAATTTCTTATAAACCACGGGTAACACCGCGGGGCGCAGCTAGTTCATTATAAACTCAACCTCTAAAATAACCAACTTAACTAATCTTAGTAACGTTTATTAAATCATGTCCCAGATTGACATACTTAACAGTAGAAGAAATTAGCAACTTAGAAATCTGAAGCCCTAGTGTGAGTTTATTTCACATCTATTCGATCGTCACAGTGAGCGCGTTCGGCGATGCGATTGGCCCGCGCTGAACTCTACACCAATCACAACGAAGAACACGCTTGCTGTCCAGGGGGAGTTGATATGGAATAAACCCACACTTAGACCTCTGACATGCTTTCGAAGCTTTAAACAGCATCTTAAAGATTGCTTAACACGGTTATTGAACCGCGCACCCAATCATAGCTACCCCAATCTCCCAAGATTAGTTAATTACATTGAAATTGATGATTTTGTGTATGGAACTTTAGCAGCTTTCAATTCTTTCAAAATGAGTGACAGGACAGTGATCATCTGCAATATACAATTCATTAATAGAACGTTGACTCTTACCTGTTATGCCATCATTTTGTGTGTCATTTTGAAACTCGCCAATTCCTTCGTATTGAGTTCTATTCTCCTCCCTAACCACAGAATGTTCCATTAAATTGAAAGCTTTAGGCTCATTCGACAAGTCTACAAGATTGTCCTCGAAGTCCTCCATCCTGTATTCGGGCCAGCCCTCATCGTCAACGGCTATCTGTTTCCTATTAATTATTTCTACATTACTAGAAACCGAATCGCTAATATTTATAACACTTGTACCTGAAGTTTCTGGTAAATCATCTATCTCTTCATTAATATTTAAGCTATAATCATCTTTATTGTCTTCGGATTTAAATTCTTTTTTCAGTTCTTGTGAGGACTCTGTAGTATTTGTGTCAAGATTCATAAGAGAAGATTTACTGAACTGTGGAGGTTGAAACTCGACAGAACTGTTTGTTATTGGCACATATTTGGGTGGTTCATTCTTTTCTACTGGTTTTAATCTGTCTTGTGCATTTTTTATCCTTTCTGCAGTAGATGATTGTATGTCGTTATTCAGGTTTATTTTATTTTCTTCCATAGTAAGTCTTGAAGGTTTTTTAAAAACAAATTTGCCTTTTGTTTTATTGACTTCTGATGTGCCTGCAGGTTCTACATCGGATTGAATGTCCGTGTCTGGCTTAACTGAGCTGTTTAGTGGCGAAAGTGCATCAAAAGACAGAGATTTCTTGGATGTTAGTTCTGAATAGATAGTTTTTATTGGTTCATTTTTATTTAAACATAGATCTGGAGTTGAGGTCTCTGGATTACTAGCATTATTTAAATTTATTTCTATAAGTCTTTTATTATTAGCTCTACTGCTTTCCAGGTCAAAGTCATCTAAATCATCTTCTTGCTTAAGTTGTAAATAAGGGCTAACATCACTATCATTCAATGAACCTCCGTTGCAATATTTATCTTCTTTTTGTGATGTGTTATAATTATTAGATGTACTGCTCAGAACTAATTTTAATTTATGTTTAAATAGTTTTATTCTGGCATATATTTTTTTATCATATCCAGGGAACTTTTCTTTTATACAATTTGGTATTCTTTCAAATGCGTCAAATATTTTCTCTAGTAATTCTATATAAATATCCTTACATTGTTCTTTGTCAATATCATCTAATGACGAATCCTAAGGGAGAAAGCTCTAGATATTATATATTTATATTATAACAAACTATAGTAGGCCAAAAACTCCTTTCTAAGGAGAGGCCTATGTCCAGCAGTGGACTATTAAAAGCTGTTGATGATTATAACAAATTAAAATATAATTTGAGTAAAATATGTGTATGCAACACATATTTAACTCAAATTATATTTTAATTTGTTGAAGATATGCAGTTTTACTCCCGTGTGTGTTTCTGGGAAGGCTGACAATTAAGAATCCGAAAGCGACTCTTTTTCAAGGAGTAAAATATTCTGCCGTAACAGCCTAGGGTTATGCTTTTTTTTATAAGACCACTCCCACACTAAGGAATATGTATTGAGTAGCGGTGGTGTTTACAAACATAAAACGGACACAAAGAACACTCAGAACAACAATTTGTGGATCACACAAAGTGTTTTCCCATGTGGGGATAGAACCCAAGACAGCTCAATAGGAAGCGGCGAGGTGACCGCTTAAATCACAATCTGTGTAACATACTAATTTGTTACGGCCCTCATCGGTTCCGAAACCCGCAACCCGAAATTACATATATGAGTAAAACAATATTCTTAATAATTACAGACACCACTCACGAAAGATTGTATTGAAATAAATATTTTTAGCATGCATTACTAAGTCTATACTTTTTTTATTATTTTACCTTCTATCTCATTAAAATTTAAGAGAATTTTAATAGTACATACCTTATTTTTCTTTATAGCAGGATGTTTGGCCACTTGGATCAGGAAATTGGACAACGAGTGATCTAATTTTATATTCCTTAGCCTATCTTTGTCCACTTTGGAACTATTCTCTGGAGTTTTCAATACATTACTCTTATTTGAAGACACATTCTTGCTCTTTGGTGGGCTCGGTGTGGAACTTATCCTAACTGATTTGTTGGACTTCTCTGGTGATGGTGTTTTATTTTCGTTAGTGAACACTGCCGGGAGGTCTCTATCATCATCCTGTAGACAGGTTTAAAACATTTAATAATCCATATATAATAAATGAAAACGTAAGTTTGTTTGTTACGCTTTCACGCCTAAATCACTTAACCAATTTTAAAAATTCTTTCACCAATAGAAAGATACAGTATAGCTATGGGAGTATCAGCGAGTAATAAAGGCTGCTTTTTACCGCGATAACCGACTTTTAACGATTTTTAATATTGTATCAATAGACTGTCGATGGTATGTCGTCGGAATAGTTTTGCACATTTCTTATTCTACTAACTATGTAAGGCCAATGGCCTCCCCATGACGTGTCATTGATACAAATGTCGTCGATGTCTTTGTAATAGTTTGGTAAACGGTACATTTTAAATTTGTAAGAAAATTATATATATTTAATTTTCATGATATGGCAATGTTGTTGATATTACCGTTGATGACCTATATTACTATTTCGATGTGAATTTCTTATTGGAATACCGATTTTTTTACTGATGTCAGTGGCATCTCAATGGCATCTCAATAGACATGGATGGAATGACAATGGCTTGGCGTTAACATAACATAGCAAAATTAAGGCGGCATACTTGACTGGACGAAACCATAATAATTCCAAGGGGGTTATGGCTGGTCTGTAGTTGGACGGATCAGCGCGGTCACCTTTTTTAGGAATCGGGTGCACAAACGCTACCTTCCACGAGTTTGGGACTAGCCTAGGGAGTAGGAGTCGAAAAATGCGCTTTAAAACTGGTGCCAACTCCGGAGCAACAGTCTTTAACACGACAGGGCCCACTCGACTTATGAATATCGAGAGAAAAGATTACTTTACGCACTGATTTCAGGGTGAACCGGATTTCCGGCGTACAGCTCGAGCACTACGGTATAGTCGGCAGTACGCTTCCCCCGTCATCCAAAGTCGAGTTGGATGCAAAAAGTTCGCCTAGGAGATCGGCTTTCTGCTTTGCATCATAGGCCAACAAATTATCGCCCATCTGCAGGGGTAGAAGGGATCAGCTAGAGAAATTACCCTGGACAGCCTTGGCTCTTGCCAAGACTGTGCTGGGAGCAAGTCCAGAATGCATTCTTACCAACAAGGCTGATTTGTTCCGATTTCGTTTCGGAAATGGGTCTTTTGAGGGACCTGGAGGCAAAGTTGTTTTTGCTTTTTGAGCGTGCTGGTATTTACATCACCTACCGTTGCTGCATTAGCCCACGCTTGGCAAGATTCTTGCTTTCGGCGGGACGACGTTTTGCAGGATCTGTCGAACCAAGGTTTGGACCTGCCATCGATGGGGATTAAGGTAGATGGAACAAATAATTCCATGCCCTGAAACACTACGTTAGTGACAGAATCGGCAACAACGTTGGGATCATCCGGCAAGAAACAAACCTGCCTCCATGGGTAGGACGCAAGGAGCGCATCCCATCCCTGTCGGCTGACCTATAGTGACATACACGGCGGCAGCCTGGAACTCGCAGCCGCAGCGAGCACATGAGTGGCACCGCACTCCGGATTAGGCAATGATCCGAGAAGCCAAGTAGGGCCCCAACGGTGACCTTGTAACCGTCCAGATCAGAGGTCAGCAGAAGGTTTAACAGTGAAGGCTCATGACTGACCAGCTATGACTAACCATAGGTCAGGACGAAATCGTAAACAGATCTCACCGCATGAACCAAGGCATATCGGCGTTGTGAGCGTTAAAGTCGCCAAGTATCATGAGCTCTGCGGATAAGATATGCTGCAGCATAGGATCTGTAGCCATTTTGAAGTGGTTCATCAGTCGGCCAGTTTTAGTATCACCAGACGCGGGGATTGTCGTCGCTGTCTACACGGAGCCACAAGATGGAGATGTCCCGTCCTCCAAGATTGCCGAGGCGGCGGAAACCGATATCATCTTCAACGTATACGCACACTTCAGGCCTAGCAACAAAGGAGTGTTGGCGATGATAGCCAGGGTAGGTAGGATGTGTCCAATGGAGATGACTACACCTCGGTTAAGAAGAGCAAGGCCTCGCTGTCTCAGTCGTGGACAGCGGTGAGGTTGATGTGCCTGCACTTGACACTTGGGCAGTTATTTGGTCCAGCGCAGTTGTGTCCCCTCCCCCTATCCGCGGGGCAGCCTATACATCCTCGCCCAGATGCATTATGTTTTGAGCGTCCAGAGAGGGATGCATCAGATACAGTATTTTAGGAAAAAAATTACGTACGTTTCTATAAGGCAAAACACTAATTGGTTTTACAGTGTTTTGCCATGCCATGGTCGATATGGACCCCAAAGAGGTCCACTTTGGGAATCCCGGCACTAGACCAACAGGTCTGTCTGTTAGTAATTAAGTGATTACTCACCAAATCCATTGCAAACATGTCTGCACTACTGTTGTCCACAGTGTTATTATTAAAACTCTTTGAAGAAACAACTTTGTGAAGAGCTGGATGACTTTGAAGGATTGTGGGTGATTTATTTGCACTGTTGCTTTGTACATTAGGCTGAAAAGTATTTTTACTTGCTTTTATACAGTTTCTAAAATCAGCGTAACAATTAAATTTAAAAAAAGTCCTGATTGGAAGCATGTGTTATTTAATTTTAATTAATTAAAGTAAAAATGAATGATGAGGAACTTTTTACCTTCCTTGATGAGGAACGAACATAAAATTATTTATTAATATTATTATTGTCACAAAGAAAATCAAGCACATTCGAATCGAAAAAGAAAGTTCGATTAACAGCGCAATTCCGGGGACGGATTAATAATAATACAGGTTGGCACGGAACAATAAGTTCTACTACAATACACATAAGATCGAAAATAGATTATCGCGCGATTATCTTGTTTACATTCGAAAGGAATTAGTATTTCTCAGAAGAGTACGGTTCTCGGAGGGATTGGAATTTGCTAGAATGATCTTTTACGAGTGTTATAAATACGGAGACGTCTTCTTTGGAGTTAGTTCAGTTCGAGCTAAAGTGCGATAAACACACAAGCGAGTGCGACACACACATTCCGGACTAATATTGAGTGAACGTCTTAAAGTGTAGTAATAATAAAGTCTTTTAATGACGACTTAAAAGACTTTATTATTACTACACTTTAAGAAAGAAAGAAGAAAGCTTATCATTCCGAACCAAGGAACCCTAATATGTAACATTATGTTTCACTGTACCAGAAGCAATCAGGCCTCATGACACACACCCCTGTAAATCATATCATCACATATGAATAATGACATAGAATGGTCACCTAGCTACACAGGCAGTCAAATCTGCCAGGTTTCACAAGGATGTTCTCTCCTATCTGAGGTCTCCATGGTAACACCCCATGACAAAACACTGGTTTCAGTCCATTCAAGGTTGATACACCAGCTTACCCTTTGGCGCAGGGGGTTTTTATTACAAAGTAGTGTAAAATAACTTACATTTACAGTCAGAGCACAAGATTCATCTGTTTCTTTTCTCCCCTGATGGACAGGTGGTGTCCCTGCAAGTTAATGTATATAATGCAAGTGATTTGCTTGAAATAAAAAAGATATCATAATATAAAACATTCAATCAAAACAAAAAAAAAGGAGAATCACATTTTGTTTTAAAATATTAATGTGATATTATCCACCATTTGTTCTTGGGTGACGGATTAAGAATACAGAGTATCAACACCTCTATTCCGACTCTGGGTGTTGTATGAGCCGACTAAGAGAGCAAATTATGAAGGACAACAGCACTGCAAAGAGAATGGCAACTTGAAACTAACCCTATACCAACCTGTCTGGCCATGGTGGTATAGTAGGCTTAAACCACCTTTCTAAGGAGAGGCTGATATCCAGCAGTGAACTATTAAAGGCTGTTGATGACACACTACTCAAGAGTGGTTAGAGCAAATTTCATATTTGATTTTTAGGATTTGTATTTGTCCCAAATCTTTACATGTTATAAAGTGAAGTCACTTTTTTTTCTTGTACGCTTAGATCTTTTAAAATACGCAACGGATTTTACTGCAGTTTTACCAATAAAGAGTGATTTAAGAAGCAGGTTTTTACAGCATCGCATTAAAATGAATATCTTAGTAGATATCAAAGATTTAAATGCGGGTGCAAAGCGGCCGTGCAAGCAAAACAGATTTGTAACGTTAAAAGAGGTAACTTTACTAAATTAAGCAATATTTTGTACTCGAGGACAAAATCTAAGTATTATAACTTACATGGTGCTGAACTTGTAGACTTCGATCTAAATACGAACTTAGATTTCTTCTCAGGACATGGATTTTGTGCATTGTCGTCGTTACTGCAAGAATAAGAAATCGGTAATCTTTGTTAATTCAATAAATTCTGACAAATTGCCTATAGAAAGAGACCTCTGTATTTACTACTAAATAATTTATTTGTAATTAAACACATTTTGTTAAATACTTTTAAAGTTTAATAGATACCTGCTCGATGTTGATGCACCAGAGTTTTTCTTAAAGAAATTCAGCACAGACGATTGCTTATTACTAGAAGACATGTTGGTTGTATTATCGGGCCATCACAATACTTTTATTTAGCCGAGCACGTTACAATCTTTCGAAATAAATTTAATTTAATTTTATCAAAATAAATGATAAACAACAACAACTTCAACTTTTGGTTAATGGCTTTCAGGCGGTACAATCTTAGTCGACAATAATGGGAATGTTACGAAAATAATGAACCCAAATACAATGGTTTTTCATTTGTTCTAAAATTTTAACAACAATACGTACACTTCATTTAGGCGTATAATACGTGTGTACTTCGCCAGTCGATACTTATAGATGTCGTTACTTTCGGTATAATCCGCATAAAACAAAAAGTGAATTGTTTTAGTTTTAATGATCCCGGAACGTATATCACTATTTTCTGGAATCATTATAAAATGACTTTTGAAAATAAAATGTTGCCATTATTTTTTTTATACATTGAGTTGGTAGTTATTTTGTATGAAAAAATTGATAAATGTAGACTTATATTAAAATTTTTGAAAACTTTAAAAAAATTTTAGCACTTTAATACACACGATTCTAAGAAATCCTAACTTAGTGCCTGTATCATTTCATTATTGCCATTGTTTTGGTACTTTTCATCAGCGTTAATGCAGCAACATTTGCAACAGCTGTCGTTATGAATGTTGTCCGTCAACATGACATTCTTAACGGCATTTTTTTGGTTGTTGAATGTTTACTTGCTTGAAACTAATAACAATTATTCTCTGATATCTTCATTAATGCGTGAGTTGAGCCTAGGTTCTTCTGATCTTTGTTATCCATGTGTGTTGTTTTCGAGTAGTATTGAGGTAGAGACACTTATTTTTGTGTTGCAATGTCTGTTAAACGTTGTTGTCTTGAAAAGAAGAAAATAAACGTTTTTTTTATACATTGTTTTATTTTACAAAGTTCTAATTGCATAGGTATATTTGTACATAATATAAACAATACTGTATACAATAAGTATTACCTATATTATAGATATGTAGATAAATATATCCTTTCAAATGTTGAGTAAGAGAACAGTTGTTGCTCGCTCCTAACAGATGGCGTTGTTTTGTAATTTCCCCCAAAAGCGATTGAGATATACCTCTATTTCAGTATATTACAATGTACTCTGTGATGGCTTTGTGGTAATGATAAACAACATTAATCAAAAATTCCTTTCCTTCACATTCGCAACCACAGATAACTGAAAATATGTTTGCAACTTTTCTGTCAAAACATTACAGATATAGACAGAACAGATAAAAGACACGAAAGTAAAGTCTCAGTAGACACATAGAAAAACATTCAACGTCTATTTTTGTCTAGCTTAACACCTACTTAGTACTTGTAGTGTTAAAACTGTAGCATTCTTGGATATGGAATGAAAGTATCAATGGCTAGAAGCTACAGAAATTACAGAATTTACTGTTATTAGTTTTAATGCACCGTTTGATTTTTTAACGTGTGCGATCAACAAAAATAATATTACTGAAAAATGTTTGTCCCCAAGTATTATTTCTGTGAAATTATAAACAATGTCATGCAAAGTCATATCTAGAGAGAAGCCAAGCTGCTGACCCAAAGGTCGTACGATAATTTTTGTTAGCAATCTGTGTTTATTTTATATTTTTACAATAATAGAAAAGGAAAATGGGCCAATAATGTAGATTCAAATGCAAAAAAATTGATTGAATTCATAGTGCAATGTCTATCTCTAATTTTCAAAAAAGTTAACTGAGGTGAGGCAGCTCTATGACAATCTATGACATTTCGGTTTAGAACAGTGACGTTTATTTCATTTGTTGTGAATGTGACTTTTTCAAATAAAATGTCTCTGCGAAGTGTTCTTTTTCTAACAAGAACTGCGTGTAGTAGAATTGCAGATTTACATACAACAAAAATTACAAAACAGAAATTATGGCTACTTACCGCAAATACTCCTAGATTTTATTCAACTGACAAAATAGGTTAGTTTTATTTTTTAATTTTCCCCGGGTATAACTGATGAATACAGTTCAATTTACTGCCGAACATTGGTAAATAATAATATATATACGTGTTTTAGTAACTATTTTTAATCAGTTCTTAAAAATGACAATGAGTTTCTATTATAAAACCCTGGATGTAAAAACCGAGCATGCAAATTGTGTAGTAATTGTCCCTTGCAGCTATGAAAAGTACTTTTTAATTTACACTAGTCTATTTAGATCACACAAGCCAAGATTACATTGGTTTTTTTAAATTCCGGTGCTTAATTTTTTCCATGATACCTTTAAAACGAAATTATTTACTACCTCTTAAATTATTCAATCTGATTGAAATTCTGAGTCTAAAAATGTGTTAGGTCTATCTATCTAAGCAGCCTATTATATTATATATTTCTATCAATTTTATCACAACTTCATGAGTTAAAAAGATTATTATTTTGTTAAGACTAAGCATGCATTAAATAATTAGGCATTATTCAATGTATCACCCTTATTATCAATAGAAGATAATTTATTTAGTTTTATAATAACTAAGCTTATCAAACACTGCTCCTAAATTAGGTAAAGCCTTATTATGCAAATCAAGAAAGGCAGATACTGCCCTTTGTGTACCTTCCCCTCAGATAGGGATGTTAAAAAATAATCGATTTTTATTGAAATCGATTATTATTTTCTCATAATCGATTTTTTATTATCGATTTTTATAGTAATGATAATCGATTTTTAGTAAATCGATTAAATAAATTACGTGTTTAAATCGATTTTCAGAAACAGCTCGCATCTATGTGACGAATTAAAAAATTTTGCAGTATGTTTCAATTTTAAAAACAGCGCCATCTATGCGTTGGATCAAAAATCTCTGCTCCGTCCGAAAGATTATTTTCCAAAGCGGGAAATGTGGTCAGGAAAACACGAAACCGTATTTTAGGAAAGAGACTATCAAAATTATTGTTTTTAAACTGCTTACTTACCTGAAAATTTATTATTGTTTAATCCTAGTCAAATGTAAAATAGGACTGCACATTTGTGGAAATAATTATTTTTAATTTTATTATTGTTTAAACTTGCAGATTAATGAAAGATTGTTTTTTATTTTAGTTTTAGAGACCATAACGTAGTTGTTCAGGATTGATAATGATCCTTTTAAGTATTTTATTTTAATACTAGTCAAATGTAAAATAGGACTGCATGGACATTTGTGACAATAATTATTATTTAAACTTAAAGATTAACGAATGATTTGTAATTTAGTTTAGTTTTTGAGACTATAGAGTAACCAAAGCCAAAACCTCCTTTCTAAGGAGAGGCCTACGTCCAGCAGTGGACTATCAAAGACTGTTCATGAAGAGTAGTCATTTAGTTTTTTAATTCTCATTTTAAGTGTTTTATTTTAAAACTAGTCAAATAAAAAATTCTTATCATTTCATTTTTATTATAATAAATAAAACGTTTCATAGTACTAAAACGAGTATCAATAATGCTATTTAGTTTCCTAATTCCCTACTTTGAAATTTTTCCAATAGGTTATTTTTTTATTCATATAATTTTATTTTATTTTTAATCTGATAAATAGTTAATATGAATCTCTTAGGTTTATTATTGGAATGTGGAAAGCATATACTTTCAAATAATACAAAAAAATCGATTATTTATTTTTATTAAAATCGATTTTTGGCAAATCGATTAATTTTTAATATAGAAAAATCGATTTTTATTTAATCGATTCTTTTCCATTAATCTCACATCCCTACCCTCAGAATGAGAAAGGATTGGGCTTTAATAATCTCACTCAGTGAAAACTAACCAAAGAAATAATAATACATATTTCAAACATCTGACACACAACGCCATCTAGTTTCAAACTAAGCAGAACTTTTGTTATGAAAAATAGCTAGTTTCAAACTAAGAAGAGCTTGTACATTGAAAACTACAAGATTATAATTATTATTTCTTTAGTAATATGTAGAGTAGGCAAAAATGGTTCTAATTTTAATAAATATTGCTACTATATCTATGCATTGCTTTCTTACAGGAAAAAAAGATGAAAAACCTGAAAAGGTAGATATCCTAGGAAGATTCTTTCCGCAGAGTGCAGAAGACACACAGGCAATCAAAAAAGAACAGGAAAATTTTGAGAAGGAGAACAAAGAGAAAACAGAAGAAAATGAAAAGAGTTGGAGGAGAATGAAGATGGGGTATGTTCCTAGGATTACTAATGATTATTACTACAGTACAGTATATTTGCCGTGGTGGTGACGGATTAAGAATACAGAGTGTCACCACCCCTATTCATCCCGTGGGTGTCGTAAGAGCCGACTAAGGGAAAAAAATACCAACCCGTCTGGCCAGCGTGGTATAGTAGGCCAAAACCTCCTTTCTAAGGAGAGGCTTATGTCCAGCAGTGGACTATTAAAGGCTGTTGATGATTAGTATATTTGCTAGAATCATATGAATTGTTCGTTGAGATCGGCATCTGCAAATTATTGCAGTTAACCAAGAAATTAAGTCCTGTTGGGGAGTACTCATAGGTGGGATTTTTAAAAGCAGTGATAATTTTTGTCTAAAAGAATTCATGTCTTTTAAATTTATTGAGTGATGCAAAGCTAGGGATAATTATCGACGCAGTCTTAAAAAATTTTTTTTTTTTTTTAAATAGACACAACAATGTGTGTGCCCAAAGCTAGTCTCTTGAACAACTCGAACAAATCTGAAAATGAAAATAGCAGTTCGCTCGCCATTCAAAATTGAGCAGACGGAGGTCTCTAGACTCGCGGTAACATACACGCAAGAGGTTAAAGGCAGCTCTGTAGAGGTTATTCGACCCGCACCACTTGTTGTTGACGGGTATTCCACAGTTGGAGTTGGGTCCAGTGAACGTCAGGTGATCCACTAGTGGACGCCGCGTTGTTAACCAGTAAAAGTCGCGTGGTCAACTAGTGGAAATTATGTAGTGAGCGTATAGCCATAGTACTCCATATAAAGAATACCAACGGCAAGAGCCGAGGCGGTGCTGGTCTAGTGTCGGGTGGCTGTAGTGAGCTATGACCTTAAATAATCAACATGCTATTTATTTATGCAAAAATTCTTATTTATTTATTTGGAAACTTAACAGCTATGTTACATATATCATGGGTGAAGTTATTAGACATTATTTAGACTCTTAGCCAATAATAAAGTTTCGCGACAAGTAAAAGAAAATTGCGTGCACCACATAAACATAGGCAATTGTACGTATTATATACATATATACTTATAAACTATCTATAATTTAATTTATATTAGGTATATTGTGCAGAGTGAGAAGTATTCCAAAAGAAAGCAACTTACAAAAACAATCTCAATTCTTCATTCGAAAATGCCCTGTTATCTATATTATGTCAGTTATTAGTTATGGTCCACACTTAATACCATTGCCCATATCAAGAACCCATTCACTGTTTAAAAATATCCACTATTAATGACTATAAAATCTGTTGCTTTCAGATTTGCAGTATTTGGTGGTGCAATGACTATGCTGGGTGGGTGCCTCGTCATTGAAATGGGTGCACCCCGGCGCGGCGATGACGGCGAGCTTATTAAGGACGAGTTCTCACATATGCCCATTGTACTCCAATACCTCAGGCGCACTTGGAAAGAACTCACATTCTATGAAAAGGTATACAGCAACTAATCAAAGAATAAAATTTACTGAGATTCATTTACATAATGTAATACCTGATGTAATATCAGTTGTAGTATATAGCTCTCCTTCCTCCGAGCCATTGTCCCAAACTAGGTTGGGATTGGGTTTAAGTCTACTACGGTATGGTACTGACTGCCATCAGACCTCGACAACCCAAGTTCTAGATGATATCCAAGTTCTGTAGAAAGACTCCAACTACACGTAACTATTGCTAAAGGTGTTTGTATGGCAATCGGGACCGGCTTAACGTGGTGTCTAAGGCACAGAGGGGTCTTGACGTGTTAAGAGAATGTATACTCATCCATGGACTGACCTGGCCAGGATTGCTTAACTTTGCAATGTGTCAACCTACTCAGTTACCATTTAGCCACAAGCCCCTCAAGTTATAGTTTATTGCCCATAGGGTTGTTATTGTTGTTACAGAGATAGTGCTGTGGGTTCGATTCCCACATGGGACTTCAGGGTCTGGTTATTCTTCGTGTCCCTGCGACATAGGATATATTCCTTAACCAAGTAGCTCACATTGCCAGTTACTTCAAGGGCTCTTAGTTTTTTTCCACCTGATGTATTACTGCAATTCCACAGATGATAAAAGAGCCATCACGCGAGAAGCTACTCCCCGACGCGCTGCCGCCGCCGTACCAGCCCACCTACACACTTGTGCTCGAGTTCACCGATGTACTGGTTCACCCTGATTGGTCCTATCAGACTGGATGGAGGTACTTATTTATGATGGCTATAAAACTCAATGCGTGTCACTCAGTTTTTATGCATGTTCGTAACAGTATTGATTGTTTAATAAATAAAAGCATGCACTGAGTGTGACGTACATGGCTCATATACTGTAGGATATCAAAGACAATAATTGTAAGAAGTGCTCTCGCAAAGATTGTACAAATATTAGAATTCTTGAGCAACAAGTACTGGCTTTTTAAATTAACTTCTCTGTTGTACAATAAGTATACGGGGTTCTTAACATCAAAATCAATAAAATCCATTTATTCGTTAAATTGATTTTGTCACCATAGTGTGTATGATGACAAAATGAACTTAACTGATAAATGCCTGTTCTGCTTAGAGCTAAAACAATTTCAGAAAAACCGTTTTGAAATATCTGCTAATGAAATGTTTACCTGCGTAAGGGACTGAACCCCCGTCTTTTCACCATCACCAGACGAATTAATAACCTAACTAAAAATCTTTTAAAAGACTCGGACAACAACAAAAAAATGTTCTAGATCATCACTACTCATTTAACACACTAGCTGACTTGCGCAAATTCTTCCGCGCCTTTTAAAGTTAATAAATTTTCCCCGTTTTTGCAACATTCCTTATTGGTGCTCCGCTACTATTGGTCTTAGCGTGATGATAGCCTTCCTTGATAAATAGGCTATCTAACACTGAAAGAATTTTTCAAATCGGACCTTTAGTTCTTGAGATTAGCGCGTGCAAGCAAACAAATAAACAAACTCTTCAGCTTTCTAATATTTGTATAGATTGCAATTTATCGCCATAAAGTTTGTCTCGAATAAAAGGTGACCTATATCTCTCTCTCTCTGGTCGGTTCCTCATGTCTGAAGATCGTGGTCAGCTGACCACAATCTACAATCTGATCATCATGATAGTTGACATGATCAACTAAACATAACACAAAACTAAAAGCTTAGTAAAATAAAGCAGTATTTAAGCTAAGACTTCAGCTATTTGTGTTCACTTACCATAAATCAAAGACCTTTTACGCTGCAATTCTTCCTGTATAACATTGGTCTGTATATTGCGGCATGTTCTTAATCAGCGTATTACTTACTGTCTTGGGTGCACTAGTTGACCGGCATTTTTATTAAGACATTTTAAAATTTATGTAGACTAAGCTGGGCTAAGAGGAAAGATGGTCTTAAACAAGACTTTTTATGAAGTTTGAGTACCATACTGTAAAAGGATGAATACTGAATACTTCTGAAGAAAATGATAAATTCATACAATTTAAGTAAAAATTTCAGGTTTAAAAAACGTCCAGGAGTAGACCAATTCTTACAGACAGTGGCGAATTCAAATTATGAAGTAGTAATATTCACTACGGAAAATGCGTTCATGATATGGCCCGTACTGGATAAGTTAGACCCGGAAAACAAGTTCATCACCTATCGACTGTTCAGAGACTCTACACACTTCATAGATGGCATCCATGTGAAAAACCTTGAGGGACTTAACCGGGATCTATCTAAGGTAAACATTACACAATTTTACTCTATCTCTCTCTCTCTATTTGCATTGCATTTGGCCTCCTTTACACTAACTTCAGTTCAGTCAACTTAGAACCCTCTAAATGTATGTTTAGTATGTAGACATAGACATATATTAATTGCATAAAAACTGTGTACAAATAAGGATGTTTTTACATATTGGTATCAGGCTCAACAGTTACCATAATTACTTGTATATCCTTCCATATTCATTACAAACTTCAGGTTTTACTCATATTTGTGTTATCTTCCTCTCTCCCAAACAAACTGTGCTGCTCCCGACAGGGTCCATCATTAATAATAATAATAATATTGTACCACATTCACACACGGCCATCTAGTCCCAAACTAAGTAGAGCTTATGCTATGGGTACTAGGTAACTGATATAAATACATATATACCTTTTTTTTTGTAAATACATACTTATTATACATAGAATCACAAAGACCAAATCAAACATTAAATGTTCATGCACACAAATGTTTGACTTGAGCGGGAATCGAACCCGCGACCTTTGGAATAGCAGTCAGTTACACAAACGTCAAAGCTGCAAGAAAAAAGCTTTAAATTGTTACAACTTAAACTGTTATCTTCTATGTATTTACATAATGGAGGCAATAAACTATTGAGTATTATATAAATTACAATCGAAATAATATTACAGGTGATTGTAATCGATTGGAACAAAGCAGCTACAAAATCCCATCCACAGAACGCCCTGATACTTAAAAAATGGAAGGGAGCAGACGACGACACCGCATTATTGGATCTTGCCAACTTGCTACAAAGTAAGTAGGATCATCTCACTCATTGATTACTAGATGGAATATGCCTACAGTGTGTGTTCAGCAAACCTACTATCAAATGTCTTTGTTTACTAGTTGATAGTACTCGTAGATGGGTTGTTGTCTAAGGCCCCACACTGCATGGTGGTAGCTCCTGGCATCTGCTTTTGTAGTGAAGGGGAGAGGCCCAGTACCACAACATGCACATTACTGGGGTGTGTGTTTATGCTAGTGAGGCTTGGGAGCCATGGGACATCCAGTGAGCGCAGAGAATTTCTTTGATACATCTCTTTGCCAGACATTCTCCATGGAACTTGCAGTACTAGGTTGGTGGTGAGACGAGACACTAGATGTGATTTTCAACTTTTAGTCTGACATTCCTAGTTTTATCTACTAGCCCAGATTACGCTCGATGAGAAAGTCTGGTAGTCTTAGCAAAGATTACCCTTTTATTCCTCACACATCACATCAACAGCCTTTACTTAAAAAGGAGGTTTTGGCCTACTAAGAATACTCGTAGACTACGCTGGCCAGACGGGTTGGTAAAGGGTTTGTATCAAGTTTTTCTTCTCTCTGCAGTGCTGTTGTAGTTTTTTCCCTTAGTCGGCTCTTACGAAACCCACGGGATGAATAAGGGTGGTGACACTCTGTATTCTTAATCACGTCACTTTTATTCCTAATTATTGATAAATCCTTGAAAAACAAATAATCTAAGATAGGCACGGCTTTCTTTTTCCAGCGATAGCAATGTCAGACGTAATAGACGTTCGCGAAGTTCTCACTTACTACAGCCAGTTCGACGACCCCATAGCTGCCTTCCGCGAAAACCAGCGCAAACTGATGGAGCAACTTGAGGAGAAAGAGCGGGACGGTGGCAAGGGACCAGACCAGCCTCTCACCAGGAACTGGCTACGGACTTTCACACGACGTTAGCATTGTGATCGGTTCGTATAGTTAACTACATAGGCATTAACGCAAAAGTACGTATTATATACAGCCGGGTTGCACTGCGATACTAAGGTATGTAATCGCGTTAATACTCGAAGTAATAATTATACAGTTTAGTATGTCGTCATAATGCCACAAAAAGAAAAAAGACTAAACAGAGTAATTCTTCACCCAAATTTTTATCTAAAATATACCATAATCGTGGGTATAGAGTTTTATATTGGATTAAAAATAAATAAGCGTATTTTGAAGTCTTATATAGTTTTAGTTTAAGCAGTAGATAAATGAACTTATTTCAAAACATAAATGGATATCGCTACTAGTTCATCAACAGCCTTTAATAGTCCACTTCTGAACATAGGCCTCTCCTTAGAAAGGTTTTGGCTTACTATACAACGCTGGCCAGACGGGTTTGTATAGGGTTTGTTTCAAGTTTTCCTTCTCTTTGCAGTGCTGTTGTCGTGCGTAGTTTGCTCCCTTAGTCGGCTCTTACGACATCCATGGGATGAATAGGGGTGGTGACACTCCGTATTCTTAATCCGTCACCACACGAACGAGTTATTGTTTAATTATTAAGGAATAATTTAACAGTTAAGATACTCCAGATTTTTCTATTATTCCTTTCAGTGTTCCACCCTTCGAAAACTTGTTGAAACGAAGAGTGAAGACCCCAAAGATAGCCTCACCGCCACCGAGTGACGCTCTATAGTGAAAGGCTAAGATTAATTTGTTTAAATTCAGACGCTCACTGCAAAGTCGAGGACTGGGCAGTCGAGGCAGATATATTAGGAAATAAATAATGACCGTCTCGTAGACGCCTTCCACGTTGAATACATCCAAGTCAACTTTGTATTCGGCTAACATGAGTTAGCCAAATATATTTTACTGGGGCAGCAGCGTAGCCATTGTGTGTTATTACTGTTGATTTAGACCCGTTTATTATAGTATTATTTATCGGTATAGAAGTTCACAGGTTTAAATCAATAGGGTATTATATCGCTATTGCGTAAAAGAGTGCTGTCTTTGTCTAATAAGTTAAATACTTGAAGTGTCAAGGATTTTTGCATTTTACTTTTTGATACATTTACTTTTATTGTTTTAATAATAATAATCTTTAAAAAAAAACACCAAAACATCTTTATGACGACACTGAAAATATATGAATTGAATATTTTTAGTAGAACTATTTTATTCATTTCAAAACCAAGGCACAAAATGATTATTCTGTATGCATAATTTTAATCGCTCACATACTCCCGTTAAACCCACTTTTCTCATATGAGATACGTAAAGTAAGATCTTCGAATTACCTGTCTGTCCATTTACCTAGGGCGTAGAATACTTCACATTTATCGATTCACTATTTCTTCAAACGGTTCCACCAGCTCTTGGGCACATGGGGCCCTCATAAACATTTTCGCTTTTTATTAAAATCTATTAACAGCCTTCTATCCCAACCATAGAATATTTCTATCCTTCTGAATATAAACCTGTTGTGAACACAGGTACACTCAATGTCTTCCACTCTTGTCAGTACCGCAGCCTCATAATGACAGTGACATTTTTCAAAATCCACTTTATGGGAAATCAGCAAAAATCTTAAAAAAAAAGAATGCATGTACTTTTCCTCTTATGATTGGGACTTTTTGCGATTATTTTTTTTCACAGTTTTAAAGTTGACTGTTTAAAGGCGCACAGAATCAAAAAATCGTTTTTCTTTTTAGTTCAGGACAGATTAGATTGGTTTATTAACTGAGAGAATTAAAGCGAGTTTTGTGCCTAAAGTACAGTCCAGCCTTTGCAGTGAGCGAGGGATATATGCATTAAAATGCACTGTAAGTAGACTTCCTATTTAATAGTCGTTGACATGTTTCATGTAAGGTTGATAGTTCCCAACAGTTTTTGTTTAGCGTCGGAGTTTTAAATTTTCAAGAATATGTACCGACGTTGTTCCGGAAATTTAAAACTACGTTGCATCTTGTTATGAATTGTAATGTGTATATGTTAATTGGGCGCTGGCAAGTTTGTTTGTAAAAACTCAGTCACATAGATAGGAAATATAGTTGTTATAAATTAAAAAGTTGTTTTATTTTACCTTTACTCGTCCACTGCTGGATATAGACCACTCCTTAGAAAGGAGGGTGATGTTAAACAATTCTTTCTTTGGTTATCTGAGTGAGTGAGGTTACTGAAACACAAACCTCTTTTCCCCTGATTTACTATGGCTTTCCAGAACAGTCATACGACTAATAATCACGTACGGTTCACGCACCGTCATAAACAAACCAGCAATAGGGAATATGCATGTATTTTTTTTATTTTTTTAAACGATTCTACTCGTTATTACATTACCAAAAATAAATATAACACATCCGAAATATAAACCGTTAAGCAAAAAAAAAATTATTAATATCACTATCATTTTGGGGCAATTTGAACACATCCATTTTGGCGCGCTTTTTTTGTGACGTCAGACTACACTTTCAGACGAATTCGATGTCAACAACGGAGTGAAGTTCACAAAGTTTGTGAAAGTTAAAAAAGTGAGTGATATAAATTAACTTATTACCATGGAAAAGCTAATAAAAACTTATTATAAATATTGTGCCGTTCCTTTGTGCCAAAATAATATCAAAACTGCACCTGACAAAGTATATTCAGTCATTGTGTTGAGTCTTTCTACACGGGAATTTAATAATTTAACACTGAAAACGTATTAGTTATTAACTTAAAATGAAACAAATAATCACCAGAAACCAAATATTACAAATACACACAACTTGTTGACACTCTTGACAGTGTAGGTTGACGTCACGTTTTATTCAACCAATAGCGTTGCGTTTTAGAAATTTGCGAGGGAATCTTAAAAAAGCCAATTTTTGATGATTAAATTTCACTATTAAATTATAATAAATTTCAAAAATAATTGTATGGGTATCTTCTTTTAGCAATAACAATTACAAATAAAAATATTTTGTCCATTTTGGTGTCACGTGCATATTCCCTATTCTAGCGATCCCCATGCTCCGCGGCATGAAGAGGCTCTAGGTCTGACTCCACTGGACCTGTTCATACAGCAAGGGGCAGCTATGGGGACCATCAGATTCACCTGGGTCTGTGACACAAATGCGAGGCACATGGCACAAAGAACATTCTAGTAGCAATTTCAACATTTGGGAAGTTTCTTCTAATCTAATTAATTTTTTCTTTGCCATGCAACTGAAGGCTGTACGTCTCTTAAGATCTTTAAAAAAAATGAGATAAGCCGCGAATTATTTTCCTTTGAAACTTATATTTATTCAACAGCCTGAATACTTACTAAAGGGCTTATTACACTATGCGGTTTTCAGACAGTCTTAAAATCTAACTAGGCAAGCTCGCTATTACACTGGGCTGAATACCGCATGCTAACTCATTTGAAAAGCGTACGTAGTCGGTGACGGTTGTCGAGCGATGGGAAAACTTTCAAAGCACCAGAAAATCGCCATATCTCTTGCCGCGTCTATTAATTTAAATATAAAAAAGAAAAAAATAATATGGGTGAAAGAGTATTTACTTTTGCGAGAAAAATTATCAAATATGCAAATACTGAGTGTTTTGGAACCATGTGACTTAAGAAACTACCTTAGAGTAGGAGTTGCCGAGTTTCCCGTCGTGGTCCACCCGCCGGCGCCTCAATCGAGGTCGGCTCGGTCCTCGTACCGGTCCGGGCCCAGATGAGGTACCTGGATCTGGTCCTAGACGGTAGGTGGCTCTTCGACGAGCACTTCCGACAGCTTGGTCCGAAGCTGGTGGACACTGCCTCCGCCCTAGGGCGACTTTTGCCCAATTTGGGCGGGGCCAGTGTTCCCACGAGGCGGCTGTACGCGGGGGTTGTCCGGTTCATGGCGCTGTATAGTGCACCGGTGTGGGTGGCGGCTCTGACCGCCCCGAATAGGGCGCGCCTCTGGCGCCCCCAGAGGATATTGGCGGTCAGAGCCATACGCGGATACCGCACGGTGTCCACCGAGGCGGCTTGCGCCTTGGCCGGAACACCCCGTTGGGATTTGGAGGCGGAAGTGCTCGCCGAAGTTTATCGGCGAGTGGCTTGCTTGATTTCCACACGTAAAAAAAAAAAAAAAAAAAGAATCAGAGTTTGAATGTCTATTGAAATTAGTTACTCCATACATTCAAAAAGAAGATATGGTTCTTAGACAAAGTGTCAGTGCTAAGCAAAGATTGGTAGTTACTTTAAGATTCCTGGCAACGAGCAACTCCTATCAAGACCTAAGGTTTAGCTCTTTGGTATCTCAACCTCTTTTATCGTCAATTATACCAGAAACGTGCCGGGCTATCTACAAATGCTTAAAACATTTGATCAAGGTGAGTAAAACCACTGTATATTATTTTTCAATTTAACATTTATTTTTCAAATCAAGGCCATTAATATAAAAGCAATTAGTAAATTAAATAGAAAATTATTCTTTTGTCGGCTTGAATATCAAAAAATCTTGCATTAAATTGGCACTACCTTCTACTATAGACCGGGAAATAGTAGACCCTGAATCATTTCTAATGTATTCTAGAAAATTTTCAGGGTTGTTGACAGACCGGGGTGGCGGCGAGCGCGTTGCACACACACACACGGGGGGGGGGGGGGGGGGGGGGGTCGTCTACTCGTCTGTAGATGACCCGAGGTATGTCGGGGCACCAGGGACTTCCTTTCTATTCTGGTTCCCCGGCTATTAGTACCCGAGACTATTAGTGCGGTTTTAGTCGGTTCGAGTCCGACATGCCACCGATAGGATTTCCGGAAAAAAAAAAAAAAGGGTTGTTGACAGTAATTCTCGAGGGAAATGAATGTTGTGCTGACTGGATTGCTTGTGGTGATTGAATTGTGTTGTGGCGATTGGATTGTCTGTTGTGGCGATTGGATTGCTTGTTGTGACGACTGGAATGCTTGTTGCGGAAACTGAATTGTGTGTTGTGGCGATTGGATTGTCTGTTGTGGCGACTGAACTTCTTATTGTGGTGATTGAATTCTGTGTTGTGACGATTGGATTGACTGTTGTGGCAACTGGAATGATTGTTGTGAAAACTGAATTGTGTGTTGTGGAGATTGGATTGTCTGTTGTGGAGACTGGACTTCTTGTTGTGAAAACTGAATTGCGTGTTGTGGCGATTGGTCTAGTTGGCTTTGGTAACGAGGTGATTGTGAATAGTGAGGCGATGTATGATACTGTGTTGTAGATGATGATGATGAAGGACTCGGTGTCGACGTGCGAGCGATGCGATGCGAGCTGATGGACGTTTGTGTGGCAAGTTAGGGGATTGTCGGTTGTATGGGGACAGGGAAGAATCACTTGATACTGGTGATTGGATGAAGGGTATCTGATAGTTGTATCTGTTCAATGTACGAGGGTGGATTGATAAGTTTCCGGCCTGATTAAGAAAAACAAGGTTATTTAATTTTTTTTTTAATTTCTCAACATAATCTACTCCAAAGCTGACACATTTCTCATAGCGGTGTTCCAGTCTATTAATGCCATCTCTATAGACTGATTCGTCAAGCTCCTCAAAATAACCATTTACAGCTTCGATTACTTCTTCATTGTCCGCAAATCTCTTACCGCCAAGCCATTTTTTGAGGTTAGGGAACAGAAAATAGTCACTCGGGGCTAGGTCTGGAGAGTAAGGAGGGTGCGGCATCAATTCAAACTTTATCGTTGATTTTAGCCGTCGCAACGATTGACGTGTGTGCTGGTGCGTTATCGTGATGAAACAAGATTTTTTTCTTCAACGTTGCAATAAGACTGCGTAGTATTGACCAGTGATAGTTTTACCCTTTTCAAGGTAATCAATGTATATAATACCTCTTGCATCCCAAAATCCCAGTAGCCATAACCTTGTTCGCCGAAAAAATTGTTTTTGCCTTCTTTGGAGTTGGTTCCCCTGGTTCAATCCACTGTTTAGACTGTTCTTTGGTTTCAGAAGTGTAGTGGTGGACCCAAGTTTCGTCAACGGTTACGAATCGACGCAAAAAATCGCTTGGATTACGCTTATACAATGACAAATTTGCGGTAGAAATGTTTTTTCGAATCAATTTTTGGTCGACTGTTAGCAAACGCGGCACCCATCTTGCACAGAGCTTTTCCATATAATGTTGGTGCAAAATATGTTGCACACGTTCATATGACATCTTACAGGTCTCAGCTATCTCACGCACTTTCAATCTGCGGTCTCCCAGCACTATTTGATGATTTTTTTCGATCATATCTGGAGTTGTAACCTCAACGGGGCGTCCTGAGCGAGGCTCATCAGAGGTGCTCACACGACCCTTTTTAAACTCGGAAACCCACTGCTTAACGGTTGAATATGACGGGGAGGATGTCCCCAGTGTTGAGTCCATCTCTTCTTTAATTTCCTTCGGCGTTAACCCCTTCAAATAAAAGTATTTGATGACAGCACGATTTTCCTGCTTTTCCATTTTTACGAAAAACACAGAGGCGTCTTGTTCAGCGTGCTCTCAAACCTACACTAGCAAGGCGATCGGGCTGAAACTATAGCTACAAGCTATCCAAGGATGGTACTATAAAATGTCGCCTTAAGGTAGGCCTAGTGGCGCCATCTCTTGGTCAGGCCGGAAACTTATCAATCCACCCTCGTATGTCTAATTTCCGATGGTGTGACGAGTAGACAAGAATCTTCAGAGAGTCGTCCAAGTTTAGCATTATAAATTACATCGGATATAATTTTTTGAGTAAATATCAGTTGTGTTCCACTTACATCCTTTAATTGCAAGCCCACAGACTTTCCAAATATTTCCCAGTGTTCTTCTTCTTTATTTGATAACATTACTTCAGCAGATTTCATAATTCTTTCTTGTTTTTGGAGAAGTGTTTCTTTTTTTTCTTTACGCTATGTCCTCTAGAAGTTGAAGCAATCAATCCGATTTGCTGGCTTGGAATGTCTTCGTCAGATGAATTGGAGCCCTAAAAATACAGTTAAATTATTATTTTTTGTTCCAGATACCTGACAATGAAACAGAGTGGAAAGAAATGGCTGAGGAATTCGAAACAAAATGGAATTTCAGTCACTGTGTTGGATCATGTGATGGGAAGCATATCGCTATAGAAAAACCCCCCGAAAGTGGCTCTTGGTTTTACAATTATAAGGGATTCTTCAGTATTGTGCTGTTTGCTGTTGTAAATGCTAACTACGAATTCATGTATGTACACACAGGCACCAATGGATCCGTTGCAGATGGAGCAATTTTAAAATGTACAAAATTTCATAAGAAAATGATTAACAATTCTTTAAATTTGCCATCTCCATCTCCACCACCAGGCACAAACGAAATTGTACCATACGTGTTTCTGGGGGATAGTGCATTCGCATTGAATAAAAATTTCATGAAACCATTTCCTTTTAAAAATATTAATCGGACGCAAAGGATTTTTAATTATCGATTATCGCGAGCCAGAAGAGTGGTTGAAAATGCCTTCGGCATATTGAGAGTACTGCGCAGACCACTTGATCTAGATCTGGACAATGTGGATGCTGTAGTATTGGCATGTTGCGCTCTGCATAACTTTCTGAGGAAACGAGTACCAACTTACATATGTCATTCTAATATTGATTCAGAAAATATAAGACCGGGTACGTTTCGCGAAGGAGATTGGAGACAAATCTCTGCACCCTTAGTTTCATTACAGCGTTCTTCAAATAGGCAGCGTAATGAAGATGGCAATATTGTTCGCAATAAATTCATGGACTATTTCAGTTCTGTTGGATATGTTAGTTTCCAAGACCGAATGATTGATGTTGTACCACTATAATATTTGTTATATCTACCATTTTACCTGATTAAATAAAGCTTAATAAAAGAAATATACATTTTACTAGTGGACCCGACAGACATTGAACTGTCCCTCGAACCCATTAGCCGCAGCTGTCTATAACGTCTATAGGTGAGCGAAGCCGTGGACTTCTGCCCACGGCTTCGCTCACACGTCTATAGTATACAAATAAAATACAGGCTGTTTCATAATACCCTAAAAATTGAAAAGGGTCAATGTACTGTACCTACTAACAACTTTAACTATCCAACTTCGAAATCGCGAAAAAAAACATCTGTTCCATAAATATCGGGTGATTAGTCTTGAATTTTGAATATTTCTATGAAACAGCTGTTTTTGGTTAGTTAAACAGGTGGTCACATCTGCAACCAGCTTTGGTCAATCGGTCGTCCCCACTGCTCCTTCACGACAACGCGCGACCCCATACTGCGCAACAGACAGTCTCCAAGCTGTAAGAGCTGACGTTGGAAGCTCTCCCTCATCCGCCATACTCATCAGACCTTGCACCTACCGACTATTACTTTTTCCAAAATTTTGACAACTTTTTAGTGGGTAAAAAATTCAATTCCCGAGAGGCAGTACAAAATGCCTTTGAAGAGTTGTTGCCTCCCGTACAGCTGATTTTTACAAGAAGGGCATCAATAAACTGCCAATGCGTTGGCAAAGATGCGTCGATTGCATGGGTGATTACTTCGAATAACAGAAATAAAAAGTTTTAAAAAATAATTACTTTCACTTATTGCATACAAAACGGCAATTTCATAGGTAAAGACCTAATATTTGACTGAACCCTTATTTTCTATTTTACAACTTTATTACTAGTGTATACCCACTTATCAAGTGTTTTTAGGTCGAAAGCCACATGCTCCAACTTAAAAAAACGTTTAGCAGAATACACACTTATAATATGCTTTATAGGTATCTTTCAAAACTATTATCAATTTGACCAATTTTTTTTTAAAGTTGTAATTATATAAATATATAGTGACCCAAAATGGCATTTGTTTAAATTCAATCCTTATGTAATAAATGGCGAAGGAACTCAACTCGATACAAAAATTCGAAGTTTGCTTGCAATTTAATTACTACACATACACAAGCAAATTTGTTGACAACTTTTGTCAGGCTCAGAGCATTGTTTTCGCCACTACGGTGGTAAACAAATTTACGTCCTGAATAAACACAATATCCCGAGATTCGATGACATGCTGTTCATGTGAGCCTGTGAGACAACTTAGTTTGATTAGTTAGTCATCATCATCATCATCATCATCATCATCATCATCAACAACAGCTTATTATAGTCCACTGCTGGACATAGGCCTCTCTTCTGAAAGGAGGTTTTGGCCTACTATACCACGCTCGCCAGACGGTTTGGTATAGGGTTTGTTGGTGTGGGCGGCGGCTCTGACCGCCCAGAATAGGGTACGCCTCTGGCGCCCTCAGAGGGTAATGGCGGTCAGAGCCATACGCGGTTACCGCACCGTTTCGACGGAGGTGGCGTGCGCGTTGGCCGGAACTCCCCCGTGGGATTTGGAGGCGGAAGTGCTCGCCGAAGTTTATCGGCGAGTGGCTGACTACCGGGCGGAGAGCGGATTTGCGCGAGCGCCCTCCGCCCGAGGATGTGCGCGAGTGGCGCGAAGCCGCTCGCCGAGCCACGATGGCTCGTTGGTCGTTCCGGCTGGAGACTCCACGCGCTGGCTTCGCCGCCGTGGAGGCTCTCCAGCCGGTCATCGCCGTGGGCAGGGCGGCAGGGCGGCAGCACGGGACCCTTTCCTTCCGGCTGACGCAGGTGCTTTCCGGGCACGGTTGCTTCGGGAAGTACCTGCACTCGGTCGCTAGGAGGGAACTGAGTCCCGCCTGCCACCACTGCGACTGCAGTGAGGACACGGCCCAGCACACGCTGGCGGTCTGCCCCGCATGGGCGGCGCAGCGCCGGGCCCTCACTGCAGTCATCGGAGTGGATCTCTCGCTACCAGCCGTAGTACGCTCCATGGCCGGTAGCGACAGTTGTTTTACCGCGGTCGCAACCTTCTGCGAGGTAGTAATCTCGCGGAAGGAGGCGGCGGAGAGGGCCCGGGAGGACGACCTCCACTCGGACCCGATCCGCCGCCGGCGAACCGGGCGGCGGAGGCCCGCCTATCACAGCCTCATGCCGCCCTGAGTGTGGCCGCGGGTGGACGGGGTGGGTTTCCCCTCCACCCGCATTAGTTGGCCAGCCGCGAGGGGGCAGCGTCCGCGTGTGCCGGACGTCGCCTAAAGAGAGGAAAAATATACTGAGACGGAGCCCGCACCAGGAGCGGGCTGGCGCTAGGAGGGGTCCGGATGTCTTAACAACAGCTGTTCCCGGATCCCTCCTGTTACAGGCGCAGAGTGGCACACCGTGTGGTT